CTGGGGTGCATAAGTCTATTGTTCTTCAACTTTAATGTCACATTTCACATAGTACCGACAACATGAGACTTGAGGACAATTGATTTACAGTTGGGAACAAAAATAAATGACAGGTTGATTTTCTATCACCATTTCCTAATCATGGTCGTCTGAAAGTCAATAATTTCTAATATTGTCTAGATACATATCCCTTAAAATTTGTATATTTTACATTTTGTATAATCTCATCCACTGATGTATGGCCTCTTGTAAATTCTCTTATTTTTAACATGGGAAATCCTCACTTCAGCACATCCACCTGTCATTTATTTATGTTCCAAACTGTATGAATACTCTTTCCTATAGAATATTACAAGATTCACCCCTGATATATCCTGATGAGTAAAATAGATGGCATACTTTATATAGGATTATCCTACACTTAGTGTACTAAATGTATAATAACATTAAAAAATAAATTTGATATTTATTGGCAAAATGAATAACCGGAGGATATCGTTATGATATACTCCGGGCGGAGGATATCGTGATATACTCCGGAAAACCCAATATGCGTAGGAAATTGTGACGATATACTCCGCTTGTTGATTTCCCGCCAAATTGACTCTATTTGGCATGAAGTTCATTTTGCAATGATATTATACATTTAGTACACTCCTTGTAAGTGTAGGATAATAAGAACATCCTATGATTCTTTTCAGAATATCATTTTAATCTACTCGGTGATATTGATATATGAACTCGTTCGCTTTGCTCTCTCGTGCAGATATCAATATCACCTCGTAGATAAAAATGATATTCCTCAAAATCATAGGATTTCCTATAATTATCCTACACTTAGTGTACTAAATGTATAATAACATTAAAAAATAATTTTGATATTTATGGGCAAAATGAATATCCGGAGGATATTGTCACGATATACTCCGGGCGGAGGATATCGTGACGATATACTCCGGAAAACCCAATATGCGGAGGAAATTGTGACGATATACTCCGCTTGTTGATTTCCCGCCAAATTGACTCTATTTGGCATGAAATTCATTTTGCAGTGATATTATACATTTAGTACACTCCTTGTAAGTGTAGGATAATAAGAACATCCTATGATTTTTTTCAGAATATCATTTCGCTCTCTCGTGCAGATATCAATATCACCTCGTAGATAAAAATGATATTCCTCAAAATCATAGGATATCCTATCCTATGGTTTTGAAAAAAAATCTCATTGATATCCTTGAGTGGATATATAATAGTTTTCGTTTATCCCATGAGAAATCTTAACCCGGTGGAAAAGAATTATTGAAAAAAAATTGAAAAAATCTAAACCATCGAATATTACTTTTGGAACCATCGATTCTCACTTTTGAAACCATCGAATATCACTTTTTGAGATTAGATTAGATTAGAATATCGAATTGGAACCCTGGGAGCCAATAATCCTCACTACAAAACAACAAGGACATCAAAAATCTATAATGAGTGTAATCACGGTGACTACAAGTGTTAACGGTTGAGATTGTCCCGGACGTGTTTTTTCAAACGATTTAGACGTGTTTTTTAGAAAACTTGAAAGGTAGGTTGATAAATATTGTTATGAAATTACTGTCACTTGACTTTATGTAAATGTAAGTAATTTATATTGCTCACCATACTATACATGTGTATCCTTACTTCAGGTAGCCTGAAAATCACTAGCCTGCCTTGTATTCAATGAATACATCGATTCATAAGGAAAGTACTTACAATATGTGCAAAAACCACAAATTAAACGAGCTTAAATAAGTACCAATTGACCGAATAATTTTTTGGGATTAAACTTTTTGGACGTGTTCCAAAATATCCCTTCTCTATTGTTAACTCTACTTTCTACATTTTACAGTAATTTATGGCAATTTTAAGATAAAGATCGTTAAAATATAAACACGATCTTTAGAGAAATGAATATTATTCCACGTTGTTGAATGGATAGTCTGTTTTACTTTAAACTTACTTATAACTACAGATGATAAGATAACTGACATGCGGTGATGCGGTAACGTTATGAGAGTTATTAATGGAGAGCTACAGATGCCCAGTTACTGCGTACTGATAACTAACATGACCATTACCGTATCATACATGTCCAGTTAGCTTCCCTTAAGCGGTGGAAGATATCGTTGAACTGTGTGGCGCCCACGTACGATAATATGAAAAACATTTATCATAATCCATAGTTCTCTTGTCATATAAGCCTGATTCGGTGATTTGGTTCAAATATAAAAGCATTACATCAACTAAAAAGTGGTTTCATTCGATAAAAAGAAAAATATCGAAATCGACACTTACCATCCGCCATCTTAGATGTGAAGGTTACGGCCGTTACCTTTGCGTGATACTGACCAACAGAATACTCAAACAATATCATTTGAAAACTAAAATCGATTCTTTTAGCACAGAGGGGACATTAAAAGTCAAATAAGAAGCATAAGTACACTGGTGCTCCATTCGATTATGCTGGTTACCGAAACGGTTCGTTTTGGTAACAAAATGTCGGAACGTCGGAGGTACGATTTTTCTCTTTTCCTTATTTCACGCGTTGTAGGCAGAATTCCCACAACGTTTTTTCTCACAAACGTGTATCAGTATCATATGTTTTAGAAAATGTACATGTTTGCGAAAAAATAGCTCAAAAGACAACAGAATCGTCGATTTAAAACCTCACTTATGTTGCATAAACGGTTTGGGTTAAAAGTGCAGATCTTAACTGTTTTTCGAAAAACCGTTTATGTAACTTAAGTGAGGAATTAAATCGACAATTCTGTTGTCTTCTGAACTATTTGTTCGCAAATATGTACATTTTCTTAAACATATGATACTGATACACGGTTGTGTTAAAAAATGTCTTAGGAATTCTGCCTACAACGCGTGAAATGAGGAAAAGAGAAAAATCGTACCTTCGATGTTCCGACATTTTGTTACCAAAACGAATCGTTTTGGTAACCAGCGTAATCGAGTGGATCACCAGTGAAGTCGCAATATTTCAAAATCAAATGGCTTTGTTATTATGTTACTGTGTTATAGTAGTTTATCAAGACAATGCACCAACGACATCTTTTGAAAGCTATGATAAATGTTTTATTAAAAAGCAACATCAGTCAAGATTTTTAACTTTAATGTATAATTATTTCATTTATGTAAAAATGAGAAATCATTTAAGATCAGTCATAAGTTGTAACATTTCTATGACAGAGCTATCTATTCTTTTCATTAGATGTAACTGGGGCAAGAACAGCAAAACACGTTTGGCAAGTTTACTTATCCATTTGAAAAAAAACTTATTTAAAATCGAAACAATTGACTGCAGTTAACCTGCAGTCATTTTAACAATTTCCTGATTTGTCATAACCATTACTATTTTGTTATTTTGAATACAAAACTAGTGATATTTTCCCACAAAACATGATTTATAAAACTAAACTGTCAGCCTCTGAAATGTTGTTTTTGTGATGACGGTTTTGCTGTACCGTGGAGCAAAATTATAATGGCGACAAATCTAAACGTTGTCACAAACTACTACGAAGACTGAACCAAAGTAGAAATATACATATTTATTACATATTCACACGCATTTTGGTAACAAAATAGTTTATTTTAATCAACTGAACTTCACAAAAACTAATTCCAGTGGAAAGAGAACTACAAAACTAGTCATTACGTCGTCGTACAATTAATTAAGAAATAAAATATAATGTGAACTTCAACATCTGCGATTCTTCAACCCTTCAACAATCTTCCCATACAATTTTTCTAACCGCGATCTGAAAAACCTAATGTTTTCTGATTTTGTTTGGTTTTGAATCCCGCACATGAAGGTGTAAAAATTAGCGTCCTACCTCCGTAAGTTGCAAAGTTATATAGTGATCCAAAGAAATGTTATAAGTTTCCAAAGATGAAAACATCTTCCAGTGAAATCGCAACATACCCCTACATGGTCTTAAAATATGAATATCTTCATTAATCGTAGACCAATTCTGATGAAATATGGCTAAAAACACTTGATATTAGATTTCATTTTGATATTTTTACAGATTTTGGGTCACAGGTCACAGGTTACTTTGCCCCCTCCAACCGTTTGTGTGTGTATCATGCACCTTATCTGTTGAACAGTTAAAACTGCTTCAAAATGGTCAATGAAAGTGTGAAATTTGTTTTCTTCACAATTGTGTCCCATTTGTCATACTAATATCTCTCACTAACACGCCCGGTGATCGTGAAAATGGGACGGAGGGGGGGGGGGAGCAAGCAATTTCTGGTAGAAAAATGAACAAATCTGCAAAAATTATTTTTTCAAGAAAAGGTTTATGATTTAATTGCTAAACGAATAGGCGCACGGTATGGTAAAAGGGAGCAAAATGTCTATACGACATGATGAGAGATGTTACTTCACTTTGTATCCAAATTTTCCCATTTTCTCCTCAATTACACAATGGGTTAGGAATTGATAAATACATATATTGCACTAAATGACCTACAAGATGTGATAATATGAGCCAATTCATGTATATATTATGGATAATACAGCCTGTTGCAGGGGTTCACTTTTTCGACCACCCTGTACATGATACGTTAATGTAGTCTATTTTTGCATGATGCGCTGATACCATCTATTTAACATGATACGCATCGCTAATGCCATCTATTTTACTAAATAAGACCAACGCGATCCGTGTTCGCGAACCATACGCCTGATAAAGTCCGTTACACATAACTAAAAAATCACAAATACCCGGATGCACTATGTACAAATTGTTCGCGAGCACGGATCTCTGTGCTCGAGTGGAGAAATATGTTCGGGAGCGAGGAAATGGTGGTGCAATGTGAGAATCGTGGTTCGAGTGCAAGGAACGTACATCAGTTCTGAGCTCGCGGAAGTCTAGGAGGCCTGTATACCATAGGGAACAAAGCAGGTCCCATTATTTTTCTATTTTCATCCATAGGGACCCTACTACTGCGGTGACCATGTGTCATATATAATCTAAAAGGCCGTGCGGCAACCATAGTTGTTTTGTCTCCCCAAAACCAAATACGCCTTTCGACTGTCATATCAAATGTGACTGCGTAAGTAATTGACAGCAGAAATCTAGGGCAACCGCAGGATTGTTATAGTGGGCGTAGAAATAACAGGCCGTGCGGTCGCCGTAGCAAATATGACCGAGGCTTTAAATAGCATTTGCAGTCGGCAATTGTTATTTTGATTGTCTTTTTACAAACCGTTTATTTCATAATAAGAAACACTTTGAACGTCAACAACAAAATCACTCAATGGAATCTTCGACTCTAACAATGTGCACGATTTATCAGATTTGTTAAATATAAAAGCATGGCAGCTACAACTTGGAACTTTCAAACATTTCGTGGCACATTCCAACTTTGACCGAGTGGTGAATTTTCCAATAAAGGCGTTTGCGAGATTATTCACCGCTTTATTTTCCATCTTTAAAGCATATGACAGAGTATCTAGCTGTGATTGGTCACAAGGCTGCACGGTCGTTGCTTCAGTTGTCAGTACAGTAGTTGGCTCGGTTGTTTGTACAGTTGTTGGCTCAGTTGTTTGTACAGTTGTTGTTTCATCACAAACTACCAATATAAAAATAAAACACGTCTAAGATACAGTCTCATTTTAGCATTAAAATGAGATTTAAGTATAACATTTCCTCAACTCACTTTGGTAGCGTGTGTAAAAAGAGAGGGGTTGTTTAATGGGTTATGAACATAATACTAGTAATTCAGCCTAAAAGCCCGAAGAACATTAAACGATTATAATAAATAAAAAACGATACTGGACATGTGTAGGTATGCCTAAATATTGTGTCAACAGCTCCTTTTTTAGGCGTCCTAGGAATTTCATACCATGGACTAGGTGTAGAAACTGGCTTTACAATGAGTTTTATCAAAATGAATTAGGAAATAATTTTGTGTTGAAAGAAAGATGACGTTCTGTTGAAAATCCCTACGTATTGATTATACTGGGACTTGTCTAACAAGTGACTAACTTGTTTAACACGTTTACATACCTACACGTGTCCAGTATTGTTTTTTATTATAATATATATATTTGGTTGAAGCAAATATTTTGAAAGTTGTAATTTTGAATGTAATCTCCTACCTAATGAAAATTGTTGATATTTGTGAAGTTTTTCTTTCGAAATACACATTGCTGGATCACAGAACCTTGCCTTGTTCGAGATGCACGAAAAGTGTATTGTTAATACTTCACGTCGTTCGGATATTTGGATGTGATTGACGTTTTCGGTAATCTCCTACCACTGTAACTTCCAACTTAATTTTCGAAAGCCAAATATGATGGTCACGAATTGATATTTAGGTCACACGTTGATGCATACATCATGTGTACAATATGATTTTAGATGAGGTTCAGACAAAGCAATAGAAATGCATGAAACCCCTTGTGAAAATTCAAACGATTTTTCAAGAATCCTCCTTCAAAGTGTTACCAAAGTGCTCCCCGGGAATGGAAATTTCGTCTTGTGCAATCAAAATAATAGCGGGTAGTTTGAATTCATAAGTTTATTTTTGAGTTTATAGCTTACATCTCTTAAATTAAAAAAATATATTATCTCAACAAAAGGAACATGCAGTTTTTGGCGATCGGTCATGCCATAAAAAGCTAAATGTTGTGAAAATACACGAATTGACACACTGACATTTGTAAATTTAGTCTCCTACATACTTGTCGGCTCATGTTTAAAAGTCGTGAAAACAAGGTTGAACAACAACAAAATGTACCCAGTTACTGTCTATTTGTCATGGAATCACTAGAGAAAACATTCTTAAATAACTTAAATCGTTAACATTATGTTGTATTACAAGAAACTTATCAATTTAGAAATGCAAAATGATTTTCTTGTTGATCAATTACAAAAATTGGCAGCTCTGCTAGTTAACAACGTTAATGAAATTATTTAGAAGGGATTCGAGATGTACTCAAAACAAATGCGTTAAAATGTGTAAATTATGATCTTAACTACCTCAGAAATTATTTTGGAAATTAAACATGTACGATTTTTGAGATTTTTATTTTCGAATGTTGACGCAGTTGCTGAGCCTAACTGTAATACGGAATGATGACCTATACTAGATGCTTACCTATCATACATGCCACATCATTGACATTGTAATTGGAGCTCTCGTCGCTCCATTCCATGGTGTGCGCCTCCAAATAAACTTTGTCTTTGCTACCAGGGGACGATACCCAATTAGTCCAAGTTAACGGAGATCCATCATGATACCATTGGCCCCAGCTGCCTCCTGATGTCAGTTCCGCACCAATCCAAACCTTTCTAGAACCCATACTGGAAGATTTTAAAAATTACTTCAGGAGAAAGGTATTACATCAGCCTCTCCATCAGCCTCTCCATTTTTGGACACCCTGTACATTTAAAAAATATGTATTTCCGGACAATACCTCAAGTTTTAACAATTGTTTTCGTAGGTTTTGAAAACGTTCCGTTCATAGTAAATTCAAATACAGAATTTCTTTTAATATAGTTCATCAAAAATTATTTCGACTCATGAAATTCATGTATCTATGCATTATGAACTAATGCATCTAGAATTTCTGTACCGTCAAGGTCAAGGTCAAGGTCGAAATGATTCGATAAAAGAACGAGCTCACGTGTGGGTGGATTGTTTCCTTTATAACAATTTGTGGACGTCATCTCGGTTGTAAACGCCAAAGCGAGTGGACTATGGGTAAACATTTCACAGTTATGGAATAAGAAGTTTTTAAATCATCATTGTCCCATGATTTTAAGTGCTATGGTCCCTAGAATCAGCTATAGGACCTCGAAGGGAGAGTAATTTTGGAAAGTTTCAAAAAATACTTCTGGCACGGGGACACATTTGCAAAACATGAAAATTTTGGTAAACCACCTTACCTTACCAGGGAACGTCAAACGAGCATAGAAATTTGCATATGTTGTGTTGTTTATGAGATATGAGACTCCATCTGACATCAATTTATTTCCTGTCATCTATTTTGTTTTCTTGCACTTCTTTTTTGGCAGTCCAGTGATATATTTCACATATTGATATATTTGAGTCAATATTGTACAAATCGTTCGAAAAGTTTGTTCCGGAAGAAGCCTCTGCACATCCATGACTTTCGAAACCGCTTCTTCAGCAGAAGCGATATTTTGCATTTTTATTTATTTAAAGTATTTATAAAAATTCATCTTATTGAAAATTTGATAGGTTAATCCGTTCCATTTAACATCCGAAATGAATTTGTATTCATCCGCATATCATCCGGAGAAAAAGCCATGCAAAATTGTGTGAAAGGATTCATCGAAATGTAACCAAACTACGTAAATCGGAGACAACTTGGAGATTAAAAGTACTAAACTTAGATTAGAGTTATTAAAATCGCTTTTTTCTTTTTTCCTTATTTCACGCGTTGTGAGCAGAATTCTCACTACATTTTTTATCACAAACGTGTATCGATATCATCTAAGAAAATGCATATGTTTGCGAACAAATAGTTCAGAAGACAACAGCATCGTCAATTTAATACCTCACTTACGAGTAAGTGAAGTTACGTAGACGGAATCGTTTACGTTAACCGTTTTTCGAAGTTCCGTTTACGTTACTTTAATGAGGTATTAATATTTCTAGACATATGATACTGCCACGTGTTTGTTATAAAAATGTCATGGCAATTTTGCCTAATAATGTAGAATATAAATAATGGTAAATGATGAAGATTAATTGCACTAGTTGGAATAAACGGTTACTGCAGCTCCACTCTCGGCGCAGAACCACAATTTCGTCGAGGATGTGTGTTAGGTTTTGTATGAGTGAACTATGATGCATTGTTAGAACAGAACTATGTTTATTTGTGCACTTTAGTCTCCTACCATCCTTACCATATTTCAATTCTTTCCAATAAAAGCGAAGCCCGATATTGAAGAATGGTCTTATGCTATTTCTTCGGAAATCAATACGTTACTTGAGGCTGTATGATCCCAACCTCGTTTTAATACAGGGTGTCCAAAAACAGGACAGAAGAAAAGTTGAATAACTCGGTCAATTTTGAATATTCTGCCCTTGAAATTTCAGAATTATTTAGTTCATTAAATGTGAATTTCCTATTGAGTCAAACAAAAACTACAGTTCTTTATAAAATTGCTCCAAGTGAGTACAGTTCTTTATAAAACATGCTCCAAGTGGGAACATCTCCTCTCTAGCACAATTGAATTAGGCGAACGATGTTGTTGTTACTTTGGTCTTGCCTAAAGATTATGCCCCCTCCCTCCGTGTGCTTCACCTTCTCTAGATCTTGTTTTGAAGGTGGAGGAGGGGTACACAGTCTTTAGGCAAGAATATTAAATGTTTGCTTAGTTGTACTTGGTAGCTTCTTTTTTCGAAAGCAGAGTTATACGGAGAGCTTCATTTGTCATCATGGCCAGTATGAAGAAAAGGATTAAAATTGTTTCTTGAATCTTCTTATGTGGTCTGCATCGACACAACATTTGAATTGACGTTTTTATTATCCCATCGAACGAAGTTCGGGGGAGTATACGCCTCCGTCCTCAATTCCGTCCGTCCGGCGATAATTCAAATACCGTTGGACCAATATCGTTAGTTTAAAATGGCAGCAATTTTTACATGTTTTAATTTACGTTTTTTACTATAACTCATAAAGTAGTGGAGGGATTTTGATGAAATTTCATACGTGCCTAGGGAGAAACATAATTACACTAGTGAGCAGCCTTTTTATGTGCTTTATTTTACGATTTTGCTATAATTAAAAAAGTAGTGGAGGAATTTTGTAAAAATTGCAGCCACCGTTGTTCGATGTGATTTGCTACGCCTTGGCGTTGCTGTTGCAAGTATATCAATATTGGCATGTTGAAATTGAAATTACACATACCTATTTGCATCAAAGATCACCTTCAGAGATGCGCTGTCAACTGCGCTGTCCACTTTAGCAAGAACACCACCAAATTCTGATAAACAGAGGGAAATTGCTTCTACTCTGTTTATTTTATTACTGCTTTTGTAAAGTTTATACTCGTCTGAAAAACACAAAGGTTTTGGTCTTGCTAAATTCAACAGGGTTGTTTCTAAATAATACCTTCATTAACTAATTTATGAACTTAATGGAAATCTTTGGAATTTATTTTGTATCAAAATACAATACACAATCAAAATAATTTTCAAACTTACGGCACTCGGGCAAATATATTATATTACCCCCGGGATAATCCCAATATTCTGAACCTCATATAGGATAATTAAGAAATATAGACCGATCGAAGAGCAGGTGTAATAATCTCAGCGGTAACAGTATCAGTATGGAGAAGTGATATTTGTAATGCAATAATTTTGCAAAATCAAAATGTTTAAAACTCTCTTTAAAATTGTGAAACTGGGACTTTTCGTTGAATTTTGGTAAAACATAGATATTTTAAAATTGCTTGTTTTGTCCATCAATATTACTTCCATCTCCAAACAAAAAATGTGAGAGTTACGAGTAAAGTTTGGGTATGCCGTATGCAAAATTTCATGAGCCAATTCTTGTTGGATATTTTTCTACAGCTCATTGAAGTAGGCGACAAAATTATGTGTGGGGTACTAAGTTGCACTGCTTAACATTTCTTTGTAAAACCGTGAAGTCCCCAAGTCTCACAGATTAACATTTGTTAAACACAAGGCTTGTAATTGGAGCATCATGCACCAGAATTTGAATACAGACCACCCTGTTTCTTCAGTCTGTCTGCTGTGAATCTGACCAAGATTCAAAATCAAGAGGCCCAATTCTATCTAATATGCCGTTCGTGTACGTTTTGGATACATTGTGACTCTGACGAAGGACTCTGAAGTGCCAAGAGTCCACGTGGGCTTCACTGTATACAAAATTTGGCGGGGTCTTAGGCTGAACCCTCAGATATCAATATGTCCCCATGGCAATCTGTCAAACTTCAATGTGTTCCCATACCAACCGAATGCCATACCAAATGTCAAAATATAAGACCAATACCATACCAAATGTCCAAATATAGGACCAATGCCATACCAAATATCCAGATACAAGACCAAGGCCATTCAAAATGCCTAAAGCCCCATGAAGAAGGCGATCTTTGGGGAAAACGATTCAAAACAACCTCAAATTATGGACATGTGTAACCAATGCCATACCACAAGTGAGAGGTAACACAAGACTCAGCAATTACTGTATCTGCATCTCAAGCAGATATTTTCGTACATATTTAAACGTTCACAAAATACCACAAAGTCACAGTAAGGACCCGACTTATTGATTAGCAAATCTACCATGATAATAAGAACTAGAACACCCCCCCCCCCCTCCTACCCGCCACTTAATCTAAATCCCAGGCCCGCCCCGTGTCATATTTAAAAACAGCAGTTTTGCAAGAAGAAATATTTCACTATTTTTAATAATATAGGACTAGGTCAAAATCAGAAGCTATCAAACATGCGTAAGCTGATCTACATTCTATAACAAATATTGATGCTCGTTGTGTCTCAAGCATGACCTTGTCAGAAACAAGAAGTGATTTTGCTACTTGTTTAATGGTAAGAAAGATACATTTCTTGCTAAATAATATTTTGTTTTCGGATTAAATTCACTCATCAGCTGTCACATTTTTTCTCAATTTTTTTTCAATTAAAATTTTAGCGTTTATCAATGCCACTACACTCTGGAAGTGACAAATGGAATTGATTAGTAAATATTCAATTTTCTTAAAAATTGGCTGCAGTATTTTCATGTGTAGCAAGGTATAAGGTTTCGAAATTGAAATTTTGATACTATTTAATGATAATCTTAAAATTTTATGGACCGTCGTGAAGCCTACCCCTGTAAATTTTAGGGGTGGGGGTAAATGTTGCAAAAAGTGAAAAAATATTATCTAGGATTTTTTGGCACAATTGATTTTTACACCCAGGAAGGTTGTCTGGTTATATTTGGAAAGTTCCACGATATCTTCCGGTTTCGGCGCTTTCGCCCTTTTTATGTCAATTTATCTCGCTATTTAAAAGTATAGCATATTTAGAAAAGATTTATGAAAGTAAAAAAATTTAAAGAGACCATCATATTACATATGACCTAAATCACAGATGTCAAAGAGATTATTGTAGAATATTCTTAATGATTACAAATTACAAAAAATGCTACAAAATCTGGTGTATGCATAACATTTAAAGCGTAATTCAATGACTGTGTAATATTACTTTTAATCCTTAATCTTATATGGAGTATAGCCAACGTTTAATACACTGTTTAGTGTTGTTTATTTTATGATCTAAAAATCTTGTTGAAAAAGTTGTTGGTCTTTTGATTTTCCTCCATTCAGCAGCAAAAATTAGAAGACAAACAACATTTTCGGAACTCTATTTTTCGTAATATTTCTCATTTCTTAAGCAACACCAAATTGAAAGAAATTATATTTGGATGACTATATTTACAAACCTTGCACAGGGCCTTTAAAACACATTTCTAATTGTCATTCAGCGAACACTGCCTTGGGAATTCTTCGATCCCAATAAAAGCCACCGGGTGGAATTGGAAACTTAAATTTATGAGTGTATCCGGTCCTCTGGCTCGGAATGTAATGTAACCGGTTTTATAGATTCGTTACAAATAATTTGAAAATGGATAATAAAGGTAAAATAAAGACATCATCATTATTTTGGTAATAATAAATAATGCAACTTTCCTTTCTTCATACTTACAGTAATTGGTGTCACAGTTTTAGAAATTTAAAGTTTAAATGATGAAATCTCTATTATATGTTTTATGTTTTTATTTTACCTTTTCCTTTTCATAGTTTTTAGAATGCTTCATTAATTGTTTATAAGGACGATGCGTGTACTAAGTGTTGTCATGGCAATTAGATATAAAGAACATGCGCATGTCACATCTAATAAATGCTGCATAACAGCAGGGGATGAAAACACGTGAATATTTTCGACGAGTGCAACCGGATAAACACTACAAAAAACGGCTCATTTTATTTAAAAATGTATAGGTGCGTAGTTTTATTGGTCGTTTGTGAACGTTTTTACTACTTTCTTACCTGGAAATGCTCTAAAACTGTTCCCAGTACATTGTGGAAGCATTTTATTTTTACAAACTGACACAAAACTCTAGTTTTTCAATTTCCACATTATAGTAGATATAGATAGATAACTGTCAACTTATTACAGTTGATTGCTCCCCTGATGAATGTATTGCCATATAAGGAAACACTACAGAACGTTCACAGACTACCAAAAATACACGTAAAAGTACTTGTTTTCTTAACAAAAAACTGGGCGTCTCCACCCTCGGAACATATTGCGTTTGAAATAACAGACCCTTGAGTGAAAATACCTAGTGTAAGGTTTTCATTTTGCTTTAAATAATACTTGTTGACCAATTGCAGATTTGCCCAAGGGAAAAGTAGTTACATTACTATTCCATTAAGAATAAAAGTGAAGTGTTTTTACATGCTATCAAATGGTAACTGAATACTCTAAATACAAGATTATGGCATATCAACTGAGTTCATCTCATCGGACATCCGACATCACCCCTGCTGTCATATATATATCATCAGCTAGGGAGTAATCTCTAAGACTATAATGTCAACGAAGTGAGGAATTACCCAGAATGCATACAGTAGATGGACTTGTTTCTATGTTAAGATATTTTAGGTTAACTACAATAAGGCTCGAGAATTCTGGGTAATTTCCTCCTTTTGTACTTTCGCATACAAGACTTAACTTCCGTTACCATATTGAAACTTTATCTTCGTCATTTTTTAATAAAACAAAACATTATTGATGACAGGCCATTGATATAGCAAATGGAAATTCGTAGCCTTAATACAGAAACAACAAAATATTATTGCAAATCAATGTAATTGCTATTTGCATTTTGGTACCTGCCCTCCCTATGTTTGTAGAACATATTACACAACTAAAACTTTGAATTTGATAATTTTAACTATTTTCGATTCGTAGAATCATTGATTTGACTAAAAACCCAAAGAATTTCTTACCTACATGTGTGGATTATTTTATTGCAAAAAGCACAGTCCATAAAATAGGTACAAGATATATATTTCAAAGGGAATGACCAAAAACTAAGAAACCTAGGCTAGTAAGAAAACGTAAGTGTGAACCTGTTCCGAAAGAAGTGTATATCCCAAAACCATGATCTAACGTGAAGAGAAATAATGTCTAACACTCCCTCCCCCCCCCCTCCAATCGAGAACCAATGTCACAATCCAGAACCAGAACACCAAGGGACATTTCATTCATACTGAAGTCCTCATTACAATACATGTTGAAGAGAAAATTGAAAAAAATGATATCTTATACTCATAACTTCAAAAATAGATGTAAATACTAGTACTCATAAAAGAATAATGTGGGATAGACAAATTAATAATTCTCGAAGTCCATAGGATATTCAAAGTGTCAACATCCATTGGCAAAGCCTACGGCCCTCGGGTGTATATATTATATTGACCTCGGGATAATCCCAATATGCTGAACCTCGTATAGGATAATGTCGGATAATCTCTATCTATCCGATAATCTCTATCTATTAGATATAATTTGCCCGCATCTAAATTCAAGACGTTTATATATTAGACGCCAGATTGTTGAGTAAAATCATTAACAATAGAAAGTTATTTAACTAACCATATCATGAAATCAAATCGTTCAGGAAATACTCATTTCAAAAACGAAAATATGACGATTCCATTTAAATGCCATTTCTATACTTACATTGGCACTGATCTCCCGCAAATGGACTTGTACAGCAGTTTACTGATAAAGCAAAACTTCCAAGCAGCAACGTTATAAAAACGTAGTCCATTTTGTTTAAGTTAAAGGGACCCAACACCATGGTCACATGATCAGTCGTGTGGAGGTAAGCTCCCAGTTGAAATAAAAGCACTGTCCTCCTTTGGTTTCTGTGAAAAGTAGCTAATACCCTCATGTATTGGTCAGTTTGTGTGTCACACGACTAATCCATATCATATGCTTCATTCAACACATTTTATGCCATTGAGCTGCATATATAAACAGTACTTTGCAACTAAGGTCATACAGTATACTTACCCCTTGCAAATTGTAATTTATTGAATTCACAGTAAACCCATCAATTTTTAAGAAAACAAAGAATATTGTTCTCATGGATCTATTATTTATGTTAGACTAACTATGGAAATATAAATATGAAATAATATGTTAGCTTGAAGTCATATATAAGATGAAAATATATGTTCATGCATTTGCATTTTTCCAAAGGGAATTTTTCCATGGAAGTAAATACAGGTGCAATATATAATTTATATGTATATCTATGTCATCTGTCTATACATGCGCGTATAGCCTAGTGTTACATGTGAACAAGATGGTTCTGGAAAGAAATGAGCGTGGCAGATTTGCTAAAAAGCCACATACACCACAAAAGCAAGACCAATTTGAAAGTAAGTTCATTATTCTCAAGGGTACACTTCAAGTGAAAGCTACATTGCTACAGGGTGGCCTATCATTCTGAGACAAATGTATTATCCAACGATTGTGATTTTCGAAGCTAAAATATGATATCTTGAGCAGATGGAAATACATTCCCATGAGATATGTATATATAGTCAAAAGTGATAACTATTTATTGAGTGTAATGAAATGTATCCTTCGCTAACTGCTTTTGTTTGAGATAATTATCATGAAATGTTTTTAAATTAATTTTTATGTGTGTCATTGATCCTAATCCACCCTGTAGTCTGGTGTTTGTAGAGCATTGCGACTCGTACAACTTATTCTCACAAATATCAAACCTCATTTACTAATTAATTTTTTGTGTGAATATGAAGAGTCCAAGCATTGCCTTTTTATGTTTATTGTATAGCTATATTTAGCCTTGATATCCATGATTTTTTAAAACAAAATCTCACCGTTAGATTTCGAGCTATTCATGTTTACTCATTTGTCTAATTGGAAAACAATGCAAATCTCATTTTTTCAAAGGAAAAAATTGAAATTCTAAGACGGTGAAAAATCATTAAAAATACACAGATTCAGAATCCGGCAAGCATTTTCCCTTATTCCTCTCCGTTAAGAAGTTTTGCAAGGTGTTGGATTCCTTTAAGTTTCAATTGTAACATGTATATTGTATAATCTATCTGTATTGTTTCTGATATTTCTCGATTTTAAGCCCTCACATTATTTGGCGCCTATATGTATTTTTACATTCTGAAATGATCTGTTCCGATATCCAATACTAATAAACGACCTGGAGGTATCTTGTACTTTACTGTACTCCCACTAATATTTATCGCAATTATATTATCTAAACTGACATCTTCAGAGAATATTACTTTTTTTCACTTTTCAATTTCAGTGATTTGATCCATATTCTGGATGAAAAATGCACGTTTTCATATGTACCACACATATGAGTAATAGTATGCAAGTGGCTTCAAATGAATGATTCTCACCTGTCAAGTCCCGATTAAAATCAAGAAATATCCCGACCTTTTAGAGCTTTTAATGATTTTCTAGTAAAACCCACTATTTTCCTCTGATTTTCCGGATTGTCGATTCAGATTTTGTAATTCCGATTTTTCTCCTAATCTTTTAGAAACCCCGAATTTCTCTCTTTCTTCCGAAAAAATCAGAGTTTCTATCGATTTTTAACCCATATTTTTATCCTGATTTACCCCGATTTATTTCTGAAAATCCCGATTTCTTTCAGTAAATACATCCTGTTTTGTTCCAAACAACCCTGACTTTTAGATAAAAATTTCGTTGTTCTTTCGTTTTTTTTCGATTTCGACTTCGACCGAAAAAATGATGGATGAAATGACTTTACCAAAAATGTTGATATTTAATTTTACTTGGACCTTAAAATGATGCATTGCTTTCTCTTTTCAGGTACAGAGAATTTGTTATTCCTGTAGATATCATAGATGCTCAATTTTTTTAAATGGAAGATTTTTTATTCAAGCACTCATTCAATACACATTGTACATTTCAAGTACAATGTATAGAAGAATACAAATATAATTTCACAAAAGTTTTATATGTAGAAATATGTACTGTAAGTTGTATAAGTTTAAATGAATATAATTTTACATTATCTTACAACTTGAACTTCATTTATACCCATTCAATTCATTCATATATGCATTCTCTCACTCACACGTTGACTTTCACAGTGGTATATCTCTTTCCTTAGAGTCCTAATGAACTTTGTATTGTACATTCATAAATACCCAAATTACACATTAAAGGACATAAAATTTTCAAATATCAAATCTCGTTTTCACTGAAAACAAAAATTCTGACGCATTTTGTCCCATTATGGGGTCACTGCACTTAATGACCCCTATCTCAACCTATCTGGCTTCAAACTCTTAAATATTCTCCAAAGTATAATTTGACATTGAATTAGCTATTGTAAATCTAAAAATAATGCATTCTGGCCATAGGTGGACTTGTCATCACGAAATTGATTTTCATAAAATTAATAAATGACCCAAGGGGGATGAAAGGGTTAATATCTAATTTCACATTCACTCAAAATTCAAACGGAGGTCAGATTCTTCAAGCTGACCCTTTCAGCTTTCCAATGGTGTATTGGAACTACACACTATTTTCAAATATCAAATCTTATTTCGACCAAAAAATGTCATTTTGAAATTGAATTTCATAAAATTAATGAATGACCCCTTGGGAATGAAAGGGTTGAGCAATGTAATGGAAATGTGTGTCATCGAATATGGGTCAAATCATGTTGGAATAGTGTCACAAAATGGATTGGTCACAAGAAAGACGGAATTGAAGATATTCAATTCAAAGGGAAGGTCACCCAAAGTATCGATATGGTGAACTTTTTGAGCACACGTTTCTCTTAATCCAGTCACCAAAAAATTCTGAAAATTTTACACATCGTCATTTTAATGGTCATCTTTCGAATGGTAACACTATAATTTGAAATAAATAAATACACTTTTCTCTATATTGTTTTAGAAAACACATCAGACACTTCTTTTGTTCTTGGTATCATATGTTCGGAATGAAATGAAACATCTATCCGAACCTCATTGGAACAAAATGACATAAACACAACATGTTTAGGTCTCTCAATATTGTAATTGTACAAAGGAATGTTTGGTTGCTTTAAAAAAGTATCTTGTTAATGAAATAAAAGGTTTATCTTAATTTTTATCTATTTTGGGGGGTTTTGTTTTAATTTTTGAATACGTTTTGTTAAATCAACCAAAATTTCCTTTGTATAACTATAATATTGAGAGGTCTGAGAAAATGTTGTATATGATATTTTGTTCCAACAAGCTTCGGAAAGATATTTTATTTCATTCTCAAGAATTGGTAAAAGGAACAAAAAACAATTGCACTAAAAAACAAAAAAAATGTTAACAAAAAACAGTTATAAAAATATATATAAATAATTTTCGCATTAAATTGTTGTCAATCAGTCAAAATTACATAAAGGATCGTGTTTTTTACAGAATATTTTCAATGATTGCTTTTAGAGAAAAACATTGTTGAATTCAGTTCACCATATCGATACCAATCATTTAAAATATGTAGGATACCGTCATGGATATAAAATGCAGTTGTATGTCACCCAAGTTCACACAGTGGGTATAGTGTAGGCTATTATTTAAACCGTTGTAACTACGTACGTAATTGCCTTGTAGTCGTCAATACAAAAGAATGTTTTTTCAAAATAGTAATTGTACTTGATCATATACTAAAGTTTTAGGATGACATCTTGTTCCTTTTTTGAAAAGATTTTAAAGAAATAGTTTACTCATTTTCCCTTGTTTTGTCTTTCACCAATTCTAGTTGCCAACATCAAAATAGAAAATGTGGGTAATTGTATCACAAGTTTATGATTGAAAGTCATTTTTAGCATCTATCCAATACTAAAATAGGGTTTTGAAAGAATATGAAGATATCTTTTACATTAGGTTACATGACTCAGTAGTGCCCTACCTCAGAAAAAACATAATAAGTGGGTGTGGCCATATCTTTTAATTCTTTTTTTTATTAAAAATATTTATTCTCTAAATTAAAATCAATAATAACACTTGACACTTTTAATAAGTGTATCAGTGTGAAAAACATAAAACATTAATTTGAGTCACATGGAAATGAGAAAAAAGAACAATTAAAGATATTTACTCACTCAAAGGAGAATAAAACTGATTACAATTAATAAATGAATTAACGCAAGGAGCACACGCGTCTCGAACTCGCAACCTCGTGGTTACGGCACCAATCGCCTAGCCTGAACGTGCTGGCACTCAAGTCCTCTCGGCCAACTCGAAAACCCCAAAAAAGTTTGTTTTGTTACTCGATCTGACTAGAGGCAGCTGATGTTAACGCTCAGACATACCAGAGAAAGCACCCTACCCTTTTTTCCCTTTGGCACTTGTGCTTATATATTTCTAAATACACACACGTCGCTCGACTGTCCTTAAGAACCCAGAGCGGGTTAATACCTCTGCAACTGAAAGCTCAGACAGTGGTCATAAATGAATAAACGCAAGGAGCACACACGTCTCGAACTCGCAACCTTAAAATGTACATATATGTTTGTCAATAATTTAGGTCATTCATATTTTGAAATCATATGAATTTTAAAATTCTTTTTAAAACAGTAAATGGAAGGTGATGTTTTCAAAGAAGTTGGCAGATTATTCCAAAGCCGAGCACCTGAATATTTTATTGATTGTAAACCTATAATTGTTCTAAATATTTTCATGTGAAGACAATTTTCATGTTCGTGAAATATTATGTTTGGAGTAAAATAATTCTCAAATATGTCAAAAGGAAAGGTTTTGTTGTGTATTGATAAAGAAATTTTGCAACTTGAAGCGTATGTATGTCAAAAATATCAAAAATTGAGTTGTTTAATAAGAGGTTGGCTATGTGCTAAAAAGTCAGAATTTGTGATTATTCTCACTGCACGTTTTTGTAACAAAAGCAGTTTATTCAAAAATGTTTTACTTGCATTACCCCACATGATATTGCAATAGTTCAATGTGATAATATAAGTGAATTATAAATGGTAATCATAGTTTTTGTATTCAATTTATATTTAATCTTTTCCAGAATACCAATAATTTTTGATATTTTATGTATTACCTTATTTATGTGCTCATTCCATTGATCATTTGTTACTCTCAGAAAATTTGTATGCATTACTCTTTTAAGAATATTACCCCCTATTTTTATGTTAAAATCTTGACTTTCATCAATATTTATCTTTGATCTCGTAAATAGCATATAATTTGACTTGTCTATATTCAATGAAAGTTTATTTGATTTGAACCATTCTAATGTATTTTCCATTTCTAAATTTACATTTCCAGCATTTCTATCATCCTCCTAAGCAGGTGTCCAGAATCCGTACCTCCTTCTTCCCCCCTGCTATAACCAATTTGGGAGCGCCTGGTTTAACTGAATCACGTGATCTAATTATGCGCAATGACTTATGCATGATTTCTGTCGCAGTGTTGCGACAGCCAATCAGATTGCGAGTTCTTAATCGGGGAAATGCTAACTGCTATCGCAGGGGGTAAAAAGAAAGAATATATTCTGGATTTTGAAGCCCTGTGATCGGAGGATGGATTTCTATATAAATCATGAAGATTTTTGTTTGAACATAAGATATTTGTATCATCAGCAAAAATAGAAAATTTAAGAATATTTGAAACCTTATATAAATCATTTATATAGAGAATGAATAAGATAGGGCCTAAAACAGACCCTTGAGGTACACCACAAGTGATAATGTTTTCTTCAGGAATGGCAAATCTAATTGTAATTTCTATGGTAATTTTGTAGTGATTGTTTTGCCATAAAGTACACCTAATTTGACCAGAATACAGTTCAACTTTTAGAGGCCTGTATAGGAGGTTTTGTCAGGATGTTGATAAGTTTTTCTTTTGTTAATTATATTTCTGGGAACAAAATCGTCATTTTCGAGTTTACAACCTTTAACTAAATTGTTGTGGTACAAAGATACATATTTCAAAAACTATTTTCTCAACAATCTTTATTTTTGATATGGTTAGTGGCAAAATACAGGCAGTTTCCGTGAAATTAAGAAAAATCAATCAAGTTCAAGTTCTAGGTAATAACAATGTTTTCAAGAGGGGGTCGTTTCAGTAGGTTTGGACTGTATATACTATACATATGATTGGATTCTGATTATCTATCTTAGCTTATGACTTAATCATCCATACTTACTTACTTACTTCATCCATAAACTTATGTAAAGTGAACATGCCAACAATTACAATTATATTCATCTTTATATTGATATTCATCTTTACTCTTTGAGTTAGATCTTCGAGATACTCCTTTGATCTAGCCTTTAGCTAATCATAATACGAAGAATATTGTCGCTGAAAGTCAAGCTATTCAATCAGAATAATATACACTGAATTTTGTGCTTTCTTGAGTAACTGCCTTTCATTTCATTTCATAATGGAAGTCATTAACTTCTTGTGTCAGCATCAAAACTGTATATTTATTTCGCTATTCAGAGGCTTAGTATATACTACGTTCAGAATAAAATGGTAAAAGAAACCATTATTGAAAGCTGGAGTAAATCTTACATGTAAGAGTGTATTTGCCCCTTCCCCAGATACAAAAGGGTATCATATAGGGGCCTAATGTCAAGCCAATGGGTCCTATGCTTAGTCAGGGCTGCCCAGTACCACCTTAAAGCTATTCAGTGGCCACAAGGGGCCTCTGAACCAAAACTAGAGATTTAATAGTACATCTGATCATAGCTAAGCTCATCCCCTCAAACTATTAGCACACATAGGTGTGTTAATGTTCAAGGTAAAACATAATATGTGCCCTTCATGACTTTTGACCCCTGATTTAGGGATGTTAGTATTCATAATTTTACTGTTATCTACAGTGCAAAACAAAAAATTAGAAAGGATTTTGCGTGAAATTCAGTCAAAAATAGAGACAGTTGGCGGTATGTTTATGTTTATGTATGTTTATGTATCTTTATTTCCTTCGTATTAAGAAGAGCATATAACACAGTAATACAGTTAGTACATAGTAATTAATTAAACATTTTTTTTAAAAACGGGGGTTTTGAAAAAGTCATTTACACTTATCGTACATAAAAATAATTTTACATGTGTACATTTTGCGTATTCGTTTTACTTTATTTTAAATATATATATTGAATTGAAATGCAATTGCATTGAAAATTTCGTTTTCTCGAAAGGTTTTATATATCTTTCGAGGCTGCATTTTAGAGTTTTCAATTTTTTCAAAATATATATCAAAGAACAATACATGTTATTATCGTATGATATGTAAAATGAAACCCTCTGATTGGTCAGTTTGGTCAGATTGGTCTTAACCAATCTGTATTGCAACTGAGATTGTCCCCATTGATCATCTCTGTAGCAATATAGAATCGAAAATCTTGGTACTGAGAGAACAATCTGAGTAGCAATACAGAGAATACAAAATAGTTCTTGGGGATTGCGCTTAAGATCACACGATAAAAACGATATTCTGTATTGCCACTCGACTTCGTCTCGTTCCAATACAGAATTTCTTGAGAAGAATATATCCTGTATTGCTCTTCAAATCATTCAACGAAGTATAATGTTCATATATCGAAGTATTTGTATTTCAAGTTAAAAAAAAAATCACATCCATTTTTAAGTATGGCCACTTTTCGATTGGAAACATAGGTCGTGCAGGTATAGACCAAATCCCAGGGACCAAATGATGCCATGTGATAACCTGGATATTGATTGCCTCATCCATACATTTTAATACTGGAGCAGGTAAAAACAAATTACAGGGTGGTTCAAAAAAGTAGCATTTTCTATTGAAGAGAAAATTTTAAATTTTATTTTCAAAGTCCTGTCATACAGACGTGTAGGTTTTGTTTGGTGTTCGTTTTTTCGTCATATGTGGCCTAGGAGCGAGCAAATATTTAATTGACATCTCGAGTACAAAAGGTTTGCTGCTCATGGCCAAGTCAATTTTTGAGCAGTCTATAGGGGGCGTTAAAAAGTAGGCGTTTAAATTACGTCTGCCAAATGATCCCTTTTAGCTAATACACTGGTGATCCACTCGATTACGCTGGTTACCAAAACGGTTCGTTTTGGTAACAAAATGTCGGAACATCGAAGGTACGATTTTTCTTTTTTCCTTATTTCACACGTTGTAGGCAGAATTCCCACGAAATTTTTAACACAAACGTGTATCAGTATCATATGGTTAAGAAAATGTACATATTTGCGTACAAATAGTTCAGAAGACAACAGAATCGTCGATTTAATTACTCACTTAAGTTACATAAACGGTTTTTCGAAAAACGGTTAAGATCTGCACTTTTAACCCAAACCGTTTATGTAACTTAAGTGACGAATTAAATCGACGATTCTGTGGTCTTCTGAGCTATTTTTTGCAAACATGTACATTTTCTATCAAAAGAGGGGATGGTGTAAAAAACCAGGGAAAATATTTTCTTAATTTTTGTATTTTTTACACATTTTCAGGTATGACAGTTTGTTCTTTTTATGTATTTTATATGTATGTATGTTCCGCCTCATGTTTGTAGCTATTTCATGGTATATTTAATATGTAATTGTGCAATTTATTTTGTACTTAGAACTCAAGGAATAATTTTCAGAAGTGTCACATGACACGCCCCATATTAATTACATGCAGACATTAGAAATATGTACTGATATACGTTTGTGAGAAAAAACGTCGTGGGGATTCTGCCTACAACACGTGATATAAGGAAAAAAATCGTACCTTCGACGTTCCGACATTTTGTTACCGAAACGGTTCGTTTTGGTAACCAGCGTAATCGTGTGGATCACCAGTGTAATATTTGTTTTTGAACAGACGCAGTTAAATTGACCGTTATCTTAATTGAGAGTCACTAACCTTACTCATCACATAGAAAATATTTTGAATGCAAAGGGAATTCTTCATTTGATTTTGCGATATGACCACAAACGTGCGCCTTGAAATCTTTAACTTTTTAAATTACTCATTACCACTGTTCCACAGCTGGGTGACTCTAGTTAAAGTTAAGATCATCCAAGACAGTTACCAAAATTCATTGTTTTCAATAAACTTCCGATTTTAGCTACACTAAGTTTGATCTGAATTCCAAATATTTCGCTATATACGAAACTGTAATGAACAGTTCCAAGAAAACGTTCAAACACCCGCAATATTGGAGAAATTAAAAGAAAACGGCTTCACTTAGAATGACTCTAACTGAATTTGGTGATGACATTATAGGAATGACACTCACTGAGACGGTAGATGACACTTACTCTATGGGATGAATACATGCATGACCATTTGAGTTAGTGTCATCAATGGTGAATATCATGTTTGAGTTTAATCAAATATAGTTAGAGTCATTCTAAGTGAAGCTGTTTTCTTTAAAATTCAGATATTAATTCGGGTGTCTGAGCATTTTTTCTTTCTGTTTACAACTAGTACTTCATTAGTTTGCATGGCGAAACATTTGAAATCCAGTTTCAACTTAGTTAAGCTGAAATCGGAAGTTTATCGAAAACTAAAGAACTTTGGCCACCATCTTGTATGACACTAACTGCAGTTAAAGTCATTCAGCTGGGGAACATGGAGATGGTTTCAATGGGAATGTGAGGGTTCTTTGATAATTCATCCAACTCATTTATCCTTTACAAGTCAATGTGTAGACATAAAATATCAGGAAACTATGATTTTGCCCCAGGGCTTTCTCCCTCAATAGTACATTATCATGCTCAAAAACATACCCCCATCAACAGTATCACTTCTAGCCTCTGGCCCTCGAGGTACGTGATTATCTCCTGATGTTTTCAAAATATCATCAAGGAACATATACAGGCATCTCAATGGAGCTTTTTCATCTTCAGTGTCTGGCTATACTTAATCAGTTTCACGCTGTCTATAACTTATGAGAGGAACAAAATAGAATATTGTAAATTTTAAGAGATAAAATGAAGATTGTTTTTGCCATAATAATATTTGGAGGCTTAGCCTTTTCAGTTAACTGTAATTGCGCGAGTCCATTTGCAGGAGATCAGTGCCAATGTAAGTATAAACATCATTCGAAATATGATTTGCGTGGATGTTTTGTAATTTCTTATGAAGTGAAAGTAATCAGCTGCGGTTCAACAAATTCCTTAAACCAGTCATCAAAACATTCTTAAAATTTTACACATCGTCAATTCAATGGTCATCTTTTGGATGGTAGCATTATAATTTGAATTATATATATATATACTTTTCTTTATATTGTTTAGAAAACACATCAGAAACTTCTTTCGTTCTTGGTATCATATGTTCGGAATGAAATGAAACATCTATCCGAACCTCATTGGAACAAAACTACATAAACACAACGTGTTTAGGTCTCTCAATATTGTAATTGTACAAAGGAAAGTTTGGTTGATTTTAAAAAAGTATCTTGTAAATTATATGAAAGGTTTATCTTAACTTTTATCTATTTGGGGGGGGGGTTGCATAATTTCTGTTAAATCAACCAAAATTTCCTTTGTATAACAATAATATTGGGAGGTCTAAGAAAATGTTGTATATGCTATTTTGTTCCAACAAAGTTCGGAAAGATTTTTTATTTCATTCTCAAAATTGGTAGAAATGAACAAAAAACAGTTGCACTAAAAAACAAAACATGTTAACAAAAACAGTTATACAAAATGTATATAAATGATTTTTGCATTGAATTGTTGTCAACATTACATAAAGGACCTTGTTTTAGTACAGGATGTTTTCAATAATTGGTTTAAGAGAAAAACATTGTTGAATTCAGTTCACCATATCGATACCTATCCTTTAAAAAATGAATAAGAACAGGCGACTTCAAAAAATGGCTAATTCTTCTTCAAATTAAGATAACACCCTAATTACTTTAACTTGCTTTTCTATATAATGAGGACCAGAAAAAATTACAAAAAATGCTAAAACTAACCGCTCTTATATCAATTGTACTTATCAATCTTATCTAATAAACGTCTATTTAATTGACATTAGAATATTCCCGGGCTCTTTGTAATTTTTTTAGTTTGCAAGTGTCCGCAAACACTGTAAACCTATTACATTGTTAAATATGATCTAAAAAATCTTGCAATGAACTTTTTTCGAGACTCATGTTTGACTTTTTACCAAAATATAGCACCCACGCCCGGCTATTGGATGTGGTTTTTATCTATTAATTTAGCGCGAGGAAAAGAACCAAGATCAAAATATTTCTAGACAATGCTGTTCCATTTGACAAAGTTCCATCCAAGTTATTGTTACACAAACTACACGCTTATGCTGTTAATGTCCAGCTGTGTAAGCTTGTTTATATGATCATATTTTATTGGTCTAGAGAGATTTTCATCAATTATTTCTGGAACCGAAATCAAATATGGAGTACTTTAGGGTTTTATACTTGGTCTGTTACTTTTTATTCCAAATATCAATGTTCGTACAAATAGGTTAAATGGGCAATCCTTCAATTATGTCAACAACACATCGCTGCATTTTAATTTTCAAATTTACTTTTTTCTGTTTTAGATGAGTATTTGTCATTCAACAACATCGATGATATAACGAGAAGCGAGGCAGAAATCAGATGTATGACGCATTTTGGCGCCGTTCTTGCCAAAGTGAACAGCGCGGCAGATAGCGCAACCCTAAGTAGTATAATCAACATATATGGGTATTATATGTAATGGATCAATAAACTATATTAGATTCTGGATATTGGATATGTCCTAGGGGAAATATAGATCTTACCGAGGGCCCAGACCTGGATTCGAGGTTAGATATCATATTTCCCGAAGGCAGACACAATGACAAAGATAAATTATTTGTCTTTGCCGAGGGATATATCCCATATTCAAACCGAGCAATATACTATTTTACTCCTTGACATTTAACTTGTCTATATCATTTTAGCTGAATGTGAAAAGCTAAAACGAATCCCCATAAGTCTAAAATCTTAATTGTTTAAATATATTTTATGAACCATACTACGATTACTCTAGAGGTTCGTTTTACATAGAGATAGACTTGTGTATCAATGAATTCTGGGATATTTCCTCTTGTGGTAATTTTGAACTTGAACGTGCCTGAATAATATTACTTAAAAAATGTTGCAGAGGTAAAAATGTTTGGATTGGCGCCGAAAAGATTGGCGGTAGTTGGTACTGGCACAACGATGGGTCTTTAGTAACTTGGACTAACTGGGATAGCCCCGCGGGTACCAAGGACTGTGCCTATGTGAATACCCAGGACATGGCTTGGATAAACATAGGCTGTCATGAAAAAGCTCCTATTGTAGCCTGTATGAAAGGTATAAGCTGCAGTATTGAAAATCATATTTCAATCAAGACGTTCTATTTGGGGATAATTTTAAGATTTCAAAGTTTGAATAGGTAGTAGAAATGTGATTGGCGGAGCTACCGAGTGTATACACCCATCGTCTGCCCCTGTGTAGACGTTAATTACGTCTATGATGACGTAAAGTTAACCCAGCGTGGACACGTAAATTAAGTCTTTGCAGACTACGGCTGTGTTTTGAACTGCCCGCGGCGCAAGTCAGTTGCGTAATACTTAGTTACGTGTACATACGTACCTGAACCGAGTACCGGCCTGACATTTTTTATATAAAACTACATGTATGAGTGATTTCCGTCGTGCGCATCGCTCAGTTCGAAGATTTTCAACTCTTGTGGTGTATCAGCGACAAGGCAACTTGAGTGTGATTGACAAGATTGTCATAGCGAAATTAAGCGGTGTTAGTGCGCTTGGATGAGCTGTTTTTGTTGAAAACATGTGACCATGTTATTTTCTCCGCGTGGCCTATTGATCTTTTTCGTGATACCCATGGAGATGACTCATATATTAACTATATATGAGCCTGGCCATAGGAAAACCGGTCTTATCACAAAAATTAAAATTGTTCTACAGAGCCAAAATTGTGCCCAAGATTAAGAGAGAAATGTGTTAAATTTAAATTCGACATTTTGGTCTATATATGCAAGGAAAATTGTTAAAAAATAAGTCATGGCTCATTTGAAAGGTCTCTTTGTGCTTTTTAAGATAAACAAAAAATAAGAATATTGAAAAAATCTGTGATAAGACCCAATTTCCTGTGGCCTGGCTCATATATATACTCATTTGAATATTACACAAATTGACTTGCGCCTCGGGCATTAAAAACGCAGCCTTAAACAAACGCCTGCATTCATTAGTTAGATCCGCCAGAGATAATTTTAACGCCGTTAATTTACGCCTGTTTGTGTAACCATAGTCTGGCGTAATTAAAGTTTACACAGACACAAACAGCGGCTGTTTTCCCTGTCAAAACGTGCTTTGCTAAGTTGATTTTCTGATTTGTACTTGCAGTTCATGAAGTCTATGAAACTACTGGACAACAATTATCAACTGAACCTAGAGCCGAAACCACTACTGAAACAACAACCGCACAGCCCTGCACTGTTTCGTCGAGGTTGATTACAACCAGATATGCCATTGATAAAAAGGCAGTAAACATCCCAAACGCAATTTGTCGGAAATCGATCATCGCTAGATCCAAATTGGAGTGTGCAACTAAATGTTTGCAAATTACCGATTGCAGCTGCCGAGCCTTTCTATTTAACAAATCTGACCGAAAATGTACTCTGCTGGAGTCGAAGGTTCAGTTGAGTAGTTTTGTTGTTGACGTTGGTGTTGTTTCTTATATTGAAATTGATGATTTTCAAGAGAACACCGAAACAGCGAAAGGTTTCCAGGATGACTAAAACCTCTTATACACTTATTCATTTTAGGAACCACAATCTCTTCTATATCCCTTGGAATAGAGAGACAACCTTTACATAAGGATAAACTCTCATAAATCAAAATTAAATTTGTTGTTTCTATATAACGACCACAGATTCGGGGCTGAGTTATAATAAAATTATGTTATGGGAGGTTTTGGATATTGGATATGTCCTAGGGGAAATATAGATCTTACCGAGGGCCCAGAGGATTCGAGGTTAGATACCATATTTCCCGAAGGCACAATGACACATATAAGTTATTTGTCTCTGCCGAGGGATTTATTGTGCTTTTGTACATAGGCTTGGAGGTCAGAAGCAGCTTATAGAAATATGTAGAAATAAAAAAGAAACACAATGTTTTAGAATCCAAAAATGTATAAAAATTCAAATTTAAGAAGTGAAATGAAATGTTTCAAATGTTGCCAAATAAGTGAGGAGAATTCAAGTCCAATAAATAAATCTTAAATCTACCCAGCCTTCATTCTCCGAACGCAGGGTGTCGTGAATCATACATTAATTTCTTTCTCCTTCTTGGAATAAGGAAGGAACTTTGTGTATGATTCTGGAACCCTGCGTTCGGAGGATGAACTTATAAAGTCATAACAAATAGTAAATGAATGATAAAAAATATTTTCAAACTTTACATGGGGACTTCAAATATTCTCCGAAGTATAATTTGACATTGGATTAGTTATTGCTAATGATAATCCATGCTGGACATAGCGTACTTGTCATTTTGTAGTTGATTTTCACAAAATTAATTAATGACCCCTTGGGGATGAAAGGGTTAATATCTAATTTTTCCTTTAATAAAACTTCGAATGAAGGTCAGATTCTTAAAGCTTACCTATTCAGCTTCCCAATGGTGTATTGGAACTACACACTTTTTTCAAATATCATTTGACCGAAAACAGATATTCTGAAACATTTTTTAGCATAATGGGGGCACACTTAATGACCCCTATCTCAGCATATCTTGGTTCAAACTCTTAAATGGAACCTTATTGTAACCTTAGGCCATAGGTGGTCATTTATATCACCCTAGTTTGCTCTACTACTATGGCACATGTTACTATTAATTCTAACTTACATTTCAAATTACATGGGATTGTTTAAACAGACAAAGCCTTGTTGCAAGCAAAAAAACAATTTATGTAACAGTGCTTTGGGTTATTATTATGAAAAGAATCGATAGGACTTGGCATTTTGTTTGTTGTTTATTCCCTCGGCGGTGTCTACTCGCAACCTTGGAGATTTCAAGTAACATTCCAATAAATTGATTAAAAAGGTGTATTATTGCGCTTGATTTTTTGTTGATCTTCATGAGATGGTCCTCTAGAGGATTTTTATATCAGCACCACAAGTGGTGACATATTGTTTAAGTGTCCAATTTTTTTGTGGACGTTTTTGGGCGTCCGCCGGTTGGTTTTCGGCGGTTGGCGTCTTACAGATGGCAGAAGGTGACATTTTGTATGTTAATGGCTTGTCTCCTCTTGTTCTCGTGACTGAAGATCCACGAAGAATGGCCTCGTTTACGATGAAAGTCAAATGTTCTCATTTTCCTTAAATCTCCCAGATTTTGAGATATTCGGGCATTACTTTGTAATTATCTACAATCTGGACTTCATAAGTTTGCATAACAAAATATTTTGAATCTAGAACTCAATTTGTTTACTTTGATTTGACCCTAGCATATCCAACAAGGCATTAACATGGAAAATGCCATCCCCTGTCATTTGTTAAAGATGCCTAACACCAACCATCTTGCTTCATGAAGCTTCGGACATGTCCTCAGGTAGAACGTAGTGATTGAGTGTGGGAACCGACGATGAACACCAACCGCCGCTACAAAAAATTAGAGACTATAAAAATATCACACGGGAATAGCCTGACAACGGTAAAGTCCGATACCGTTGTCACACATTCGTGTTACATTCGGCCAACTTCGTTCGCGTTTGCAATGCAAATCTTCATGAACTGTATGTTTAATAGAGCACCTAGACTAAATTCCTTTGGAACAACAATCAATCCAAGGATGATATAATTATTACGCCAATATGAAACAGCAACCGCAAAATAATTCAAAATGTCTGCATTATTCGAAATGGCCCTTATTCTAAATGAAAATTATGTATTTCAAAAAGTTTTCTTTCAATTCAAAGTGGCTGGGTATAATTTTCCTGTAAATCTAACGTTCTTGCTTCACTTGCAATACTGTTCGGCAGATTTTAAAATGTGCTCCATGTGCGAGTAAATAGTAAACAGAAAAGGGGCCCCGTGAAATATAAATGCACCACAGCACATTCCCATTGATACTAAGGCATACAGTATTGTTTTATTTATGAACACTTCAATTTATAAAGAGGCCCTGTAAAGTATATATCACCACATCACATTTCCATTGATACTAGGTCTACAATATTGTTTTATTTATGAACACTTCAATTTATAAAGAGGCCCTGTAAAGTATATATGCACCACATCACATTTCCATTGATACTAGGTCTACAATATTGTTTTATTTATGAACACTTCAATTCATAAAGAGACCTTGTAAAGTATATATGCACCACATCACATTCCCATTGATACTAGGCCTACAGTATTGTTTATTTATGAACACTTGAATTCATAAAGAGGCCCTGTAAAGTATAAATGGACCACAGCACATTCCCAATGATACTAGGCCTGCAATATTGTATATTTATGAACACTTCAATTCATTTAAAGAGGCCCTGTAAAGTATAAATGCACCACAGCACATTCCCATTGATACTAGCCCTGCAATATTGTTTTACTTATGAACACTTCAATTCATAAAGAGGCCTCATAAATGCACCACAGGACATTCCCATTGATACTAGGCCTACAATATTGTTTAATGTATGAACACTTCAGTTCATCAAGAGGCCTTGTAAATGCACCACAGGACATCCCCAATGAAACTAGGCCTACAATATTGTTTTATTTATGAACACTTCAATTCATAAAGAGGCCTTGTAAAGTATAAATGCACCACTGCAGATTCCCATTGATACTAGGCCTACGATATTATTTAATTTATGAACACTTCAATTCATAAAGAGGCCTTGTAAAGTATAAATGCACCACTGCAGAGTCCCATTGATACTAGGCCTACGATATTGTTTTATTTATGAACACTTCAATTCATAAAGAGGCCTTGTAAAGTATAAATGCACCACTGCAGATTCCCATTAATACTAGGCCTACAATATTGTTTTATTTATGAACACTTCAATTCATAAAGAGGCCCTATAAAGTATGAATGCACCAAAGCACATTCCCAATGATACTAAGGCCTTCATTTTTGTTTTATTTATGAACACTTCAAATCATAAAGAGGCCCTGTAAAGTATAATGCACCACAGCACATTCCCATTGATACTAGGCCTACAATATTGTTTTACTTATGAACACTTCAATTCATAAAGAGGGCTTGTAAAGTATAAATGCACCACAGCACATTCCCATTGATACTACATGTAGGCTGCAATATTGTTTTACTTATGAACACTTCAATTCATAAAGAGGCCTTGTAAAGTATAAATGCACCACAGCACATTCCCATTGATACTAGGCCTGCAATATTGTTTTATTTATGAACACTTCAATTCATAAAGAGGCCTTGTAAAGTATAAATGCACCACTGCAGATTCCCATTAATACTAGGCCTACAATATTGTTTTATTTATGAACACTTCAATTCATAGAGGCCCTGTAAAGTATAAATACACCACAGCACATTCCAATTGATACTAGGCCTACAGTATTGTTTTACTTATGAACACTTCAATTCATAAAGAGGCCCTGTAAAGTATAAATGCACCACAGCACATTCCCATTGATACTAGGCTTACAGTATTGTTTTATTTATGAACACTTCAATTCATAATGAAGCCCTGTAAAGTATAAATGCACCACAGCACATTCCCATTGATACTAGGCCTACAGTATTGTTTTACTTATGAACACTTCAATTCATAAAGAGGCCTTGTAAAGTATAAATGCACCACTGCAGATTCCCATTGATACTAGGCCTACGATATTATTTAATTTATGAACACTTCAATTCATAAAGAGGCCTTGTAAAGTATAAATGCACCACTGCAGAGTCCCATTGATACTAAGCCTACGATATTGTTTTATTTATGAACACTTCAATTCATAAAGAGGCCTTGTAAAGTATAAATGCACCACTGCAGATTCCCATTGATACTAGGCCTACAATATTGTTTTATTTATGAACACTTCAATTCATAAAGAGGCCCTATAAAGTATGAATGCACCACATCACATTTCCATTGATACTAAGGCCTACAGTTTTGTTTTATTTATGAACACTTCAATTCATAAAGAGGCCCTGTAAAGTATAATGCACCACAGCACATTCCCATTGATTCTAGGCCTACAATATTGTTTTACTTATGAACACTTCAATTCATAAAGAGGCCTTGTAAAGTATAAATGCACCACAGCACATTCCCATTGATACTACATGTAGGCCTGCAATATTGTTTTATTTATGAACACTTCAATTCATAAAGAGGCCTTGTAAAGTATAAATGCACCACAGCACATTCCCATTGATACTAGGCCTGCAATATTGTTTTATTTATGAACACTTCAATTCATAAAGAGGCCTTGTAAAGTATAAATGCACCACATCACATTCCCATTGATACTAGGCCTACAGTATTGTTTTATTTATGAACACTTCAATTCATAAAGAGGCCCTGTAAAGTATAAATGCACCACATCACATTCCCATTGATACTAGGCCTCCAAATAAGTTTCATTTATCAACACATGAATTCATACTATTTCATTTTTCTTTTTCTTCAGTCAAGAAGATTATATGGGAGAGATGAGTTCAGAAGAATAAGTAATAATATTTCAACTCAACATTAAATAATTTGAACGCTTCAATTCATTAAGCATTTATATCCTTTATCCAGGCATCATACTGTCAAACTATAAAGACCTATTTATATGTTATGCATTTTGTAAATGATCTTATATTTCCAGACAATGCATCATATAGAATAATGGTTATGATATTAATGCAACATTCAAAGGATTGTGGAAGCCCCCATATGGGAAGGGTTGGGGATTACACCAAAATAGAAACTGGGCTGCCTTTCCAGACAATGTATCATATAGAATAATGGTTATGATATTAATGCAACATTCAAAGGATTGTGGAAGCCCCCATATGGGAAGGGTTGGGGATTTAGCCGCAATAGAAATTGGGCTGCCAAATCCCCTACCTAAGGAGTAATTTTGTGAGTCAATTTCTCCATCCTGGGAGCAATGATAGTTTATATAGCCAAAATTCCTTTTGAGAAATCATTGGTACTGTTTAGATTTTCTTCAACATATGATACTGACACCCATCTGTGAGTAAAATCTGAGACCATAATAAAATTATTATGATTATGTTAGTTTCAGTTAAAATGTTGTGGAAATTCTGCCTACAACTCAAAAAAATTGTAATTCGTTACAACATTTTCTTACCGGAATGGATCCATTTCAGTAACTAGTTTGAAGAGTGCAGTACCAGGGTGAGAAGTGCACATTTCAAAACTCACTCTACTGTACCTAACCCCTAGAAATGCATAGGATATTCTGTTTGTCCAATTGTATTGTTTAGTATATTTTTACCTAAGTAAAGTACTAAATAAGTACCTTATTAACATCTAACAGTCATCCAATAAACCATTCATAAGCAGCAGACACATAAAAACAAATAACATGAGCATTACTGATAAGCCAAATGGGTTGCTCATGAACACCAAATGCAAGGTATAGTAGAGTGAAACTCCCTTCTCCTGAAAGGAAGTACAATGTCAAAAATATCAACCCTGGGACAATACTGCATTTCAAATTCCAAACTCTCGCAGGTGTAAAAGGGTAGGAGGTCCTATTAATTTATGGTCCTACTCTCCATTGATTTACATGGTGACCTCTTTCTCTTATTATCTAATACACAATCAGGGCCAGTAAGGACCTTTAAAAAGGGGACCATAATCCCTGGGGATCATAATTTCTTTCCCATCTGGACTCTCGCCAAGTGTTGGGATCTCACATAAACCTTTGAATGGTAAATAAGTGTATACATATACACCCTATGCAGACAGAGCCTGTGGGAAATATTGGGTGCGGAGCAAATGAGCGGAGGGTGCGGAGCTAACGGTTATTTTTGAATTTAAATTTGGGATATTTCTGAAACTAAGCCGTTTTGGGATTTCAAATATACCAAGATATGTGTATTTGACACCAAATATCAATACAATTGTGAAAATAGTAGCGCAATTCATTCTATAGCGACGCAGTGTGCCTTAAACCTTTCCCAGACCTATATATTTTGAAATTATCCTTTTAATACTGAGTCCCCAGCATTCATAAAAAATGGTGTTCAAGGTGCACTATCTATACAAATTATTTTTGCATCTTGGAAGCCAGGCAGTATCTGTGTGATTTTATAAAAATTCGGAAATTTTTTCAGATATGAGCCCCCTCTAAATATTGGGTGCGGAGCAGCTCCATAAACGTAGCTCCGCACCCAATATTTAGAGGGGGCTCATATCTGAAGAACATTTCCGAATTTTTATAAAATCACACAGATACTGCCTGGCTTTCAAGATGCAAAAATAATTTGCATGGGTAGTGTATCTTGAACACCATTTTTTATGAATGCTGGGGACGCAGTATTAAAAGGATAGTCTCAAAATATATAGGTCTGGGAAATGTTTAAGGCATACTGCGTCGCTATAAAATGAATTGCACTACTATTTTCACAATTTTATTGATATTTGGTGTCAAATACACATATCTTGGTATATTTGAAGTCCCAAAACGGCTTAGTTTCAGAAATATCCCAATTTTAAATTCAAAAATGACCGTTAGCTCCGCACCCTCCGCTCATTTGCGCCGCACCCAATATTTCCCACAGGCTCTGTCTGCATAGGGTGATATAGGCAGGGATTTGTATTGGGTTTAATTCCCTAAGGAATGACAATAAGGTCTTAGGAGAAACAAATTGCAAAAAGTAATTTGATTTCTTTTGTAACATTTTGTGTCACATTTATTTGTAAATTTAAGATACATGTACCATTTCCAGTCATTTAATTTAAGACTTTATATTCAGCTCACAGTTGCCATTTTTTATCTCACATAAATTCTTCTACATTCTAATAATATCACTTAACAAAATATGATTATGCATATCTAATAAATATTTCAACTTCCAGAAGTGTTTAACTTTCAGAGCTTTTAACATGGTAATAATGTTCAACATGACAAGAGCAGCTCTGGAAGTTGACGATGAAAGAATCATAATTGATTTCTCAATCTTTTACTTAAGTGAGCATTTTGCTGTGGCATTTGAGATACAATACTGTCAAATGACAAAAGTGAACATTAGCAGTTATGGGTTATATCTGTTATACATGCCATTTCTTAAACCTCTAAGATCAAATGCTTTACACGCATGACCATATTTATTTACCACTAGATTCTTTATCTTATCATTACAAAAATATGTTCTAAGCATTTTAAGTTTGTACCCAATTCAAAATATGACATAATGCTATGAAAGCCTACAAGACCTCTTTACTAAATGGAATGTAAGTTCATCAAAATATTTTTACAGAGTACTACAATACACTTTCTCTTATTTTTTGAATAAATTAATTACCATAATTTTGCAAATATATACATATTAAAGCACACACAATACATGTGCACCCTGGACTTATTTTTGGTATTTGGTGGACCTAAAATGACACATAATTTAACTCTGTTACTTCCTTGTAGGTGTACATTACATGTATGTACAACATTAACAATTTGATTGTGATATCTGGTTTTCATGAATGAAATATTTTTGTTTTCTGAAAGAGTTTTCTTGAATGAGTTTCTGGTATTTTTTAACGAAGTTTTCTTGAATGGAGTCTCCAGTTTTGAATGATGTTGATTTGAATGAACTTTTTTGCGTGAAGTTTCTAGTATTTTTGAATGACGTTTTCTTGGATGAAATATTTGTTTTATTTGACTATATGATTTGCTTTCAAGCATCCAATTATTAAATACTTTGACTGCTCTACTAAAAATCACTTTGACCTACATACCCCCCTTACCATAAACATAAACACATAAACACAACATCAATCATATGAATATATCTTAGAAAATCTATCTTTCTATCTTTTCCCTTCACCAACTAATATATTTTAAACAGTTTCTTTTAATTCCCCATAAGTACTATAAACTGTTTTTTTCTTATCTATACCATCTTGAAATTGGACTCTAACGATTTCCCTTAACCAAATGGGAAATTAAGATTTTACCAATAACGGCACATTTCAGTTGTAAATGTTCATCTAAAAACTAACATTAATGAAATAAGCCCATGATTCTATATGTAAAAATTCTAAATACTTTACATAAAAATTGTGTTTTAACATATAAGGGATACGTTTTACAGTATTTTTGGCATTTGTGGACCTAAAATGATCACAATTTACCTTTTTTGGGACATTCCACCATTTTGATTATTTTTTATCCTGCACGTGTGTTCAAAGTCTTTTTAGCTTTAGCTTTGATGATTAATAATATTAATATTATATATATTATGCAAAATATTAAGGTGATAATAATAAATGGTTGACTTGATAAAAAGGTTGAAAACTGGTACAAATGGTTAACTTTGCGAAGAACGGTTTGGGTAAAATTGGTTGAAAAAGGTAAAAAATTGTTTACCTGACATAAAATGGTTGACTGTGGGTAAACATGGTTGATTTTGGGTAAAATGGTGGACTTTACGTAAAGATGGTTGACTTTGAGTAAGAATGGTTGACTTTTGAGTAAACATGGTTGATATCTTGTAGATGAGTAAAAAATACTGGTACACATACAGATTGCTAATGTGGAGAAAATACTGTTTTACAAAAATTCATTACTTGACAAACTACATGTGGAGATTATATCAGCTGTTCCCTTGGGGTTAAAGGGTGAGGGCGGGGGGGGGGGGGGTGGGGGTGGTCCCATGATTATATCAAATAAAGGCCTCAGTTTTGGTTTACACAAACACATACATAATTAGGAATGAGAATAAGTACCATGTTATGGGAGTCAGTCAGTCATACATTCATGGCTTTCTAAATTAAATTGGATACTGAGCTAAATTGTTGCTCCCCCATACATATACATTCTTTAAAACAGTAATTCTAAGTCGTGACCTCCACAACATATCTTTACATAAAAACAAAGAACACTTTTTTTAAGTTTTCATTATGCATAAGCCAAATATTTACAGTATACTGACATGAAGGATTACTATTAATTTAACTAATGAAAATCCTTTACTTCTAATAGGTGAGCTTTGATTAATTATTATGTTTATTGTAGATGTATTGACTTGTGCATAGTGAAAACTCTTATATGGATTTCAATATAACAATTTACAAGGTGTTCCAGAAATAATGTAACAAAAGTTAGAAAATGACAAAAATGTCAGTGGAAAAAATTTTGAAATCTAAAAATACCTTATTAAGTACAATTCATAAATCTACTTCAATATAGCTATTTAGAATTACATGAACTTCATTGACTTCTCCTGATTGTCTGTGCCACAATACTCTTAAATCGATCTGAAAAAATACTTTGTGTCACCATGTTTCTGGCACACCCTGTATGTGATACATTTTGGAACGATTCTGTTTTGCATCAACAATGAGTAAGATCACAGTCTATAAATCCACCTTTGTTAAAATGCCACTCTGTTCATGCCTTTTATACAAAAAACATCTCAAATATTTGAATTGTGCTTTTTACTCCTTTCATTTTTTTTATTTAATTTCCGACTACAAATAATTTGCATTTTGAAACACGACCATGGAGACATTTTAACCGTGATTTTTCACAGCAGCTATGAGTTGATTGGCTCCTTCCAGAGTTGCCGAACCTCCGCGGTGTTTATAGTTTGAAATGTCCATTGCTGCGTTTTGCTATTGTCATCACATGGGTTCATAAATACTTCTTTACTACCTGCATCAGCGTCCAGACACTGCCGGGAAACTGGATGAAATAATTGTTTAGTATTCTGAAAATACAAGATTCAACAAGGGTCAAGTAATCTCAACCAATCAAATTATTGGACACCGTGGAATTCAATATGTCTGAGGGTGAGATTTTGGTCTGGATAGATTTCAAGAGCTGTGTAGCTTGAAAAAACATCCTTCATGAACTGCCTTTAAAAACTGAACACAGAGTGATAAATTGATGGCACTTTTTACTGAAAAATTCAAAATCACCTGCAAATAATTAACCCAGCATGACCTAATCAGATGCACATCCATCAGAACAAGATGTCAAATGTAATAAAAAACAAGGAATTACCATGCAAAATGTCACCACCTGTTATTTGTTATGGAAACTGATGGCCCAACGCAGTAACAGATGCTAAACGCCAAATACCAGTCACAAAAAAAGTTGGACAATATGTCACTACTTATGGTGGTGACATAAAAATAACATGGCATTAACATGCAAAATGTCACCAACTGCCAATTGTTAGACACTGAACTCGGAACGCCAACCACTGACCACCCTCCAGAATAAGTAAGTGAATCATAACTTGTGATGGTGACATAAGATGTGACAATATAAAAAATACTTACAATATTATATTTAAAAAACTGGTTGCCTTTCATTCCATGGCAACTATAAAGAATCACAGGAGATTTCACAGTAGACGTAGATACGTCGAAACAGACATTACGTTTTTTGGGACGCATATCTTTGTGCCAGCTCAGCTCCAGGTTCTACAAGTAAACAAAAGGAATTTATTATTCATTCCTTTAAGTTTATGACTGCACTGAATATAATAATGATTAGTTAATAGTAATATTAGTTAATTTTTTTAAATAGTGGATTTCATCCACATAGAATTTTAATCTTATCATTCATCAATACTATGGTGAAATGTATCCAAATGATTTTGCAAACAGTACAAACTCATGGCCAAAGATCTTTTGTAATAGTCATATAAATGATTGTTTCAAAACATATTGCTTGGCTGAACAAATAATTCTATACACTTTACTTATACGTTTAGCCTGACTGATTTGATCACTTGATCTTATAATGTAATGGACATACTGTTGTCATACAAGTTCTTCAGAATATCGCATTTGTGAACAACATGTTTTCATACAGTTGCATTCTGGGACACTCTGAACATGTTGCATTCTGGGTACATACCTGCTCTCCCCCATGACCTGGGCCATCACTGATGCATGGCTCTATGCCAAACCTCTCTGGCTGGCCCCGGAATCTAGTATCAATGCACATATTGGCACCAAGATTTTTCACCTGAAAATATGTAAAATAAAACAGCATAATGAAAGATGAAAAAATCAGGGAAATTTTTTTCAAATATTTATGATATTTTCTTACGAATGTTGCCTTTTTGATGAGGATTCACTCTCATACTTAATGTTGATTCATGAATCATGTCATGACATTAGTCGAGAATGCAACTATAGGTGAGGCCATCACTTGTATCTGCCAGGCTTTTGCATTTAATGTACAGTAAAACCAGTCTAGGTGGAACACATTTGGTACCTCTAAAAAGTGATCCACTAGGGAGGTGTTCCACTTATATAGGTTCATTTAACATTAAGTCACTTGGTCTTGGTACCTCTAAAAATTGATCCACTTGTGAGGTGTTCCACTTATAGAGGTTCATTTAACATTAAGTCACTTGGTCTTGGTACCTCTAAAAAGTGATCCATATGGAGGATTATTTATTACATAAAGTAAGTTGCTCTTAAGTCTCTGAAAAATGTCCCACTTGTGAGGTGTTCTACTTATATAGGTTCATTTAACATTAAGTCAATTGATCTTGGGACTCCTAAGTGCTTCATTTCCATTTTACAGGTTTCACTGTATCTCTCAAAAAGGACAGGTGGCGGTAAACCCCTCTTTTAGCCCCCTTACAAAACAAGTATATATTGACATGGAATTGAAGAGGAAGTATGACTTATTACTTAAAATGTGATTTCTGAAAATTTTGACATTTGACCTTGACATTGGGGTGGTTTAAAGGTCAACTTTGAGAGTTACTATTTTTGTCAAAATTTTGCTGTTTTCTAATACAAGAAATGAAAGCAATTGGCTTAATTTGATTGTGACTGATAATAAGACATGTGAATGGAAATAAAAATATTTTTAATAATGTCTCACGGGCAATTACATGAAAATCTTGAGAATAAATCCCCATATGGGCATTTTTTTGGGGGGGAGACTAAATTTTCCTCTTTCAAAAATGAATGTTCTTATTGCCTTTTGAGACTCCAACAGTATCCTAATATAAGCATATTTTGAGAGTTGGGATGTGATTATTATTTTAAATGCCCATGGGCAATTAGGATAAAATGGCTGCAATTAAATGCACATAAGGGCACTTCCATGAGAATGGATTTTCTTATTTCAATTACTTCTCGACAGTTTTCTAAACATGTTTGCCATATTTTAAATAGTAATAGGGTCACTTTTAATAAATGCCTATTGGCATTTGCATTGGAATTTGAAATTAAATGTCTGTATGGAGACTTAGTTTTAAATTTATTTGCCAATTTGCAGTTCCCATATTTGAATTTCAATATATATCATAAAATCTAAGGCAGCATCATATATAAATGGCATGACACTTAAAGGATTGCCTAAAATAATTTCTACTTATTCCCTATTTAGAAAAACACTTAGGCCATTCAAAGATTTTTAATAATTAATGGCACTAAATTCCATGTTTTCAGAAAAAACAATGTTCCCATGTACTCTGTACTTGTTAATATATAAAACCCTTTAAATAAATAAAGGTTTTGTAGTTTTTAATATAAGGCCCTTCATCAGAATATAAACATATAATTAATTTTGAATGGCCTAATCTCTACATGCAGTTATGAAGTGTACATGTTTGCCCAGGTTAGCAGCCATATTGAAAACATAAACCAGTCAGCCTTATTTTCATCACAAAAGTTAAGTTTTAGTGGTGAGCCCAAACTCCCACAAAAATGATATTTGCAGAGAAGCTACTTTACTGTCTCTGCATTAAACAGTTTCAATATCTTTTTTGTGGGAGTGTGGGCTGATGGTTAAATTTTCAACGAAAGGAAATAAGCACCATGCTAAAACTTGATAACAAAGTGAACAAAAAATGACAATGCTTTCCAGATTTGCATTAGTAAACTTCATACATGGCTAGATTTTGTTAATGTTCTACTCTGAATGCTTGTATGCCATATGTTCCATATAATAAATTGTATGTAATGATAAGTTTTGATATTATCTTGATGGTAAACATAGTGTGTACCCATATTCAGACAGCCTTGTGATAGGGGTTCTTACTGTCAATTTTTCAAAGAAACTGAAAACGAATGCCACTTTTTGAAATTGCACATCTCAAGAAAAAACTGCAATCAGTTTTAAAGGAAAATGGAAGAATGAGTTTTTTGGAAAAAGTCTAAGTGGACCAATGGCCTGTTAAATGGACCTGTTCTTTAACCTAAGCTTTTGTTCAAATATTGTTGGACTATAATGCGCCACCGTTCTTCATTACCACAGTCATGACATGCATTGACAACTATGAATTGTTCAGAAATTGCTAGCATACAAGTGTTTGTATTTTGTATTTCATTCTTGGCCATTATTTGCCTACCTCGCCTTCAGCATATGGTGGTGGTTCTCTAAAATGCATCCACATTCTGAGCCATTATTAACCTACCTCGCCTTCAGCATATGGTGGTGGTTCTCTAAAATGCATCCACATTCTGAGCAATTATCAACTTACCTCGCCTTCTGCATATGGTGGTGGTTCTCTAAAATGCATCCACATTCTGAGCAATTATCAACTTACCTCGCCTTCAGCATATGGTGGTGGTTCTACTGGTGGATAATGTTTGGGCAGATCAAAGGCAACCTCTTCCATGAACCACTTGAATGGTTTGCAGTTAAGCTTCTGTCTTATAGCTAACTGGTCTGATATATCACCTGTGTCTATGTTTCTGCAAGTAAAATGAAAATACATGTATATAGTAGCATTGTAAAAAGTGCTTTTCATGATTATATCATTCATATCATATTCTTAAATGTGTTTTAAATTATGTTTCCTCACTCTAGATATGGTTGGTTATTTGTAAAATAAAAAAATAAATAAAATACCTATAATGAGGTCTTCTTTTATATAGATATTCTTTATACTCGTCCATCCAGACTTCAGCCACACGTTTATAGTTCTACAACATTTTCAGCATGTTATGCAGATTCAATCAATCTCAGAGTCATTCCTCAATGATATTGGAATTACAATTAATGAGATCAAATCAACTTTCAGTATGTTACAATTGCAAAACCGTGAAAGAAAGAATTTGGGGAGATGTAATGCACACAATATTTCTGAGGAATAAGTCTCCTAAACATTTATTTTGCATACTATGTTTTGTTATTACATATTTGTTTTTTTCTAATTTTATTTAATTAAAATTATCAAGTTCTCATTTCCCTTTCTTCAAAGAGTTAAACTGAAAGTCCTGAAATAAATGAGGGTTATGTTATGGGAGGTTTTGGACATGAGGTATATCCCGAGGGAAATATTGATATCTTACTGAGGGCCCGGAGGGCACGAGGTAAGATATCATATTTCCCGAGGGATATACCCCATATCCAAAACCGAGCATCACATAACTAATTTATCCTATGACAAGTGATATTGATTACCAAGTCCCTTCTGCTTGAGGCTTTTTTGTTTCTTAGCTAAGGCCTCTCTACATTTAGTAAATTTAATGTCAGTCAGAAAATCATATTCATAATTTTTCTTCCTCAAATGCCTGATGAAGCTCCCAAAGAAAGCTCGCACTGAACTCGGCTGATACTCCTTTCCATTTTTGGACTGCACTGACAAAAAATGAAGCCAAAAGATCATTTAGTGCTTCTGGTTCAATTGTTTCTATTGGTCTTGGCTCGCCTTTCTGTACAAGAAAGGATTTGAGAATGCCCATATCCAAAATCATTACTTTCAAGAAATTCTTCCACGTTTTGGTCAAGAAAATATCTACCGCCGTCTGCTTTCATTTTGGTAGTTTCGCTATAGCGAGATATTCTAGCGGGAGATATACAGCGGGAGATATATATATGTCCCGCTCCTCCAAGATATCGATTTTATATCCCGCTGTTATGAACCTGAAACCTCACTTGTCATAGGATAATGTATTTTATGAGATGACTGTTAAAACATCATAACAAATATATGGCTTCTGACTTCGTGGGCCTTCTGGGGATCATTAACAGAAACTTCTGCATAAAGTTACGAATTGGTAAATCAATTGTTGTTACCATGGATAAAATGATGTCACAGTTAGAGAAGAATGGATTTACGAATTCTTAACTTTATGAAGTTTCTGTTAATGGCCCCCTGGTTATTACCAGTAGTTTTAGAACTGTGTAATTTTATGACAGAGAATAACATTATTTTGGTTTTACATTACACAGTGCAAATTCTTTGATATTTCATAAAGCCTGTCAGCTATTTCTTTTAAATTTATATTTTCATAAAAATAATAAAAATACAATAAAACAATTGAGGTAATAAGGAATAAAATAAATGAACAAACAAAACAATGGGAAAAAAGGTATGAAAATAAAAATTGATAAGATGCCAGGCCCTTAGCCGGGGGGGGGGGGGGGGGTGGTTAAAAGAATCCCATTGGCAAAAATTCTTTCAAAATCATGCAGTTTTTCTCAATTCTGTAAACGTTTCATGTGATTTTGGCAAAAGTTGTCAAATGTGAACCCCCTTAGACTTTTTGAAAAGTGAACGCCCATAACAAAAGCTGGCTATGGGCCTGGTACTCTGGTAGACTAGTCTCATCAAAGTTGAATTCTCGCTTACTCTTCCAATAAAATCACCAATACCAGGGTTGGGGAATGGAGCAAACTTCCTGTAGACGTGTCCAATCCGGGAACAGGGAGCATCTACCATAGTACCACCACATTGCCATAGCTACGGGATCAAACATGAGTATTAGAACGAGAAGTGAACAATACATATACAGGGCCATCTATTGGGTGAAATCATAAACTGCTACAGCTGCGGGATCAAATAATAGAATTAGAATTTGAATAAGAACTGAACAATAACGAGAGATACAATGACATGTCCTCAGGGTTCAAAACTCACAGCTGCATGGTAACCAAGGCAACCAATTTGGGCTATTTACTTGGCAATAGAGAAAAATTGTTTTCCTATGTTTAATTGTGGCAATCATGTTTTGAACCCTGAATGTCCTGGGTGAAGTCATACACTTCCCCTAAGTATGTATGACTTTGGAATACTGTGCACCATCCACCATCAAATAAAATAAAACACAAACAGGGTTATATCAACAGACAAGCTGGAAGAGGAAAAGGATAGAGGGGTTCATTTCTCAAGGACAGTCTGTAAAAAAGTAACATCTATCAATATACAATGTGATACCTCAAATACATTTTACAGTTACATATATTTAGACATTTTAGGTCTGAAACTGTAAAAAGCATGGCTCAGTTTGGATATATAGCAAAGTGTGATAGTATTAGCCAGCAGACACTCATCATTTAGGTGCCTTCTTACATAATAAAGACGCCCTCCAACATTTGGATTAAATCTTCTGTAAACATGACCTATCCTTGAACATGGAACATCTAACATTGTCCCACCACATTGCCAGATCTGAATAAAAGTTATAATTATGATATTTATCTCATGGTTTAAGAAATGGTAAGAATTGATTCTTAAACTTGGACCTCACAGGATCAATCCGTGAACAGGTAATGTCTCTTATACATCCATCACATTGCAAAGTTCAGGATAAATTATAAAATACAATTGGTGAGTACATACATGCATGGGACATGTACAAACAAAATAAAAAATACAATTGGTGAACAAACACACCATACATGTACATGTACATACAAACAATCTGCAAAATGATCAAATACCAATCTGCAAGTACAAACACAGAGCATCTATCAGACTTGAACAAAAAATTAGTTCAAATGTTTGCTCAGTGGTGTCTGCAATTTTAGGATTATGCCCTCTTTGAATGGACATTTCTGTAAATTAGAGCAAAGTCAAAAATCCAGTAACTGGGTCTTTTCTCGTTAGAATAACTGTAATAAACCAAACATGCAGGTTTTTAACAATTTTCCTCAGCAAACAGAGCAGTAGGCAGCAAACACTGAAGTAAACAGAGACAGAACTCCACTTCCAAATTCAATGTGTATGAACACTGACATCAAGCAGGGTGTGGTTACACATGGATACTGCTTACACCTGGGTTGGGGTTTGCTTACACACCGAGAGTGTGTACAGGCGGGTTGGGGTTTGCTTACATGTGGGAGATAATATCCACTTGAAGCATGCGGGTTAAATCTCCTGTAAACATGACCTATCCTTGAACATGGAACATCTAACATTGTCCCACCACATTGCCAGATCTGAATTAAAGTTAAAGATATGATAGTTATCTAATGGGGCGATAACATGTATGAGACATTCATATATGGTAATGAGGACAGCATGCCCTCTATATCAGTCCAAATAGTCTAGCAACAAGACTCTGTGACCCCCTTGTGAAGGGGTCACAAGGCCTTGTAGCTAAACTACATTCCAAACAGTCATCGTCCATCATCCATCTGAAATACCTCAATAAGACAACATTGATTATTAATATATATGCTAAAGTAGACATAGTGGGATGAGTTTTAGTTTAAATAATTTTTTTGCCACTCACTATCTTATAGCCTTATTTGTAAACAAATATAATATACATTATGTGTAAAATAACTTCGAAGTCTAATAATACACATTAATGGAATACTGTAATGTACATAGGTAAGGTATTTCTTTTTTCAGAATCATAAACCAATCAAACAACTTTTGAAGATCTCATATAAGCTTTGAACCTACCTTGAATGACAGCTCATACTGTTCCCCGCCCCATATATCCAGCCCTGGATCATAGCCGCCTAACTCCCAAAACCATCTCTGGTGCATTGCAAAGAGACCCCCTGCCATAACTGGACTCCTAGAAGTAAAAGAAGTTTGATTTTATACAGCAACTTTTCTCGGCAGGTGTGTAGCCTGAAGTCTAGAAACCTATACATGCTTGATTAATCATCTTATACATGTATATTAGTATATTTTGAAATGTACTCAGTATTTTTCCATCAATGCGATGATGAAAAAATAAATACGGAAAAAACATGATCATCCATTGTGACATCACTTACTTAAATGGTCTGGCTGGATGCTTGAGATCATCAGGTAAAAGAGGGAGTCTTTTATAAAAGAACTCCCAATCAAATGCACCCCTTGCACCCTCATCTTGCGCCCTGTAGGCAAATGTCTCAAAGTCTATGACGTCTATAAATGGACAAACCACTGTTCTGTAGTCATCCTGGATGGGATCTGAAATAGCGACATCATTTAATTAGTATAATTTATGAACACCAAATATGGCACTATTTTACTTTCAATTTGTTAAACAGATGCTATTTTGGAAGATTTATCTGTAGTTTTAATAATTTCATATTTTTCAAGGTAATCTATCCACAGCAATTATATTAATATCATTATTCTAAATAAACTATTTTAATTATTACAATTTGTTATAACTGATGTTCTTTTATCCATTGTTTTAATTATTCTTTCAAGGTACAGTAAAGTTTGTATATCTGAACACCCGTTTAGTCTGATCATCTCTTGAAATAAATGCTTTTTTCCAGTCCCATGTTTAATCTGACATAGATTTCCATGGTAAAAAAACTTTGAAACACCTGCTTCTCAGAACACTTTTGCCTGGTCCCAGTGGAATTTGAATTAGAGTTATTTGCATTTTGATAAAAATTGGTAAATGATTAATTCATTTTTATTCATTTGTGCCATTTGCTCAGCGATCTGGCTAGGAAAAATCTTTTTGAGATTTCTGCGACACAATCTGCAATCTGATAAAAGAAAATCTTTTCATAACCTTAATGTTCACTTACCCAATAGAGGGGGCAACCAGTTGATTCCAACTTCACAATGTGAATCTAGAAAAATAAGAACATCGCCCGTTGCTACTTTAGCACCCATCAGCCGCGTTCTGATGAGACCCTCTCGCTTTTTTGCACGTACAACTTTCACGTTGGACCAATGTTCATTGACATAGTCGTCAAGCGGTTTCCCACAATGCTCTGAAAATACACAATAAATCAAAGTGGTCACGCTTTAAAATGAAAAAAATACATTAAAACAAAATAAAAGGAAGAGAATAAAATAAACAAGTACACACCATTTTTAGATGACTAATATCTCCCTAGCTGTAAACATTAACATGCAAATTGTCACTACCTGCCATTTGTTACAGATGTTGAATACCAAACACTGGATGACAGACGCGGAACGCTTAACACCAACTGCCAACACTGTCTACATAAAAGTTGGAGACTATTCTGTAACTATGTTACCAATTGTGGTGGTGACATAAAAATTACACATTTGCCTTGTTTAAAATCCAAGAGTTGTTATTTAAATGAATATCAATTACAATCGTACAGTTCTGACAGGATTATTGAAACTCCTTGAAATTCTTTGCCATTCCATGGCACTCTTTGCCAGTAGTAATAAATTCCCGCATTGACCTCAATCAAAATTGACTCACCTTTGTTGCTGAAATCGTCAGCGAGGATGACTTCATGAATCATCCCTGGCGGAGATCGGTTCTGGATACTGACAACAAGACGAAGTAATGTCGTCCAGTGCTCATTGTGAAAAGGAATGACCACACTGGCATTAGGCAGCTTGTTCCAATACTTTTGACTTTTGCATCTATAGAAAAAAAACAGGAAAAAGAATGTGTATTATGCAACAAAATATAGGGCTTTCAAATGTGTAATACTGGCTGAATTTCCAGAATCTAGGATTAATGATCAAGATTTTATGATGGTGGTACAGTATCTGACTGTTAATTTTTCTAGAAATTTTCAATGACCTGAATCACAGATTAATTGTGATCTTTGGCACTTTGGAACCCAAGGGTTCTATCTGATAGAGCCTTATCGCATCCTACGACCCCTTTAGATTGTGGTCGTACGCCGGTATCATTGGTAAGCCTGTCTTTCTACAATGTCGGAGAATGAACTACGCATTGCACTATTAAATGACCTACCTCGATACATTCCAGAGTATTTTAGAATTCTTTTTATGTTGTTAGATCGCCAATTGTATGGGTTTATCGGCAGAACGAAGAGATTTTAGTTTTTACATCGGAAATATATCAGCAATTTTCAAAATGTCGGAAGGGGAATTCCCCAGGGATTTCCCTTAGACTGGTGCATGCCGGGAACTGAATGGAGGAATTTGACGGTTGAAATAAGTTAAATATTACACGCAAATATTGCTATCAAAAACGAAAACCTCTTCGTTCTGCCGATAAACCCACACAATTGTGGATTCAACTACACGAAAAGAATGCTAAAATACCAAGGAATCTATTGAAATAGGTATCTTAAGTGTAAGTAGCGTAGAAAATTCTCCCATGTTGTAATCGTACAGACAAAAGAATAAGACGTTCGCAAGACTAGAACGTAGAGATAGTCTTGGAACGAGATAAATAGAGCCCATGATGCACCATAAAAATCATTTTCTGGTCAAAAATTATGGAAGATTCTATTTTGTTATATCTAAATCTGAATTCACATGAAATAAAATGAGATAAAATAGCCTATATATATTCTAAATTCCAAAAACTTACTCAGGATGTCTTATATCTTTTATTGCTCTATCAAGGGCAATCTTGTCGCTGCAGAAAGCGTTGAAGCCATTTACTTTATAAAGTGCATCTTTTTGTTTTTCTTCTTCAGCAGTTAAAATCACAGCTGCGCCTTGCTCACCAGGGCCTGGAATACACATGTAGAAAATAACAGCTGTATTTTAACTAACGGCCAAATAACAGCAAAATACAAAATGTGGGGTTGTTGTAAGCCAAGAGTTGATCCAATTATACAAGTTGAGATTGATGGTTTAAAATGCAGAAATGTCCCAGTTAGAATGAAAGAATGAACAAATAACCTCAAAATAGAGGGATTTTCAAAACTGTGAGACATTTTAGAAAAAAAGGCATGGCGTTACAGTGTAGAAATCTATACATGTATATACTTGACCATGGACAAATGAAAGCATTTGCGAAGGGAGGAGGGGGCTCAGTTTTCAAAAAAGGGTTTTGAAAAAAATTTAGGCCATGGGAGGAATATTGAGAATATTGTTCATTCTTAAGCTCAGATAACGAGGAAAATAAAGGAAACAGCAAAAATTCTCTTTCATTCTTATTTCTACTATTATTCACTAAATGTGAAATACAATATTTCATTAAAAGCTTTATTTTATATTTTAATACAGGTACAATGAAAACATGTACAAGCATATTATATATTTCTATTGACTCAATCAATCATGTCATATACAGTAGATGACATATCAATATAATACACATGTCAAATTAAAATATGAATTTACACAACCTCTGAAGCAGCCATTTAAGCACACATTGTTTCGTATGTTCAACCTGTTTACTCCCACCTGTATGTAAACATGAACAATGAATAAGTACCCCTTGCCCTTTACTCGTGTTATATTTCTCACGGTGGGGATTGTCATCACGTGACCTTCGTAATTGATGGTGTCTGAACAAGTTGTACGATTTTCTCGATTAAGCCAGAAAAATGAATATTTTTCATATTTACACTTTGTTAACAGTGTCAAATTTCTCCCCACTTATGTATACTATCTCAGTCTTTCAAATGAACCTAAATTGACAAGCAGAGGACGCATATTATTTGAGATATGACTGTTTTTCGTTTCGAAAAATGATGGTGTCTGAACAACTTTTAAATTCTGTATGATGGTGTCTGTACAAATTTTGTTAATACATGACATGGATACCAGTCTCCATGTTTTCATGTGTAATTGTTTATTCCTGTACTCTCGTATATTTAAGGCTTTGTATAAAAACCTAGTACCTCGTACCCACGTCCCGACCCACGTACGTGGGGCATGATACAGTCTTTGAAGGGTTCAGTTTTAAAATATAAGATCATTCAATCTTCGTCTATGCTGAATTGTAAATGCATTAGTGCACGTCGAAAAAAGGCGAACGCATTCCGTTCGGACTTTTCACGCGAGTTCCATGTCACGCATTTGCATTGAAATATGTGTATATGTCGAGCATTTTCTTTGAAATATTTTGTACCATTTTGGATGTTGACTATACTCGTGCTACAAATGTACAAAGTGGATTAAGAATATAACTATAGAATTGAATAATAACTCAAGGGAAATTGGTAACCTGCCTAGAATGTCAAGATAAGGCTGTCCCAAGGTTAAGAAGGAGCATTATACCTAGCTCATTTGAAAGAATAATTGACTTAACTTCAGGATATCATCAAGTCGATACATGCTGATATCCATATGCTAAGTCAATAGAACCAAATAAAATAATAAAACAAAAAATGAAATGAAAATCAAAGGTTAAGGTCAAAATTGCACACAATAATCTTTTATTATCAGATATGCACTGACTTGACCTTTACAAGGTCACTATGGCCTCAATAACAATTAGGATGCACCTGAACACTATGACATAATTAACGCCTTACTAAATACCATATTATATGTCATAATGGTCATGAATGACCTGGGGGCAGTTTTATATACTTAGTATGACAGATCCTTTATCTATTAATGCTCGTTCACTAGAAGCAATATTCACTAAAATTGTCACGTTTTTCATTTGCTGGACTTCCAGGAAGTCGTATTTAAGGTGTGACTATATTGCCACATTTAGGTTGCATTACATCCTTGTCTTTATGGGTGTTCTACTCTCCCCGTCATCCAATTCGGAATCACCATCTACAATTGAGCAAACAATTACACTTTCGTGTGTTGGGATGAATTTACGATCCCCGAGACTAAAATCATCGTTCCCCTTGCTGTGATTAAACAAAATGAAGCACAGAATTCCATTTAGCAAATCCCCGACATATTAAAACCTAATTTAGCGTAGATTTTCCCTATTGGACGAGCCTTTGAGCCTTTCGCGCTATTTTTAAAAAATCGATCAGATAATCCTTTAAAGCTTTAAAAATTGAACCCTTCAAAGACTGTATCACGACTCACGTACGTGGGTACGTGGGCATAAGGTACAATTTTTTTTTATACAAAGCCTATATTTAATAAGTTGTGCAGAAGCTAAACCCTATTAATGTTACATAATTTTGCAGAGCAATTGACTTTAATCAGGACAATGACATCACGAAGAAATCCTGTATTTTGATTGGTCAGATTTCTCTGGCCTCTCAAAAGGTGACTGGCTTTACTGAATAATCACCTTCGTTCACTCGGCTCCCGTCGGAACGCAATGAAGACCGAGCGTGCGAAGATACTGAATAATACCATCCCTGGGCAGTCTAAATCGATTGATGGATTCATTTTATATTGTTTTATTTAAGTACATCAAGTAATCTTTTGTAATATTGGATGATAAACGTCTGATCAAATAACTTAATCGCCCAGTTTCTGGTGACAATACACGATGTATCTAAATTCCTCTGATGGATTATTGTCCCACACATGATTTGCAAATCGTTCAGTGAATGTTGGAAATTCAACTAATGGATGGCAGTGATAACAGGCAAAAAATTCTAGGTTGATTTCGGTTTAACACATTGGAAAGAAGCAGATGTATTTATAAACACACGAAAACACGAGGACTACTTTCCAAGTAGTGTATTTTAAAATTTGTACAGACACCATCATGCAGAATTTAAGAGTTGTTCAGACACCATCATTTTTCGAAATAAAAAACAGTGATATCTCAAAAAATATGCGTCCTCTGCTTGTAAATTAGGGTTCATTTGAAAGACTGAGATAGTATACACAAGTGGGGCGGGATTTGAAGCATTTAACAAAGTATAAATATGAAAATTATTCTTTTTTCTTGCTTAATCGAGAAAATCTTACAGCTTGTTCAGACACCATCAGTTGCGAAGGTCACGTGATGACTATCCCTACCGTGTTTCTGCAGTGCTCAATTTCTCTTAAACCTTATGGAATTCCTTCCTGACTTTCTGTTCCCATGAGTTTTAGAATTTTTATCACATGCAACTTCATTCAATGCTAAGTGCTTCAATCACTAGATTTCTCAATACAAAAAATGTATTTTATATTCTTAAGGTTAGAACTTCACAAATCCTCAAGTATAATAACTTACATTTAAAGGCTATATACATTTTAGAATGTTGATTACAGCCTGTGCCTTTATTCAATCAAAATTTCTATAAAAACTCTTATAAATAACATGTTCACTACTTTCTTTAAGTTGGTACTTTCTACATGTGTATTAGAAATATAGGCTTTTTCACAAGATAAAATTCCAGATATTTTTTACAGAGAGATCTTCATCTTATGGATAACAGTGGGAATATCAATTTTCTCCTCCCCCTCCCCAAATCCATTCTCATTTAACTCAATTCAATGCCAGTACGAATCTTAAATGAAGTCCTTAGAATCTGGACATGACGAAATAATTACATCTACATGTACATGGTAATTTCTCACAACAATCTAATAGACACAGTATAATGTAAAAGTACAGCAGCAATGTTAAAACTCACAGCTGCGAACCCCCCTGGCCCGTAGCCATATTTGAACCAAAATTGTCAAATGTGAACCCCCCTGGAAATTTTCGAAAACTAAACCACCCCCCCCTTGGCAAATCCTGGCTACGGGCCTGTTAAGTGCTCCTTTAAATGTGACGTCATCAGCCTCGTTCTGTATTCAATAAATGACCGACTCAGTAGAAAAAATGTTTCTGTTTTGCTCTGACAACTTATATTGTATCAGCGACCACTGACCAGTTTTCACTCTTGGCAAAAGCGGTTGTCTATTGGACAATGGACTGAATGACAATATGGTGAATTATGGCGATCATGCTTTCAACCTTAATTGTAAACTCTTAGAAGCAAGTTTACTTTATAACTAAGCGGTTTTCTGCATTGAGTGATGCCACCATATGCCCCACTCAGTACATGTATATCGCAAATCTTGTAGAATAGATTCATGACGGATACTCTCATTGCCATTATGTTTTCAGAGTGGATCCACTCATACACAACTTTTCCCACCGCAAAGGACGATTCTCGGTTTGGAGAACAGTCTCCTGGGCTAATAATTTTTTTAATGAAAAATATAGAAATATTACCCAAATTAAACTATAAATATTCAAAAGAGGACATTTAAATCTACAAGATGTAAAAATAACAAATTGGTCTGAAGCAGGGATAGCGCTCAATTAGACCGATTCAATAAAATACAAGTCTTGATTTGGGGAATAAAGTTCATCAGTGAACTGTGCTAATATTTTTTTGCGAAAAATCTAGAAATATTACCCAAATTAAATTATGACTATTCGAAAAGAAGACATTCAAATCTATATCATGTAAAAAAATCAAATTTGTCCGAAGCAGGGATAATGCTCATTCAGATTGATGAACTTCGTTCTCCAAACCGAGAATCGTCCTTTACAAAAAATGTTTATCTTGTAATGGGAAGATGGCAAATGAAAACTATTCATCCTAGAAAGATACAGTCTATCAAGAAGACATTGAAATATTGCCATCTTATGTTCCTAACATATGTGAATAGGCTTAAATGTGATTTTATTAATCATTTAAGTGTTATCTAATGTTTTCATCATTACATTAGCTTCACATGTTAAACTGAAATTTATTTTACTTACAAATAAGAATCTGAATTCATATTGATTGTTGAAAAATCAATAACTTTAAACCTTTAAATAATATAGCATAGAGATAGGTTAATTGAATGTAAGGTTTTAATGCTTAAAATAATACATGGTAATACAGTTATGTGTTAATTGAAAAACGTTGATTACAGAAAAAGAATTGTATAAATTGAAGAACATAAACTTATTTGCCATCTGTGTATATGTGATTGTAAATACATTTACTGATTATATCTCAATTAATACAGCTCTTAAATCATATTGATCATGTTTATTCAAATCAATATAACATGAGGCATCCCTTGAAGGAAATACAGGGTTTTCATGTTTTGGAATTAAAAAGGTGAAAAATAAAGTGAGGAATCAGCAAGGAACAGAGTTAACAGCATGAAATTATCTAGAAATATCAGAAAATTAGGCAGTTTATTCAAATGTTAAAGAAAAGTGTGATATGGGCATTACTAGCGAGAATATTAAGACACTGGTTTGCAATTGTTTCTATAGTGGCAGTAAAAGTGGATATAACATGCGATTTGAACATATTATACTTTCCCATGACATGCAATTCTGCTATGACTATTTATCAGTTTTTTTTCACTGCATTTATCCAAAAGATTTAAAAAGTCATTCTTGATATTATCTATTTATGTAAATACACCCCCAAAAGTTATTGTTTGTGTGAATCATTAGTCTCAAGGGTCAAGGGGTGTTCTCCCCCGGGAATTTTTTTCGAAGAAGTTATCTCATGCTATCTGAGCGTTTTAATAATCTCACCTGTTCTCTGTTGTTCAGCAGCTATTTGTGCATAGTTATGCCAGTCTATTTTCTTTAGTTCATCACTGACACCAACATCTATTGCCCGTGGTTTACCATCATTTACATCTGGCACTTCCGGGATGTCCTTAATTTTAATATCAGGATCATTAGGTAAAAAGGCATTTGGATTTCCTCTTGGAGCTCTGGCACTTGGTTCATTACCAAAGAGTTGCTTCATAGCAAATGGTCCAAACATCAATAATAACACAGCAGCTATTAAGTACTTCAGTAACCGAGTCGTATTTCGCCTCATTATGAATTAAATGTTTTAACACGAAACAATAACATGTGCAGACCCGCAATCACCATACAGTGCACAGACCCTTGATGTTGCTTCACTTTCAGCTACTGCTTAAAATGCAGTTCTACGATCACAGGAAACCAGAATCCAGATCCCAATAAACTAACACACAGTGTTTGACGTTCTGTTCTTATTATATATCTCAATGATTCGTATGGGCTACTTTACCTAAACTACATGTACTACTGCAACATTTAAAGTTCAGAATCAAAGTTGGAACCTACTATCACTGAGAGGTTCAGAGTACCTGTAGCCTACAGTGTAGGCTAGTCCTTGGCAAAGTTTTGAATAAAAGAATCATGCATGTTTAGCATATAATGCTCATATTTTCTTATGTTAAACCAACAAGCGTGTATCTATGTCGATTATTTTATGTGTAATTTAAAGTTAAAATTAGATTTAATCGTGTATATCGCTCTAAATTGGATAAAACACAAACTTTACTTTTATCCAACCATTTCCGGCCATGACACACCAGATATAGGTTATAGGTACAAAATTAACTCTACACTTATTTGAAGGAATGAAAGTGAATATCAAAGTTTATAGAGTTTATAATCAAAGATGCATATTATAAATATCTGAATGTATAAGAAATATTTTACAATAGATCTTAAAAGTATATAAATGTCTTGTAAAGATAGTGTATATTATTTGGAGCTCTTCAAAAAGAAGGTAAAATTATTTTTCACAATTTTGGAATAAAATGAACCGGCGTCACGTTTTTAGCCGTTGTGTCCAGCTGTATAGCAGTGTCAGGTCATCACAGACAGTGTCGCACAAACTAAAAGGTATGTTCTACAAATTGACCCGATTCCAAGTTATTCGCAACTATGGGACAGCCCTGTTTTTGAAATCAATTTCAAGGACGAATTATTTTTCTCTTTCAATTTCAAGTGTTTTAATTTAAGGTGAGCTTACCTTTTAGTCATGTAGGCATTGCAGAGACTCACTTCTTTATATATCTACTAAAATGCTAATGCATGGGCATGCTCCCTCCCACCCTAAGTGGGCCCAGAATTTTTTTTTAGTTTTTGGGCCCCAAAATTTTGTAGGGCCTCTTTAAAATGGTCCTTTTCGAGCATAATTTTCCTTTTTATAGGCAAGGTTTGGGCCCACAGTCAGTTACACTGCTTCAAAATGATATGTAGAAAAATGTTACTCACTTCGAGAGCCATGTTAGATTTTGAAACTTATGGCTCTCCAACAGAGAAATGGACAGCTGAATAATAGTGACCTTTGAAACACGAATTAAGGTGATCAGTGGCTTACTTTTGTTTTCTAACTATGTCATACATCCTTATCATCCTTCCGTGCAAGTATTGGAGCGCTAAAGTACTTCCTTTTCGATCAAGACTTGTAATTGTAAGTCGAGTGAATGTTTTTTCTGCCAAATTCCAATATGGCGTTTTCTGCTCTGACATTTTCGGAAATCTCCATATTGGAAATGGGTCTAAAATACATTCACTCGATGAACAATTTAAGTCTTGATCAAAAAATACGTATTTCAGCACTCAGTACTTTCATGGATGGATGATGCTGATGTAAGATACAGTTAGAGACCAAAAGTAAGCCACGGATCTCATTATTCATGTTTTAAAGGTCACTATTATTCAGCTGTCCAGTGCGCCGTGGAAAAGCTATTAAATATCAAAATCCACATAGCTTTCGCAGGAAGTAAGAAAAATGTATTCATATTGCACATGAAAGACATAATTCATATTCGGCAGAATAGAACATACAGGGATTTGTGGTTCGCATATATGGCTGGAATATAGTGGAAGCCTAAGATGAAGGTATGTATGTAATGTTTCTATACCAATAGATCCATGTCAATGTTCCAGATGTAAGCCAAGCCCGATACATGAGTGGCCTTCCTGAAGGCTGGAAGACCAACAAGGAACTGGACATGGAAAATAAGAACCACATGAACTTCATGCCAGTACCTCAAGGCTCATGGCAGGAAAACTACAACAAACGTAACGGTCGCTGGAACCTTCACCTCGCTGGATCAACTGTTTTTCTTGGTGTGACTGTCTATGTTGTAAGTAAGCATTTTTGGTGTATCTTATCAGATGGTGGTAGAGCCCATGATGTAATGTATGCAATTAAGAATTCTGATGTTTATTGTCTCTAATACTAAGACGTCATGATTTCCATGGTAACATCAATTGATTTATAAAATATATTTTGTGTTGCTTAGAATGTTCTTGTTTATGTCTGGGTCACATTTGCTGCGATTCATCGGCCGGCACCCGGCTGATTGAGTATTTTGTTCAAAATTGAATACATTTCTGAACACAATACTCAATCGTCCGGGAGCCGTAGTGAAAATCGGAGCAAATGTGACCAAGGCATTACTAATCTATGTATTTAGTAGACCTAACTTTTACAGTGTAGGTTTTTAACATGAATTTGAGTCTTATTTTTTGTTACTTCTTGACTTAATTTTGCATTTTAAAACATAATCAATATACTTTTAACTAAATAAAGCAGAAATGATACTCTTTAACTCTTATATAACTGAATTTGATGAATTGCTTTCTCTTTTCTCCAGATGTGGAAAACTGGTTGCTGGTATTTGCATAGTGCACCAAGTATGAAGAACAAAATAGCTGTAACAGCATCATCAGTGGCAGAGACGGCAACTACCACAGACAAAGCAGAAGCAACACCAGCTGAAACAGAAACAACTGCCACAACAGAATCAGCTGATAAGATCTCAACTCCTGAAACATCAGAGGAGGCAGCTCCAGGGGGTCAGTATGTTGTAAATTGTACAGTAAAACCTGAATATATTGAACATTTTTTGCCAAGATAAAATATTATCATTGTTAAAATTGAGATTTAAGTTTGAAAAAGGTGCAGTTAGTTTTTCAAATGGGAACTTGTCTTACTGCTTACAAGTTGAAGAACTTAATCTTTGATACTTTTAGAAATGAAGGTTTGTATCCAAGACTATTCATTGATTGATTAAGTTGCATACTTATAATACTTTTGCATTAAAAATATTGTCTAGGTTATTTATGATGTACATTACAACCATAGGCCCTTTAATGTTAATAGGGGTTAAAGTGTGTTAGAAAAAAGTTTCTTGCATATTAAGGATAAGATGAATGAATTAACAACTTTATTTCTAGTGGATATCTCCTTGCTACCCGAGATCCCTGGTGCAGTGAAATACTTAATAGTTGGTGCGGGAACAGCAGCATTCTCAGCTTATAGAGCAATCAGAGCGGCAGATGCCACAGCTCAAGTATGTGTTTTCTCTTATCTCCCAAATTGAAAACACGCATCTCAAGAGAAAACATGTTGACTACTGTGTCAGTAGTTTCACTTAGAAAGTGGCTCTGATCTCATTTCATCACCAATGGCCACTGTTAGTAGTATTTTGATGTACAATAGAAAACACTTTCTATATTACAGTTAGTCTATATGGAAACCTTTATGACGCATAATTTGAAAACTCTCATTACACTTTATTTTGAAAACTTTACTACATATTATTTGAAAAACTTTATTACACATTTATTAGGCTAGTTGATTTGATTTGATTTGAAAACTATATTTATTCTGGGTTAATCTCATGTATAAAGTCAATCATCATTGGCTGCACAAAACACTGTGTGAGCACAGGACCGTGGGTCCTTGTTATTTCATTTACAGGTTCAGATAAGACAACATTGGAAATCAAAGTTGGGTTTTGTTTTTGTTTTTATATAAAACTTTTATTACACAGGTATTAGTGATAGGAGATGAACCAGAGGTTCCATACATGCGGCCACCACTCTCTAAAGAACTCTGGTTTACTGATGACCCTGATGCTCCACAGACCCTGAAGTTCAAACAATGGAATGGCAAGGAGAGAAGGTATGCCTTTCTAGAATTGCCCTAATAAAGTGGTCAAGTTGGAATACTGAATAGCTAAATAATCGATGGCATCAATTTGATTTTTACTCTTCCTAAGTTTACTTTTTGACAGACAAAAGATTTGACTTGGCCCATTAGTCTACTCTTAGAAATTATGCAATTGAGCTACAGTTAGCCCAGAAAGTTGTCCATGAAACACTTGAAAATATTGAATGGCTCATAGTTGCTTAAGTTGCCTCGAAGGAGTACACTTATGGACATATTTGATATAAACAAAAAATCATGAATAAGCAAATTATGAATGGCTTACTATTGGACCAAAAAACAATTCATGTTAATTTAGAGACATGTAACATGTATGAAGGCCATATCTAATCCTAGTTTACCCATTATTATTCCTTTTACGTTGCCTTGTAGTGTGTACTTTGAACCAGAAGAATTCTATGCTGACTCTAAAAAACTTGCATTAGAGGAACGAGGGGGAGTCTCAGTAGTTAGAGGAAAAAGGGTATGTATATCTAATACATGAATATCTTGATATCTAAGATCAAAAAATCAAGACTTTGTGTTCAGTAATTGAAACGAAGTTAAAAGCTAGGGCAAGGGGGTGTAACATCGACGTGCAGGGTAATGTCGACATAATAGACGTGGTAACTTCAACACTCACTTATTAAAAGTAGAATTTCCGTTTTCCGCCATGCTGTTCTGGAAAAATTCAAATCTTGTGAGATCTCGATCCATGCGAGAAAAAAACATGGCTTCCCGCTAGATCGGAAATTAGAGCAAATAAACAACAAGGTGTCAAAGTTACCCCACATGTCGAAGTTACCCCAAAATGGTGTTGACGTTACACCCCTTCGCCCTACATGAAAAAGTAGACCTATTGTACACCCATCTTTTTTTTGGCTCACATAGTGAGCCTATGGGATTGACCAGGCCTCCGTCCGTTGGTCCGTCCGTCAACATTGGCCGCACGAATTAAAACTACTTTTCGGATTGAGTCATATCCACATTCATTTTATGCATATCCAAAATGCCTATTTGACCTATCATCGCCATTTCCCAAGTTCGCCAGGTTTCCGAGAAATTGCGGATTTTGACGTCAAAAAGTCAAATTTTCTTTAATAAATTGTATTTTTATAAATACTAGACACTTTGTTGAAGTAGAACTTTCAAATAACTTTTAGTAGTAGCTGTATATGCAACTTATGTCCTCTGAAGATTTTAAAGCTCTTGGAATTACAGTTTTTGGTGTTTACTTATAAAATTTGACAAAAAGTAGGACTTGGTCATTTTCAGGAAACTTTCTCATGTATAAAGTCAATGGCAGGTTTTGTGATTGACAAGTTTCTTAAAGTCTGCCTTATACTTGATCATTTCTTGCAATAAATTACATCATTACTAGATTTAAGCATTCCCTACATATTGCTTAATATATGTCAGCATCAAATTTTTACCGTTTTTGAGATATTTGACGTCAAAAAACAGTAAAAATAAGTTATTTTTCAACTTGATTCAATTTGACCAAATTCTTTTTTGAAAATCATCTACCAGTTGCCAGGAGTTCAAATCTGACATAAGTGTTAGGATTTGACCTTTACTTGACCTTCAGTGACCTTCGAAAGGTCAAAAAAGTTGATTTCTCAAATTGATTTTTGGATGTAAATTTTGGTCAGCTTAATCACAAAAGACCTTACTGAGCTCTGAATAAGTAAAATTTTCAAGGTCAAAGGTCGTAAACTAGGTCACCACATCTGTGCTATCTAAGTTCACAAAGTTCGAGACTACAAATCCAAATCAATATTTTTGTTTGAAAGTCAGGATATACATTCCTTTGAAGGTTCCAAACTGTGTGAGCACAGGACCATGGGTCCTTCATTGTGGTCTACAGTTTTTATGGGTAGTTAAATAGTGTCCATAACACTTTTGGAAATATTTGCTGTAACTTTCTCGAGGTGGTGACAATTTATCATATTTAATGCCTTTCCCCTTTCATTAAAGAGCAGTTAAAATGAGCTAATTATGTTTTTAGGTGACAAAAATAGATGCTGTTGCCCAGAAAGCAACTTTGGACAATGGATGGGTGATACAATATGACAAGTGCCTTATTGCCACAGGGGGAAAACCTAAGAATCTCCCCTGCTTGGAAAATGCTGGTGCAGGAGTTGCTGAAAAAACAACATTATTCCGTAACATCGCAGACTTCCGCAGATTGGAAGAAGTTACGAAAACTAGTGATTCAATTGTAATTATCGGAGGTGGGTTCCTTGGAAGTGAATTAGCCTGTGCCTTAGGGAATCGTGGAAAACGCACGGGAATGAAAGTTACGCAGGTTTTCCCTGAGAGTGGAAATATGGGACGTATTCTTCCTGAATATTTGAGTAAATGGACAATGGATAAAGTCCAGTCAGAGGGAGCCACTGTAGTTCCTGGATCTGTCGTTAAATCTGCCAAACTTGATGGTGAAAAAGTTGCCCTTAAATTAGACAATGGTGAAACAGTAAGTACACTAGTATTCATGTATTTCAAATAAAAAAGGTATTATTTGCCAGGAGGGATTCGATATGGGAAACATCACGAGGATGATATCAATATTCACCCCAGTGATGTTCTGATTAGACAGGTTGTATTGTATTTTACCCTCAATACTTGACATCTTATTTTCAGCTATCGGCAGACCACGTAGTAGTTGCCGTTGGGCTGGACCCTAATACAGAAATTGCTGCTGCGTCGCGACTTGAGGTTGATGACAAATATGGCGGTTTCCATGTTAATGCTGAATTGGAAGCACGCAAGAATCTTTGGGTGGTGAGTAAAAATATGATTGTAATGGATTATATGTGAAAAAATTAGTGAGTGAAAATATGATTGTAATGGATTATATGTGAAAAAATTAGTGGATGAAAATATCATTGTAATGGATTATACGTGAAAAAATTAGTGAGTGAAAATATCATTGTAATGGATTATATGTGAAAAAAATTAGTAAGTGAAAATATCATTGTAATGGATTATACGTGAAAAAATTAGTGAGTAAAAATATCATTTTAATGGATATATATGAAAATAAAAAATAGATACAGTCATAGATCAGAGCTTTGCCAACATAGTATATTATTCGAATGAGAAACTAATATGTACATACATGTCAGCAAGATGAGTGATCATAGAGAATACTAGCCATTGAATAAAATAATGTTTTGAATATTTTGTATTCTGTATACTGTAGATTGGGTTAATTTGGCGCTACTTAATTTGGCGATTTTGCCATTTTTGGCATATTGGCGGCTATTTAATTTGGCGGATATGCAAAAAAAAATTTAATTAACTTACGCGTTGTTTGCGAATTTTATGTTCATTTTTTCTTTTGAGGACCACTGGCAATATTCACCACGTTTGTACATTTTTGTGAGATCATCCTTTACATTTTGCACCTCGATTGATGCTGCTACTATACTGCACTTTTCCTTTCTAGTTTTTCCCTGAGTATTAATAAGTGACTGACCAGTTCTGAGCCAATTTATGAGAGACATTTTTTTCATATTTTTGGAAAAAACTAAACCGGAAGTGACCTAAATACACTCGACGAAATACCCTAGATAATTCCCGGGGATTCATTCTAAATTTTGGCGAAGATTTATATTATTCGCCAAATTAAAGCGGGCGCCAAATTAACCCAATCTACAGTAATTGTATTTTATGGGAAAGGTTTTTTTATTTTATTTTTTGTGATTGGCATTTCAGGCTGGAGATGCATCTTGTTTCTATGACATCAAGCTTGGGAGAAGACGTGTTGAACATCACGATCATGCCGTCGTTAGCGGTCGCCTCGCAGGAGAAAATATGACAGGTGCTGGAAAGCCTTACTGGCACCAGTCCATGTTCTGGTCTGACCTTGGGCCGGAAATAGGGTATGTTTTTAACTCCTCCCCAACATAAAATTCTACTAAATTATGCTCTGTTTTATGAACAAAAAAGTTGTTGGAACTTTTTTCTGATACATTTAATTGAATTTCATACCATTTTAATGATTAAAAAACCAACTAATAGTATTACACTGTCTTGTTTTGTAAAATACACTGGTACATGTAATATGTTAACAGTTTTGGAATTATTGAGTAAAAGTCTAAAAGTAGACTATATACTATTCTTAGTTGACTATATTGATGTGATAGAAAAATAATTTAAGTAATTGAAAAATGGTGTCTAAATTGCAGATACACAATTCACATTGAGCTCTACAATGTCTTGAAGTTAGCTTTTGTTTCATTTTTTTCACATGCTGGAAAATAACATGGGAATATCATATTGCAATCACATCTACACTTGCTACTTATTTCTCCCATAGTTTGGTATACTGCTACTATACCTCAGTTATAGAGCACTTGACTGGATAGTTAGGGGTCCTGGATTCAGTAAATTTCCCCATGTTATTTTCAAATAGATATTTTTTCATCCATTTGGGAAAATAACACAGGAATATTATATCATATTGCAATCATATCTACACATGCTACTTATTTCTCCCGTAGGTATGAGGCTATAGGTCTAGTAGATGGGAGTCTACCCACTGTTGCAGTGTTTGCCAAAGCCACAGAGCAGGACACACCAAAAGCAGTAGTTGAATCAACAGGGGAAGGAATCAGATCAGAAACAGAACAGGTTGGTATAATGCTACTGTAGCTCTGTGGTAAGGCACTTGACTGGATGGTGAAGGGTCATGGGTTCAATTCCCGCTGGGGTAAACTGACTTTTTTTTACATCAATCTGTCATTAGCACAGAGTTTCATTCTTGTTTTCAAAATGATTATTCAGTTACATTATGAGCCTCAGTTACACTGAACATAATGATATTTAAGTTCAAACAGTATCTCTGGTTCAATCAATTGGTTCAAATAGAGTATAGCCTGGAATTTAGTGTGCCCATAAAGTACATGTACATTATATATATTATATGTACAGTGTACATGTGTACATATTGTGTACATTAAATTCCAGGCTATAATCTAAACATACACTGAAACCTGTTAAGTGGAACACCTCTACAAGTGGAACATCACTAGAAGTGGAACACTTTTCAGAATCCCAAGAACAACTGACTTAATATTAAATGAACCTCTATAAGTGGAACACCTCCCAAGTGAAACACTTCAGAGGTACCAAAGGTGTTCCTCTTAGACAGGTATTTTGGTACTACTTATGCATTTATAATGACTATTTTAATGAACTATCATGCTTCTAGGTTGCATCTGAGACTCCAAGTGATGTCGCTCCTAAAGCACCTGTCGACGGAGATGATTATGGGAAGGGTATCATCTTCTATATGAAAGACAAAGTGATTGTTGGCATCGTTATGTGGAATGTATTCAATAAAATGCCAATAGCTCGAAAGGTGAGTCTCACATACCAATAGTTGCACTACAGAAAAGTAGTAAGGGCCGGTAATGTGCCTTGTCATTCACTGCTCTTGAACATTTTGTAGGCTAATTTCATTGAACATTTTGTTCGTAATTTGATCTTATGGAATTGACCATACTCTGACCATGTCTGTCTATTTGTCCAATCAACAGTTTTCAAACAAACAGAATATGGGGTTCATTTGAACCAATATTGATTCATATTTCATGGGGGTCTATGATTGTTATTCACATGATTGGTTCCGTCACCTGCTTTTGACTCATTTTAGAGAAATGCGATTTCCATTATGTGAGCTCACCAAATGGTGCCACATTTTGGAGATTGTGGTAAGGGTTCCTGAAAGGTTTGGAGGGGGTTTTAGATATGGTTTCTAAATGCATTAGCTAAAAGTCTGATTTATTTGGTGGATTTATCGTAAATCACTTTTGAGTCACAGTTAATTATGCCATGGGCTTTTTTCATGAGCAAGAAACTGTACCAAATCTAAAATTATGATAAACTTGTGTTGTTTTGATGTTTAAATACATTTTACATGGAACATACATGTATGTTTGTAGTCAGAATTTGGGTTTGATTGAATTTATATTTGATATTTTCAGCTCATAAAAGACGGACTGCCACACGACGACCTATCAGAAGTTGCCAAACTATTTAATTTATATGCCAAAAAGGAAGAAGATTCAGAATGAGGGTAGCTGCTTTTTAGGACAATTTAGGATGAATTAATTCAATGGGACAAGCTTTTCATTGACCATTAATACGTGTAATTAAAGAATTGAGAGATTACATGTACCTCATTGATAAATTACGAAAGCTCAAAATTGTACAGTCTGATTTTAATGGTGGTTTGTTTGTTGTTATTTGCTAGTCTGATACTTCTACAGAATGATACAGTTTGTGTATTTATTAGAAAGAATCATGTATAATACATGTAGTCTAGTTTGAGTTCTCCGATGGTAAATATTTGAAGTACTGTAAATTGGTTTGATTTGGTCATGGGCTTTTTCTAGTTGAAAGCAACTAGTAAAGCCCATTATTTGCTGCATGCTTGACTTGGTGAATTGATGGCAATTCAAAAAATGCCAGTTTATAACTTATTATTTTCTCGTAATTCAACGACTAAAAGGCTTAACATAACTTGCTTGAGGAAAAAAGATTGGTTGACTGCGTAGACCAAATTCAATAAATTGAATAGCTGGCAAAAGCAAAAATCTGAAAGTTTGCCATATTGATTTGCGTCAAATTAATTCAAATTACAGTAATGGACAAAGTGAATCATTAAACAACAGGGATTGCCATAAGTATTGTTAATGAATAAATATTTTTGCAATACAGATTTATAGTAATAAATATAAAAATAGTATTTGATACAATAAATCGTTCATGTTGTTGGTTGTTTTTTAGAATAGAAAGTTAAATACTTGTGATTGATTAGTGAAATCTTGTATATGTTGTATGCTCATTAACTGTACTAAATATGCAGCTACGAGACATGTCATGATGACATTGTTATGTCACCACCACAAGTGGTGACATATTGTAAGTCTCCAACTATTTTGTGGAGGTTGTTTGGAGTTTGGTGTCTGTAACAAATGGTAGGTAGTTTTAGACATGATATGAGATGAGCTATAAAGCAAGGCTTGATGCAGATATGAAGATTGTAAAAGTGTATGATATACAATGAAACCTGTGAATTGAAACACCTCTAGAAGTGGAACACCTCTGCAGGTTGACACTTCACCAATCGACTTTAATGTTCGCTCTAAATTAAAATCTGATCACCTTTTACCTTAAGGACGTGGTGGACTAATTAAAGCAAATTTTTAAGAAAATATAACGAAGGACAAATTTTGAATAACAAGTCATAAAACTTGAATTGATGGCAAGAGCCTCTAATTAAATCTTATAAATATAGTGGTATATCTGGACATTATCCGCACTTTACACCACATGCGCATGCGCATTGAGTAATTGATATATCCTCAAAAAAATTTACGCAATATATTTCGTATTTTAAGCCTAATCTGTATAAAGAAAAAAGGTAAGACTAATTGATATATCGAGATCATAATCCAATTCAATATTTCATTCTATGATTATGTAAAAAAACTGAGTAGTTGAGCGAAAAATTATTATAATTTGTATTATCGCCCAACAAATGAAGAAATTTTATTTTTGAGACCCGGAGTGAGTCAGAGACGAGAGACCCCGTTTACTAATACTTTAAAGCTGGACTACGCTCCGAAACGCAATCTTGGGTTGTTTCGGGGGTGAACTTTATCATTTTGAGCTTAATGAAAGATTAAATAGAATGATGAACAAATGGGGCAAATCTTGTGTAGAAATACTTACAATAAATGTGTCATTTCAAAGATTTTTCATTGAATTTGCTTCGATCGGAGCCGGCGATATGATTTTGGAAAGGTTTCTAAATGAAGAACGTGACGTCACTTCCGAATCATAGCATTCAAAATAAGTAGCGTTTAATTACTTCACCATTCATCATAATACGGTGGTGTAGCGGTAGAATCCTCGCTGAGCACGCGGGAGGCCCGGGTTCAAATCCCGCATTTGCCTTTTTATTTTTTTAACTAAATGATTGTTCTTTGATATTACGCAGAAAAAAACAATTTTTATTTACATAAACTTTATATAAGAGCTTGAAAATGTAAAAACAATATATGTCAACATATTGCGTTTTGGAGCGATGTGCAGGTTTAATTCTCTATATTCTCGTAAAACTGCAAAGAATTACTAGAGTTTATCATGTACCATACCCATCTCTCTCTCTGAAGAGTGGTCATTCATTGGCCTAATTTTTATCCAACAGACTGGTATCCTTATGTAAGCTTACTGGCTGGGGCATTGAATTGGTACGATCCAGGAATTTTTCCAGTTAAATTTTATCTTACAGAATTTTGAATTATTGATCTGGATAAATATTTGCTGAATTGGTATGATCATAGGATTTATCCAAAGATTTGTCCCAAGTAGATTGATCCAAATGACCAAATTACACTGGATTCTTTCTTAGATTGTCAAGGTGAAGTTGAATCAACTAAAACCTTATGAATCAAGACGTGTAAACTCCAAATTGTCTTTACCAAATAGTAAGTCATTGCCATTTTTTAAAAGGCTATTTACAGCAGCACTGATGAGACAAGACAATACATATATGTCAACCCTGACATGTTGAGAAGCAATATGGTAGCAGTTTGATACCTCGGATCCTTCCTGCTTGAACAACTTTCTTCAGACACATTGGAAAATGCAGGTATATATTTGCTGTTATTATGATCTGATTTGTTAAAAATGACATTTAATAATTTTTTTTTGTCTGAGTTGTCCATCTATTTGGCCATCAGTTCATAACCTTTTGACTACCCAGAGTGACAAGATTTCTCGTCACCTAAGAAATGACCTTGAAACCTAGAGTGACGACATAATCTGTCGCTAAAATTCCTCAAATTTGAACAAATTTCATTCAGTTTACACAAAATAACGTTTAAAATGTGTAGAAATTATCCCTGCCAAATAATTTCACTAATTTGAGCATCACCTGTTGTATATGTATGAAGTAAAATGTCAAAAGCTGGCAAAAATGAAAAAATTCTCTGGTTACAAACCAATTTTAGAGCCTGGGATTCAAGAGGTTAACTATTTTCAAAGTTTATTCCTTTTTCAGAAAAATAAAAAAGAGACCATAGCCAGGTTGGCATTTAGTATGCAGGCAACCAAATTGCTCCATTTCGTGAACATTGACCAACTTGTCCAGGCCCAACTGTGGATGGTCGGGAAAACAAAAGAGGAAAAGCGGGAATTGGTGTCAACTGAAGTCAATGGCAGTGCTGCCCTCTTCCATGCGTGTCAACATGGTTAGTAGATTTTTCAAACATTTATTTTGATCTGTTATTGTTTTTCATAACATGCCAATATGTTTGGCACACATGGTACTTTTTTCAATAGAAAGTTAAAAATTTATACCCTTCAACATCTCAGTCTTGCAACAGTCAGATTCGTCTGAGCCAGATATAAGCATATGATGAGTCAGTCAAAAAGGTAATTTTATTCATATGTATGTGCATTTAGTGGTTTGGTGTAAGACAAATATGTCATTGTTATGACATCAGAGACTCAACAAAAGACATATAAATGTAATACTATCAGTTATCACACGTTTCAGTATGTGATACAGGAAATATTCCACGAAAGGTAATATTGTATCATCCACGAAAGCGAAGCTTGAGTGGTGATACATACTTACCCGAGTGGAATATTTCCTGTATCACATAAGCTGAAATGTGTGATGACGATTTTATCACATATCTTGGAATGTTGAATTGAAGCATTTTGATGTGGTCACTATGATTGTCTTCAGTACTCTGTACTCTCGGTAACTATTATAATTTTGTGTGTTTCGAAAGTTCGCTTTGAAATAATATGACGTCATACTGTTGTATTCGTGCTTGTTAGTGAAATAATATGACATCATACTGTTTTCTTTAGCTACGAAGTGATATAACCAGTGACGTCATATCGTTACTATTGACTCCGTAGTAATACAGCCGACCGTATTACATAAAAATTAGTCACATGTCATGTGATACGGTATATATTTTGTCACAATTGACCAATCAAAATGCTTAGAAACTCCTAACCATGTGATAATGTACTTTACCAAAAACTTGTGATACATTTTTGTGCTTTTAGGTCGGCTTAGCTTTGTTAATTGGCTAATTGAAGATTGTGGAGCTAACATAGAACAAGTAGGACGTTACCATGTAGAGGAGGACCAATCAGATCATAAGGTGACACCACTATGGTGCGCCGCTGTCGCGAACCATCTTGGTTGCGTAAAAAGTTTAATCTGCCATGGAGCAAACGTCAATGCAACATCAGACACGGATTCGACTCCAGTCCGCTCAGCCTGTTTCATGACGAATATTGAAGTCGTAAAATATCTCGTAGAAAAGGGCGCTGATATTCATAAACCGAATGTGAATGGCGGGACGTGTCTGATTAACTCCGTCCAGAATCGTCACCTTTGTGAGTTTTTAATTGAAAAAGGAGTCGATGTTAATGTTCAAGATCAGTCTGGAAATATTGCACTTCATTACGCTGTCAAAGAGAATCGTTTAGACACTGTTAAACTACTAGTCGAAAGTGGATCAAATGTGCTTTTGGAGAATATGTTTCATGACGATAGTATTATTCTTGCTGCTGGCAAAGGCCTTACGACAATCGCAGAATATCTTCTGAAATGTGTGAAAGTTAATGATATGCGCATAATTGACACATACAAATTGATTGGATGCTGTTTTGTGGATGAACAGCATGATATGTTGGGTGGCTGGAACATGTGGCGAAAGGCAATAGAAATTCTGAATGAATCTAAAGACAAGGAACAAATCTTATCACAGCTGAGACACATCGAACCTCTTGACGTATATAACGATGAAACAGAGGTGTGTACTAAGGATGACGTGGCAAGAATTGCTGAAGATCCAGACCTAACTTACATGCAGTCTTTGGTCATGAGAGAGCGGATCCAAGGCCCAGAGCATAAAGATACAGTTTTCAGATTGATGTACCGTGGTGCCGTTTACGCCGATTCGCACCAGTTTCAACGATGCGTTGATCTTTGGTTACATGCTTGTACAATGCAGTACACCCGCTTAGGGCCTTTGAACATGGAATCTCTTTTCACATTGCAGGCAATTTGTAAACTGTTCGTTGAAATCAACACTGAGTTTAAAGAGAAGCGTACTACCGAGTTTGTGCAATATGATGATGTCATGAGTATTATGGAAATGATAATCAGCGAAGTGGAGTTGGGAGCAAAGTTGGTGGATGTACGTCCTGTACATAAAGAACTGCGCCAGCAATATGACATGAAGTTAAAACTTTTGCTGCATTTAATAAATCTTATGATTGACGTTGCAAAATCTGATTCGCAGGATTTTGGATTTAAACAAACTGTTCATCGATTGGTTAAGCTTAATCCGGAGACATCCAGTCAGGATAACTTGTTACATCTTGCTCTTGACGCGGATTCTAGCTCTGTGGAGGAAACAAAAATATCTACGCTACCATCTCTTGAGCTGACGGAACTATTGTTGTATTGTGGGATGGGGTCACAAGTCAATGATGTGAACTCATCGAAAAGGACACCGCTTCATGTTTTGTGTTCGGGGAAATTTCAGAGACACAATCAAAAACTTTTGCAGTTGATGCTAGATTATGGAGCTCATGTCTGTTGCCGGGACGACAGTGGAAAGGCTACCTATGACCTCATAGGATATCGCACTCCCTTCCACTTGAAAAAACTGACATTTCAAATCATCCCATTTGATCATATGAATCTTAAATGTCTAGCTGCAGCTGTTATCAAAAAAAATAATGTTAGCTTTCGCGAGAACGAAATACCTGCGTCTCTCATAGATTACATCAAGTTGCATTAGAATCAGCTTAAGTCTCATTCCTAGTGGTTCCCATCCTTGCCAACTCCCTCTTTCCTTCCCTTCCCTCCCTTCTTCCTGACTTTCTCTACTAGGGACATCACTCACCTAGAGATTTCCTTGACTTGTATATATCAACGCACTTGCATGATTCTCCTCTGTCCAGGATTTATCAGTCTTTCCCAAGAATATATATTGTTGATTTAGTAATTGTGTTATTCAACTGCTCATTAAAACACAGTAACACCTGTCGAAGTGGTACATCTTAGGTACCTCTAAAAGTGTTCCACTTGTGACGTGTTCCACTCATAGAGGTTCATTCGACTTACAGTCAATTAGTCTTGGGACTTACAGAGGACTCTTTGGCACTTACAGAGGTTCTGCACTTCACAGGTTTCACTGTATGTATGAATCTGCTGTGTACAAAAACTCAGTATATGTAATCATAAGAATTAGAATTTCCAGTGATTTTGCCGATTGTTTCATTGATTTTGCCTGTTGTCCAAAAGTCAAATGATACTCCAGTGATCTCCCCAGCATTAAAGCAAGTGGGCGCAGCACCCACCTGAGATTCTGAAAATAGGCTTGCACCCACCTGAAAATCCATTTGCCCCCACTTGAAAATGAGAAAAATTGGCATATTTTGACCAATTTTGGTCTGAATTGTGAAAATGAGAATTCCGCACCCACTTGAGAAAAAATCCTGGGGAGATCACTGTACTCCCTGTATCTATGGCTTATTAGTCATTGTTTGTAAGGTTAAACAAAGAAAGGCTGGAATCAGCAAGTAATTTTGTGAACAGAATTTTCAAAAATAGAGTGGAAAGTGTTCTGATTTCAAGGCATAGTCATCCAAAAAGGAAAGTCCAAAAATCCCCGAATTTTGGATGAAAGTACAAGGTGATAAGATGGTAAAAAATATTTAATATGTAAACAGCTTTTGCAAAAATTATGCACCTTACAAAACAATAAGTGTGTTATTAATATTATTTTATTTTTTCTCAAAAAAACAATACCTATATTACTTTTAAGTATATTACATAATATTATGACATGTATAATGAAAAGCATTTTTTTCTGAGGGGTTGTATCATAATATGCCCTGGATTTCTCTATTTGTTCATTTCAAAGTCCTAGGATTTTTAGTAACTTTTAATATATGGTATATATTTTGATACAATCCCTATATATAGTTGTGCTATCTCTGATCTTCATAAATGCTGAAATTATTCACATAAAAGAAAATAGTGATTCTATAGTACTTTGACATAAATACCTACACTGGTACTGCATTCTTCAAACTAGCTACCAAAACAGAACCTCAAAGGTACGATTTTCCTTTTTTCATGAGTGGTAGGCAGAATTCCCACAACATTTTCACGGTCAGTATCATAATGTTTGAGAAAATCTAGACGTTTAAGTAAGAAAAGTGAGGAATTAAATTCCAGGAACTATTTTGTGCAAAATTATACGTGTTTCTGCTGAAAATGCTGAAAAGATTGGGATGGTTTATGATATATCTCTAAAAATCGAGGAAAGAGAAAAATCTGACAGAACTCCCCAACAGAACCCATAGCCAACTTGTTGCCAAAACTGATCTGTTTCGGTAACAGCGCAATCAAATGCAGTACCAGTGACATTGGTAAAAATCATGTTCCACAAAAAGTGAAAGGTTCTTAACAATAATGAATGGGCTAAATAAAAAAATGCAGTGGAATATATCTGTTGATAACTTAAAGGGGTAGCAAAGGATAGAGGTTAAGTGTAAAATGTTGAAAGCAATGTTTTCAATAAACTATTCATATTTAAATACAATAAAACCTGTATATCAGAACACCTCTCTAATTAGAGCAGTCCCCATCTCGAATTGGCTCTCATGTTTAAAAACCTTGAACACCAGCTAATCTGAATATTTTTGGCCACTCCCAGTGGTGTTTGGATTAGACAGGTTTTACTGTATTTGAAAATGGAGGCAACTGAAGGTTGATAATGCGGAAATTTCTACAATGTACAGCTATTAAAATTGAAAGATCATGTCACATATTAAGAGTTCTTGCCAAAGAATCTTTAAGTCAAAGCTTTTTCATAGTATAATCTTTTAGACAATATACATGACATGAAATGCTGTTCGATAGATATTGGAAAATTTTTTTTTCCAAAAGTTACCATAAACCCTATTTTAACCTTTGCCACCCCTTTAATTTTATATTAAGGATTTTTAGTTTTGTCACTATGGCAACGTATGACTATACATCATATAATTGTTTTATGTAGTATTAACAACAAAAGATCTTAAAGTGTGCGCCAAAGTTTAAAACTGCGCAGGCGCACCGCTCTCGCTAAACTATATAAAGAGATTACAGGGTACAGGCTTCAGAGGTAAGCCAGGAAGGTGAACAACTATCGTCCCGTGTTGATTTCCCGTATAATCGTAACCAGGCAAGTTTCACCATTGGAATTGAAAATGACTATTAGATATACTTTGTAGATGTTTATATATGAAGGTATTAAGTGTATGCATCAATCAAATGGCTCATTTTGAACATAGAAAAAGTATTTGTGTTTTGTTTCCCAGGGAATTGTATTCCAATGTACTACACACATAAATAGTGTACATTATGTTGTACTTGAATAGTCTGGCTTATATAATATTGAAGGGTATGCTGATTGTACACACGAGTACATGCATGAAGGCCTAATATTGATATTGCTTGCATACCTAAGTAAAAAATAAACTCTTCTAATCCCCTAATGTAAACACGGCGGTATACGTAGCCCGATTTATCGGGGGCTTTAAGTAGTACATTAAGAATATTATGTACAATACATTTCATAGATATATATTATAGCTATAAATTATTAAATTATTAAAATGCGATTTAAACATACCTATATACATTTTACAATAAATCTGTTTGTAGAGATCTTAGAAAGAGATTCTGTTTGTATTATTATGACAATATGGTTTATATTACCGTCATCATCATGATTTACCTAATTAAAAATACAAGTATAGAAACTACAATATTTGTGTATGCTGCCATTTCAGAATTGTTTTACAGTTCATTGAACGCATGAAGTCATATTTTGGCATAACACTTCAATTTTCATGCGAATACTCTATTTAGGCAGCCATTTTGGCCAATTCAAAAAAAAGATAGAATATATGCAGCCAACATTTCATACAGTAACACTAATTACCTGATATGAAAATCTGAAGATTTTTGCTCATCAAGATTGAGGCGGCGCCAATTTTGAAAAAAAACATTATTTGCATAAAACCATTTACCCTTTTTTTATTCCAATAGATGACTTCTTATATCCCTGTTTAAATTCATACATTTATCTGGAAAATAATACAGTAAACCCTAAAAAGTGGACACCTCTGTTAGTGGAACACCTCAGAGTCCCAAGATCAACTTACTTAATGTTAAATGAACCTCTGTAAGTAGAACACCACACCTCCCAAGTGGAACACCTCTAAAAGTGGAACACTTAAGAATCCCAAGACCAACTGACTTAATGTTAAATGAACCTCTGTAAGTAGAACACCTCACAAGTGGAAAAATTTTAGAGGTTCCAAAAATGTTCCACTTAAGACAGGTTTAACTGTACTCTCAAGATTTAATGAATTCAGTGATACACTACTGTGATAGCTTATGCTATAAAAACATGTAAAACATAAAATACATATTTCTCTACATGATTATGGCAGACTTGTATACTAGCTTTAAATAGGTATAAAACATATAAATAACATTTACATATAAGTAAATACACAATATGAAGATTCGTCACACAATTATACATATAAAACTATGCATAATCATAATAAAAACTACAATGGATGATTTTTCGTAAAAAACCTCTGTTTAAAGGTTAAATGTACATGTATATCCAAGAAAAAAATAATCATGTAATACTTTTAATTACCAAATATGTTTATGCACATGTTAATTTTGGATACGATCCCTTAAACATATTACTCAATTTTTCTTATACCCAATGAACCTCCATGCATTTCTTTTCTACGTTATTTATATGCAATTTTATTAAAGTCCATTTCGATACATTACAACACTGTGTTCTTTTGATTCATTATTTTGGGGTTTTATTGATGAAAATGAAACACTGAAATGGACTTTAATGTGTCACTGAATTCTAAGTATCAAGGAACATAATTGTATTTTAATCAAAATAATCTTTCTTCCCAGTTGCCCACTTCTGCAGAGTGCAGGTAGAACTTGTCTTGGTCAATAGATTTGCAGAATTTTGAATATTGATAAAACACAGAATTTCCCATGGCACTGACAACTATTCCAATTTGCCTCAATAATTACCAATTTTATGACTGAACAAAAAATGACTTTCATATTTTTATCATGTATGTGAAATTGGCCCCTTTCCCTTGAAGAGTTTCACATGCTCATAACTTTTACTTGCGGAAAACTGGGAAGAATAATGTTTCATTACCAGTTTGTCATTTGATAGTGTATAAATAGAACCCTTTGCTATTTAGTGGAGATTCTTTTAATAAACATCTATAGATTATGAAAAATATATGACATCGTCACACTATAATGATTTTGATCAAATAATAAAAATGAAAACCTAAGTTATATAAAACATCTCCATGTATCTCCCTTCTATTTGTTACATGAAAAACAGTTTCCCATCCCAACTATATTTTTCTCAAAACAATAATACTCTTCTCGCTTTGTATGTGTTAAAAGATGGCAGAGTACTACAATGACTGTTAGTAGTTATACAAACTAAATGGATTTCCCTGATAATATACCAAACAACCCTAGAATCCATTTTAATCATCAGCATACTATTAAACTTTGTGTAAAACAAACCCGGCCCTGGTTAGACAAATTCTAAAGTCTTGTTAATTGTTTACTCGGCTCAAGTTGTTTGATAGTCCTTAATAGCACACTAAGTACTGCAGCTAGACTCGTGGCTTGCTTCATCAGCTGTTTCATACTAGGGTGCGCTAGTGGTTGCCCACCAGCAATCTGAGCAGCACGGACAGTTTGTTGATACGTTAAACAAACATTGGATAATTTTTCACCTAAATGCTGCATATTTTCAACCTTAAGTGATGGAAATAAAGCGATGGTCTGTTCAACTAAATGGCTCAAACTTAGCAAACTTTTGTGGACATTTGAGACGAGAGATTCGCGAGTTTGGGTTGCACTCGATACAAGCAACTTAGAATCTGTTACAAACTGACGAGCCTCGAGAATCAGTGTGTCCTTTGATTTATAAAAATCATCCTCACTCAAGGGGTCCATTTTTGATTGTTCTAAGGGGCCTTGGATATTGTTTTTCTGCTCTGTGGATATAATATTCGAGAGCTGGTTCAGTAAGAGTTTTAGATCATGGTCAACACCAACGAATGTCGCTTCACCAGAGTATTCTCGACTCTGAATATGTCCTAACACACTGTCTATTGTAGCAACGGAGGTGTTATTCCCAGAATTCAACACATTATTCACTATACTGTCTTTGTCTTTTGATTGGTCTTTTTGATGATAATATTTAAGAGCCATGCTCCCCATTGTTGGTGTTTCGATGTCTACTTTAACTTTTTGAGCTGAGATAATGTTGGAATTTGGCTGCCCATCAGAAGTGTTCTTTGATGTATCAGAAGTGTTCTTTGATGTATCAGAGGTGTTTTTTGATAAATTGGAGATGTTTTTGGATACATGGGTGTTTTTGGATACATCAGATGTAAATTGCGATGAATTATCCAAGTTGTGTTTTTGAGAATCTGAGCTGAGTTCTGAACTGAGATATTTATTTGACCCATATTTATGTGAGGTCTCATCATGTTGTGATGTCATAGTATCACATAATGTCACACTACTTTGCGTCCCTGGAGTCCTTGCCGTTTGATTCTGCATTTTAGAGTCTGTACTTTCCTTTGGCTTCTCAAGAGGAATCACTTCAACATCTTTGATTAAAAAATATTTTGAAGGAATTTTGTCATTCTCTACTGAAGCTGGGGTTTTGTTAACATTTGACCTAATTTGATTTACATTGTTTTCGATTGGTCCTCGGTTATTGTTTCCAGTGATTCGATTGGTCAAACCTTGATGATTGGATGCTCGAGGGTACTTCTGAAACACATGAAACATAGCCGTTAGGTAAATCATTGATATATATTTGATATACATGTAAGTAAAATTTAACACAATGAACTTATCTGTAGAATTCGTCACAACTTTATCTTGACCTGTCGAATGAACCTTATATTGCCCAGAATTGAATATTAAAAATGCCAGTTTAAAATACTCTATATACAAGTATTAATTACTTGCTGACTTGTAACACTATTTTTCATAATTTAAAATGTGCTGTTTATAAAAGGAATAATGATCTCACCTGGTGTATGCTGGAATGTTGATCATTTTCTGCTGTATGTATTTCTCCTGTAGGTTTTTCATTATCATAGCTTATTCCATTTTTAGCACTTTGCACTTCAGTGTTTGCATTTTTTATTCCATTTGCAGTTTCTTGCACATCGCTTTTTGCATTTAGCATTCTATCGTCATGGATTTTCACGTCACCATTGTGATGAGGTAGAATGCCATTTTGTGAGTGAGGATACGAGTCAATAGAGGGCAGTGTGAAACTTCCTGTGTCGGATTCCCCATCCACGCTTGAATCCTCTGATGACGTGATATGCCTGTTTATAATAGGACTAACGGGCTGGGTGAAATTATTCATGCGGGTTAATATAGATGGGGACACTTTATGAGCTGTTACGTTTGTGACGCTGGACCGCCTTGGGGGTGGGGTTGGAGGCATCCTCTTGCTTTTTAAGGGTGAGGATGGCAGTGAAAGACTCCTGGCAGGGGGTGGGGGTTTCCCCGAGGATTGGCCCACAGGTAAAGAGTGTTGACTCGCTAATGTTGAGCTACTGGATTGAAGTGACACACTTCCTTCTGTTGAGGACGTAGGTGTACTACTGCTGCCACCTATTGTTGATGTGCTGTCCTCTGAGGAACGTCGTAACATTTGTGTCACTTTAGAGCTTTTTGGTAATACTGGAGGTCCTTTCTTTTTTGAAGAATCCCCATTGGTTGACAAAAATGGATTACCCTGATTGGAAGATGAACGTTTTTCAGTACCTCCCGGGAATGCTTTATTGTTCATAACCTTGTACATATCAGGTATTATATGTTCATTATACAAAGCATCCTGAAACACTGGAGGAACAATCTGTATATCAATGTCATTGTCGACAGAGTCGGGTGGTGGAGGAATAACAAATCCATCAATTTCTGGATCTACGTTGCAGCCATTTTGAATCCAATCCGCATTCAGGTGAGATTCTAACAATGCGTCATACTCTGCTTCAACACTAGGGGGCGTAAGAGTCAGCACACTGTCATCTAATTGTGGGGGCGGTGGCGTGAATGTCTCAGTGGATTGAGGGTGACTAGAAAGGGCTTGGGGGTTAGGCATCTGTGGCTGGGAGGTGTTCTCCTGAGATGATGGTGAGTCATTTGAGATCATCTTCGGGGACAGCTGATCAGAGCTTTCTGTTTCCGTCGCACCATCGAGTAAGAACAACTGCTGTGTCACAGATACTGTTTTTAGGTTATATGGTGTCACACCTTTCTCTGTGATGTCATCATCATGTGATGTCATACAAGTCTCTGTGACATCATCAATTTCAATGGGGGGAGGTGGTACTGTTAATGTTGCTATGATGGCCTCTATGTTAGCCGCATCTATAGGTGTTGTGGGTAGTTGCGCATTATTGGCATATTCACTCATACTTGATGTCAAAAGTTCAATTAACTCGGAAGATATGGTCTCATTCCCAGAATCACTCTCTGAGTCATGGTCTTCACCTGGAAAATGAACTTTTCAACTTGAGTATCAATTCAAAGTTTATATATTGTTCAACTTGAGTATAACGGATTTATTCAAGTTGCAGAATTATACCTAAATTGTAAAATTCAACTCAGTTAATTGGATATATTGTTAAATGGATTGACTAAAATAGAAACAACGAAACAACAAATTGATTCACAATTGTTTGATTTCCATGACTTTATTGATCAATTCTGTTCAAGCTACAGTCATTTTTTCTAACATGACTTACTTGCGGTGAAATGTGTATCAAACGATTGTATCGGTGGCGGAAGATCTACTTCATCTTCAGGTGCTGGAATGTCTATAAGTGACATATGAACAACATGTGACTGTGACGGGACCCCTTGTGACGACCTATTACCTCCATCTGAGAATCCAGGGGGCGCCTCTGTGACAACACTCGAGAAATCAATGAGATGCTCGCATTCTGGAGTCTTTGGTGGAGGAATCATAGTAAGATCTAAAATATGGTAAAAAATCAGTAAGAATTTGTTTCCTTTCCGAAATCATTTTCTAAGATTTTTGACATTGTGGGACCTTATAAATAGACAACAGAGAGCTGTATAACATGAAAAAGTCATAGTATAGGATTATTCACATCCTCCGATCACAGGGCTTCAAAATCCAGAATATATTCTTTCTTTTTACCCCCTGCGATAAGCAGTTACCATTTCCCAGATTAAGAACTCGAAATCTGATTGGCTGTCACAACATTGCGACAGAAATCATGTATAAGTCATTGCGCATAATTAGATCACGTGATTCAGTTAAATCGGGCGCTTCCAAATTGGTTATAGCAGGGGGAAGAAGGAGGTACGGATTCTGGATACCTGCTTAGGAGGATGGATTAATCAAAATACATCTAGACACCAATTCTGAATGAACAACTTTGGGGATAATCCACATCTTAATCAACACTTAATGAAATTCACTGACCAAATACTTTATTTTGCAAGAAAATCAACAAATTGACACCTTTAATACAAGATTCAGAATCTGAGAGTTAGTATATAGATAAATAGCACGATTCTCACTTCCCCAATATCAAGGGGTACTAAAACTGCCCCCCCCCCACCTTACATCTATAAGAAATGATGAAATTTTACCTATGATATCAGGATCCAAATACAGGCCCCTATCTCCAAATATTTTTGGATTGTACGTTGGATGGAACTTGTTCACTGGGAAGATATCAGGATCTGGACTATGTAGACCAAAGCTGTTCTGCAAGTCTTCCTTTCTCAATGTGTCTCTGCTTGCTATGCCAACTGAACGGGGACGCTCTATAACCATAGAAGTTAACATTATACATGTACAGTAAAACCTGTATATCCAAACACCTCCCTAATTCGAACACATCTCAATGTGAACACTTTCAGACCTACATTAAAACCAATGGCTTCAATATTCAGGACATTTAATAAAGAATATTTATTTCAGTAAGGCTCATCCAGTTTTTATCCCAATATGATACAAAGTTCATACTTAATCTTTTAAGCTTCTTTGTCAAATGATAATATGATGCTGTATGTCATTGTGTTAATCTGATTATTTTCAAACGAAATCATATTTACCTGGATGGTGTTGCATTATGGGACCACTGGCCTTCTCGTCTTCACCAGGTGGCACTAGCATCGCCAAAGAATCCTGGGATTGCAACAATGGCTGACTTTGCTCGCTAGCCTCACATTCCTCATCTGATGTCTCAAGGGGTCTTTCTGAGGGCTCCTCGGGTGCTTCTTCAGTGACGTCATCATGTTCTTTGAATGCAGCATTTACAAAATCAATAGAAGGTCTTCCACTATGGTGATACAATTTGACTGAATCTTTGTGACGTTTGATCAAATGAGGACTAAGCGGTGATTCTTTATCCGGATTACGAAAGGTAGAAAAGCTATCACTTGCTACGCTAGCATCATCATTATCCGAGTCAGTTTTGTCTATATTGGAAATCAGTGCCTCGTAATCATCACTGTCTGAGGGTTTACGCGCATTAGCATTAAACAATGTATAATCTTCATCTTCAGGTGACGGCAGTTTCGGGGTGTTTGACAGGTCATCTTCAAGAGTGTCGTCTGCATCTTTTTTAATCACATGATCAACCACATGATCATCACATGATTCATCTCCGTTCTGAAAAGCAAAATGTAAAAATAGTTTAAAAAATCAGATATAAATTAATATATATAACCAGATATAAATTAATGTTATAATTTCAAAATTCACTGAACTGTTTTGCTAAATTTCAATGCATATTACATAATATCTAAATAAATATATAACAGTACATGAATATAACTTAATTCAAGTAACTGAAAAGATAAAACTATCCAAAGTTACTTAATTGCCATGAGTGTGGTAGCTCTAATGCATCAACTTTTTACAGAAAAAATTCTTTAATTTAGACAGTGTGAAATTATGTTCCATGTCGTATAATATTCCCTTTGGATTAAGATTTCTTCTTGAATATTTGAATTTGTCCCAGATTCTCTCTACACACCAGCTTGTTCCTTGTATTTCATTATATATTGTATCTTATTATTCCTTGTATTTTATTATTCCTTGTATTTTATTATTCCTTGTATATCCTTATTCCTTGCATTTCTAGTTGTTTAGACAAGTAAAGCATCAAAGCAATGATACAGTCAGTGATAGAATTTGTGTCATCTGTATTAGATTAATGGAAATCACATTCTTACATCTAACTCTTACATAAAATGTCCCTGTTGAATTTTACAATTATATCTTGAATAAAGTAGGTCACATCTTGCTTGCTTTTTGTTTTATTTTCTTGTTCTTTATTTCTAAATAAATATAGTTTGCCAGTCCGAGTGTTTTAATCGGAATTGTTAGTTAGGCTCCACAGTATTATATCAATGGGTGCATTACCTATGACATTATATTAATGGGGTGCGTTACCCATGAAATTATATTAATGGGATGCATTGCCGCAGTACCGGTTCTCATTCTAATCTCATTGGTTAAGAGACTTCTACAAATGAATGAGTCAGTCATTCCCTTTAATTAAATCATTTGACTTAATGTCTATTGATAATGATATAATACACCAGTCATGATAATGGTTTAACAAAATTAATTATCAGTAATACTATAGTAGTAATTTCAGTTCATTAGTTCACTTAATTAGGTTACATTTCTGAGGAATTTGACTTAATTTCTTCAATTGAAAGTAAATTTCGTTTAAAATCTATTTCGAATAAATCATGACAAAGGATAAGTGTAATCATCATTGAATTGGTGGATTTACTCCGAACAGTAAGTGTATAAAAACAATATTATAGAGTGCACAAGAGTTCATAGTCGCCCGGGGATACCAAAGTTTGGTCCATTTAGATATGAAAGAACAGCGGGGAGGACAGCCAGTACAGTGCTTTTACTCCATCCTTAAACAATCTTTAAATTATGCTTTGACAGTTCTACAGGCTTTATAAATACACTGTGAACCATGTAGTTAATTTTCAGATTTCCTTTAATCCGTTTGTTGATCGAAACTAGCAAAGGTTGGGAAGAAAGTGTGTGTTATAAGGTGCCCACTCTGGATTACCAAGGTATGACGTTTTCATTGAAAATTAAACTGGTAAGCGAGTATAATGGGTCCCTTGATCTCCTTAATTGCTTCACCTGTTGTAGGAGGGGGAGGGTTCACAAGAGCTTGAAGTCAGACAAGTATCCACGAAAATATAATAGGGAAGTTAACCTGTACATGTTTTTAAGAGAACTGGAGACATAATTGTAACTATTTTCCTTATACATGTACCTTATACTCAGTCAGACAAATACATAGGGGACAATCTAAAGAACCATAGTTTTACACATTCTTGTACCAGTTCCCTAAAAATGTGTGCCTTAACCTCTCTAACAATAGTGCAGTATCAAACTTTCTAATCCGAACACCTCTCAATGTGAACTCTTTTTATCAGTCCCAAATCTTCCATAAACTCACCTATTCAAAACACTTAAGTGCAAACACCTGCTAATCAGAACACTTTTGACCAGTTCCAGTGGGATAAGGATGAGGTTTTACTGTAGGGGGGGGTAATACAAACTACTGTACAATTAACATCTACTTACTTGATTAGAATCAGGATTAACATAGCTAGGGGGACCTGTAGAAAAGTCAGCATGACGTGTCCCTGGGTGGGGGCAGACAGTGAGGGTCTCAGACACTAGATCTGTGGGGTAACTCCATGCAGCTGGTTCCACATAATGCTCTCCACTGTAGAATGGTACTGAAACATTTTTTTTAAATTTAATAGATTGATTTTAAGTTTTATTGCCCATTTATTTCAACCTTCAAAACTGATGCTATTCATTACATATAACAACAAATTCAATATTTTCAGCAATGACAATTGAAATGTGTAGCATCAGAATACAACCGACTTGATGGCAACTATTCCAAAAAGCATCACAATTTTACAATATTTTATATGTTGTGTCAACATTTCTCACTTTTCTTAAAAGCGACCAAATGTCCAGACTTAATATGTTGAAAATGACTTGATGTTCAGTATATGTTATAAGTGAATATTCTCATCTCAATATTCACTTATTTCCACTAATTTTCACTAATTAAACATTTGAATTGTTTTTCAAATATGGAATCACAATTGAGACATTGGCATGTTTATCTAAATGTTGACAGAGCCTTTTTGCTATCATATGGTGCTCAAATAGATTATTGAGCACTTTAAAGACAGGACTATAAAGCACTGTTTTATGTTAGTATTATTGTCAACAACTGTATGATATTTGCACTTACGTTTTGTCTGTTTAGGGTCATGACGAACACCTAGAACAAAATTACAAACTCACAAAAAAATAATAAGACAAACACAATTAAGGAATCCAAAGTTGAAAGATTAAGCACAATAAACTAAATGCAAATAAATAAACAAATAAATAAGTGAAAGATGATGAAAATGTAGTATAATATTGTACTATAATGCGATAAAGTGTGTTCACATAAACATAAATTATGCGCATGCTCAAAAATAAAATAATTTTAAGCAGGATAAGAATAAGCAGTTAAAACAGCACTCATTAAGTACCCTAAATATATAAAACAAAACTATAAATTGAAATGTAACAAGCAAAAGAGCCCCCTCTGTTGAATGTCCATGTATCGCGAGAGGTTCATGTTTATATGGAGATGGGTTCAACTATGAATTCTGGGATATTACCCCCTCTTCACAACTATGATTCTATCAATTGGCCACCTATATGAGCTTCCCAACTTACATTTAACAGAGGGTTATTTTACTCCAAACGGTAAATAAAAATTTCACAGATCTAAAAAATACAGGGTGCTCACCATCTGTATGTTCTGTATCAAGAGGCTGTTCTCCTCGTATGAGGGTGCGTCCAGGCTCTCCATACACCATGTAGTAGCCCTCTACCATGGCAACAAAGTCATGTACGTCATCATTCAACATAGACAAACTCACAATCTGGAAATGTATTTTTTCAGTTACCATGGCAATGAAGTCATATGAATCGTCATTTAACATAGACAAACTCACAATCTGGAAATGCCTTTTCTTTCAATTACCATGACAACGAAGTCATATACATCATAGCAAACTCCCATGCAGTGATATATTCATGAATACATATTTTATCAGGTGAAAATTGACCACATATACGTTGAAAAGGGGAACTATTTTCACCAAATTTTGGGGATACTCAATAGACAAACTCACAATCTGGAAATGCATTTTCTTATTTACTATGGCAACAAAATGTACATCACTGTTGGATGCAATTTGTCAACATGTGTTAAACACATTGTGTTTACACAAATGGATTTTATGGAATAAAGGCAACACAGTAAGTGAACAACTTGCGGATTTTTAGCTTTATAACATTTGAAGAAACCAACTCTGGAATGTTTTAGGGGAGGCATCAACAGTTCGATGTCGGATCGGAAACTAAATAAATCTAGTTTTGACTCTGACTCCCCCCTCCGCCCAAAAACTAAATACTGTAAAACGGGTATTGTTAGCGAGGGGTAATTGTTAGCGATTGTTAGCGATTGCTATAGTTTCGCTAAAAATTCAATTCGCTAAAATAAACCGGGGTTAAAATACACCGGGCGCTAAAATTTGCAAATTCCCGGGACACTACATGAATACTAAATTTAAGGAGCTTTTCGTTCAGAGCTCGACTTCCGGTTTGTAATTTGAGATTAGTTTGGACCGAAAAATCAACGATTTTAAATGCTACCGTGATTTTGTGATTAGTCAGATGAGATTACAGTAGTTTGGACCAATACCATGTGCGTTAGAAGTCTTACATTTTGATAATTCCTCTGTCATGTCCGTTATTCATTCTTCTGCCATAAATGATAAAATTTCTAATGCATTTTGCTAATTTGATTTTCTAAAGATTAATCTTCATTTCGCTAAAATTTCCCGCGCTAAAACCCCCTAAAATTGAAAAATCGCTAAAATTTCCCGGTGTCAAAATTACCTGTTTTACAGTACCATGAAAGTTGATCACTGACTTCCGGTTTGAGAATTTGAAAAATTATTTCTAAACACGATCTAGTTACCTATCGTAATTTGCGGCTTTTAACAACTATTGATAGAATAGAATCCACTGGAATGATCTTGACGAAGAAAGCATCAGGTAAAATCTTTATTTTTAAACCATTCAAAGGCATTCTCAGTCGAAATTGCCCAAAATTTGAAATGCTGAAATTTGTCAGATAGCAAACTGAAATGGGTTTGAACCCCCTCCCCCCTAACTAGATTTATTTAGTCCGACATCAAACTTTTGATACCTCCCCTTAACTAGTGAGTGTCATCAACTTACTAGGTAGAGAAAAGTGAGGCTTGTCCATTGTGCCAATTATAAGTTTTCCCATTCCCATACACTACTCACCTGAGCATCAGGGTTGACTCGTTTAATATCCACACGTTGCATTGTGTCATTTTCCCGCACCACCATCATACATGCGAGATCTTGGAACTCGGCTAAGGTCACCAACTAAGAATGAATATATTAGCCCATTAGTTTAAGTAAAATATTGGGAGATTGTGAAATTTGGGTAAAAAGATTTTGTAGTAGGAATAATTGTGTACACTCGCTATGGCGGATCCGGGGGGGGGGCCCATGGGGCCCGGGCCCCCCCCCCCTAAGGTTGGCCCAAAAAAAAAGAAGTTGGGCCCAAAAAAATTTTAGGCCAAAAAAGGCCTTAAGGCCCCAAAAAGTGGGCCTTTTGGTCATTATTGGGCCTTCTAAGGCCTTATCTTTTTAATTTAGGCCAAATTTTGAAGAAAATGGGCCTCAAATTTTCAAAATTTGGGCCCACTTTTTCGGTTTTAGGGGCCCCAAATTTTTTTCCGCGCAAGCGCGGAGGATTTTTCTATATTCTCAAATTTGGGCCCCCCCCCTTGTTGGTTCCTGGATCCGCCACTGACTCGTATTCAAGAGAAAAATAAAATTGAAGAGAGATAAAATCTGCTTTTAAACCTCTTGAATCCCAGGCTCTAAAATCAGTTTGACACCAGCTTTGAACAATTTACGGCATACATTAAAAACAGGTGATCTCTGATGAAAATTGTCCAGTGACGAAAAATCTTGTCACTCTAGGTAGACAAGAGGTTAATCGTACATTGGCAAAATGGTAGTGCTTTGCACAATCATATTTCAATAATAGCATTTCCTCACACTAACATGTATATTAAGTAGTTAGTTAAACTTACTGTATTGTTTTTTATATGGGTAACTTCAGCAATGCCCTTCTTTGGCCCAACAAATATCATGGCTTCAGTTTTCTTTTGCTGAAACATAAATATAGGAAATAATGAAAATCTAAGAACTTATAAGTTCACTTGCTGATCATACATGTATATGTATTATGCTTGAGACAACAATTCACTGAGACATTTAATGGATGATATTAATAAAATCTCAATCCGTCATACTCACCACCAACGTTGCCATGAAGCATTTAGCACCAAACGACTTCAGCTCACTGATGATCTTAAGGTAATGAAGCTTGGCTTGTAATGATGTTAAATGTTTTTGGCCAGGGGCTGTCAAACACTGACTGGCCTTAAGGTAGTGATTCAGCATTTTACGCAGTTCACGTATTTTCATGTGCTCCATCAGGGAACGAGGTACAAACTTACTGTATCCAAACTCCTTCCTAAAATGTAGAAATGGTTGTTATGTTAAATAGAAATCAATAACAATTATGTACATATTCTAATATGATACGTGACATCACGATAACGAGGACAATTGATTTAATACTTGTCCATAATAATATGTATGACCATTAAATAAATAAAATGCAAAAATTTGTTGTTCTGGTTTGTTAATCATATTAGAATCATAACAATCAGCTCGATTACATGATCTATGGCAAATATAATATGACTTAAGATTTTATTCTGGCCATGGCAAAAGACCTCAATCACTACACGATTCCGATCTTTTAACAATGAACAGAATAAAATTTTTGATAAAAAAATAAAATAATAAAAGCCAAAATAAAAAAGCTATGAAACAATTTGAACTCACTCTATATTTTTGACTAGAATCTTTCCAGCCATGTGGTTGTTGAGGGCATGTTCCTGCATATGGAGGGCTGCCAGACGTAGGGCCATGTCAAATTTCACCTCCCCGCTAAACCTTTCCTCCACAATGTCATTACAACACTGGAATAAAAATGGAAACATATCAAACATGGCATTAACATGCAAAAAAACTACCTGCCATTTGTTACAAACATTATTATTTGTTACAGACAGCGTCTTGCAGAGACTGAACACCGAATATCATCCCCAAAAAATAAAGTGACAAAAAAGGAGTTATTCAAGGGCATTTTGAAAATGCAATGTTGTTGATGTCATGTGTTGATTGGTGTGCATGTATCTGATTGGGCAGTAGTCTTGTTTCTGATATTACTTTTTGAAGATGCAAGTTATGGAGAATCTCAGAGTGAGTTCAAATTGCTTCTTCATTTTTATTGTCTTCTGTGTCAAAGTCTAGCAACTAGGCTCTTAATAATATAATTTTGATGCTGATAAAATCTATATAACCCAAAAGGTAGTTTATTGAAAGTATAAAATTTAATGAGTGCAATTTTCATTCGGCAACTGGATTTTGATAGGCCATAAAGTATTTTGACTGTGGACTGCAGCTTTTTACTCAGAGTGAAGATGAAGCCCTCTTTTAAGAAGCACATTTATCTTTGAGAAAGGATAATAATTTTGCTGAATTTTGATCGACCTTACTGTATTCTGACTGTATAATAGATCAAATGACTGCAGTTTTTTCCAATAGTGTCTCTTTTAAAGATGCAAATCTAAATATGAGAAAGGATAATTATTTATGGTAACAGCAGGAGAAGAGTAATGTGTTGATGAGCAGGTTCAGAAAGGGAAGTCAGAAAATTGATGAATTCTCGGTATAGGTTCAGCAAAGGGGAGGAGATTCTCGCCATAATTCACAAGTAAGGGCATAATCACACCAGAAATGATATATTTGAACTATAAATTCAAAATTGCGATCTATCATATCGTTCTAGTCTGATCAAAAATTGGCTTCACTAAAAAAATTGGAAATAATCATATCTGCAAGAATAGTTAAAATATCCATTATTCTATTGATGAAATTCAAAAATATTTGCGGCCAGAGAGTCTTCAAGATGTACGTATTTTTGAATTTGAGCCTCATTTTAGCAATTATTACTTGATAGCAGAACTTTTGCAGTTTCTACTTTAGTGGCATCACTGGGTATAAAACAGACTCTAGTCCTGTAATTGGGGGATGCTAGTACATAGGATCCACTGTATGCTTACCTGCATATAAAAATACTCAAAGGCAGTGGCATCTTTCCTTAGAAGGTCATAGGCATCCCTTGGTACAAAACAGACTCTGAGCAAACACTTGAAGAATTGGGAACCTGGCCTACAAGCAATCTACAACAAAAAATAATACTACATTGTACACACTAAACATTTTGTATACAAGGCTTGACTCAGAGCCAAGGGCCAGTCCACTGGTCATTTGCCAGGTCACCTTTGATACAGACCAGTTGATTTTTTCAGTAGGTATAGGAAAATAACATGGCAACTGGTCCAGAATGTCATGTTGACCATGTGCTTTCAGAACCTTAGCTCAACACCTGTTGTGTATTACCTTTCCAGCATTAACATGGTGCATTATTTTGAGATGAATGTAACCCTCAGAATACTATACATGAATATTCTGTATCTGGTATCTGATGCGATGACACAGTATTACTATATACAGGGTGTCCCAAAGTATGGGACCTCCCCCCAGGCAGACATATACCAATGACTGCATAGAAAGTGTCATATATCATTTTAAAGCTTATCCAAAGTTACATTGATTTGCCAAGTATCATGGTTCAAGTCACAAATGGGACACCCTGTATATAATGTGTAAAGGAATCTGAATCTTGATGACATATTTTAAAGAATTGTAAATGCATCAATCCATTTGATCTAAAATAGAGTTTCCTCCAAGTGAAGTATATGTTTAATTTTTTTAGAATAAGCATCAGTCGAGACTAGAGAATATAACAATATGTCACCACTTGTGGTGGTGACATAATAACTCTATTTGTTTGGCCTTATATGATATAAGGTACACATTAATATCTAATGGCTTTGATATCTATAGGGTGGGCAAAGTTGTCCCATTTTTTGGGCCCACTCTGTATTTGTATTTGTCCACTTACATCTGCAATGCAGTCATCATTCTGCAAGAACGCAAACTTATTGTGGGACACTGATTTTGTGTTCTGCAGCACCAGTGAGAAATATTGCATACAGCGAAGTCCAAGTTTCTCTTGTAGGGAGTTCAGAACATCCTATAAAACAGGAAATATACAAGAGTTGTTATAAGATATAGCAAAGTTGGCATGGTATATGGCAGTACTGTCCAAATATAGAGTGGAGTTGTCATAAAATATAGCAGAGTTGCTATAAGATATAACAGAGTTGTTATATGAAATACAGGATAGAGATCTAATAAACTGAGTTACATATGTATGTTTCAATATATAACAATGGCAATGTACATAATATTATGGGTATAATATTATTATAGTTAAGCACTTTCTTTTCTTGACTTTTTTTATGCTCTACTGTTACTTAATCAATGTCTTTAAAACTCACCTTTACTGTAGTTTGTTTATCATATTTGAAAGACTTTGTTTGCCCATTCTCCAAGAACACCTTCAAGACATTTGGCATAAATGGGATGTAACTTTCATGAGTTGATGGACTCGTTGCCGTGGTAACTGCTACATTTTCAGCAAATCTCACACGCGATGGGTTTTTCTGTAGTTTCGCCTTTTTGGCTGCAGTTAGTAGAGCTGATTTACGCTGGGACTAAAATATGGGAAACAGAGATATACATTAAAATATTTCTTATGCAAATTCTTTTGGAATCAGTCAAAAGTGTTTATGTATCAAATATGTAAAAATAGGTATCCTTTTTTATCAGAATAAGATTTGGACAAAACGTATGTCTATACAATTAGAAAATATGAAGGCCAAAGACCGAATAATACAAAATATGAGTATGTAGCATAATGTATGTTGATACAATCTCTCAAAGGTTAATTGCATTTAATATGCAGTAATGCAGTACAGTACATGTTTATCACTTACATTATCAACATATGGTTGACAAACTGTTAGATCTATCGTCTCCTTACATGACCTAAAACAACAGAAAAATGCTTTGATTAAATTACATTGATATAGGGCTAATTTTTTTTCTTGAATAAACAATATGATACAGGCCCGTAGCCAGGATTTGCCAAGGGGGATTCACTTTTTCAAATATTCCAGGGGGTTTACCTTTGACAAATATGATCCAAAAATGGCCAAAATCACTTGAAAAGTGCTCAGAATGGTGAAAAACTGCATGATTTTGAAAGAATCTTTGGCCAGGGGCTACAGGCCTGTTACAGCTACATTTAAAACACATAAATGTATAAAAATACTTGAAGGAGTCTTTTTCAATATATGGATTCACATTTATTCCTTATTTTAGTTTATTTGTATGAACTTCAAATAATATCTCGCAAATGTGCAATATGGTATATGCATTGTACTTCTACATATGTAGTTGAAGTAGGAACCTACGTGAATTCTGGGAGGTTGGAACTATAAATTGTCTGGGCATCATTTGACACCATGCTGACATCATATGATGCCATACTAACATCATATGACGCTGAATTGTGTAATCCAAGTTTCACCATGATAATGGTCCTAAACTCAAAACTTGATAACTTGTATTTCTAATATGTACTTTTAATCCATTGGAATTATGACATATCTTGAAATAGATCAGAAATATACATATTATATTATATTATATATATTCTTGAATAATCCTGAAATATGTTTCTTATAATAATCCTGAAATATCTATCCTCAAATAATCATGAAATATGTATCCTGAATAATCCTTAACTATCCTATATCCTCAAATAATCATAAAAAATATATCCTCAGTATGGGATAATCCAGCTATATCCTCAAATAATCCAGATAAATTATGACATTAACTCTAAATCTGTTTGAACATCGTAAACTTCATGTTAAACTCCATATAGAAATCTCATGAAGCTGAAAGTCCTAATTCCTTACGATTTATTGTCTCAGATTGCCTCATTTTATCCAGAATACTCTAAAGAATCAAATAAACAATGGACACTATATCCCTTCCATACTATAGAATGATATGATTATTTATATGCATGTACTTCTTTTTTCCATCTATGTCAACCAATATATTAAAGATGGTCTCCTTATATTTCATAGAATGCAATTCAAATTAGTAAACAGAATAAGAATATTAAGGCCGTTATAAAATAATTTATTTTTATATTTCTATTTAAAGATTTTGAACTCTTTCAGATTTGATATTTTGCCATCAATGGTCTATGATAATTTCTGGTTTAAAGAATAATTTCATCATATCCTGGCTTTCCAAATTGATGTTGTTTCTAATTTTTCACATGAAGATCTAAATAATAAAGACAGTACTATATTTAACAAATCTTGTGAGCACGATGACAGAATATTTAATTTCACTGGCCTAAAAATTAATAATTTAGATCTGAATAGTAACATGTGCTCTATCTCCATTTCCATCTTAAATGACACAAGGTGCTCAGGTGCAATTAGAACAAGTTATTAATTAATAATAATTTTAGCATTATGGCTCTCATTTACTGTGGTACAACTGTATCCCATTATTAGCAATCAATGTGGATATATTATATGGAGAAAGGTCCAGTAAATATATGAATTTTGGGGAATTTCATCCTTTTAGCAAAACGGAAAAATATTTTAGAGGAAGATGGCTGCCATTCAAATTGTTATACTATTTGTCAAATATAGACAGTTAACACAATGTCTAAATGCTCTCTCTGAGGTTTACAATAATATTCTTTCGATTCAGCTTCTTCAACATTAAAGTACAGATTGGCATTAAACACATTTGCAATTTAACAGTGGTTCTCTATGAATTCACTCCGTACAAATGCCATCTTCAACAATCTTCACATACATATTTATCAGACAATATTTGAATGTTAAGTGATATTAACTGTGACGTATACATGGCATTGTGTTTAGCCATATAAATACTGGATAAAAAAATAAAACCATACAGATCAATGAACTTTTGTTGTAAAGACTCTTTAATAGCTAATGTTACCGTCAGTAAATTTAAGGAAGGTTGCTGGTTATAAGAAAACGTTTTAAGGAGGTTCAAAGAAATTATATATGAAATGTAGAAGACATACACACCTGACAAGATCGATGACATATTCACGTGGTGCTTTCTTCACCTCCTCTCCATTGATCTTAATGATCTGGTCACCTGGCAATAGTTTGTCCTCGCTAGGGCCACCCTCTGTCACAAACCTCACAATTACTGGTTTCTCGCTGCCTGCCACGAAACCAAACCCCAAGGTTGCATGGCGTTTGAGTGAGATTTCTCTTGGAGTCGGTGGTTCAATATAATCGTCATCCTCTCTTGGGTCATTTTTGCTACTGTACTCTTCAAGATGACTGTAAATACACAAGTTAATGGGTCATTTTTGCTACTTTATTCTTCAAGATGAGTGTAAATACAAAAGTTAATGGGTCATTTTTTTACTGTACTCTTCAAGATGACTGTAAATACACAAGTTAATGGGTCATTTTTGCTACTGTACTCTTCAAGATGACTGTAAATACACAAGTTAATGGGTCATTTTTGCTACTTTATTCTTCAAGATGAGTGTAAATACAAAAGTTAATGGGTCATTTTTTACTGTACTCTTCAAGATGACTGTAAATACACAAGTTAATGGGTCATTTTTGCTACTGTACTCTTCAAGATGACTGTAAATACAAAAGTTAATGGGTCATTTTTTTACTGTACTCTTCAAGATGACTGTAAATACACAAGTTAATGGGTCATTTTTGCTACTGTACTCTTCAAGATGACTGTAAATACACAAGTTAATGGGTCATTTTTGCTACACTATTCTTCAAGATGAGTGTAAATACAAAAGTTAATGGGTCATTTTTTTTACTGTACTCTTCAAGATGACTGTAAATACACAAGTTAATGGGTCATTTTTGCTACTGTACTCTTCAAGGTGACTGTAAATACACAAGTAAATAGGTCATTTTGCTACTGTGCTCTTCAAAATGACTGTAAATACACAAGTAAATGGGTCATTTTTGCTACTGTACTTTTCAAGGTGACTGTAAATACACAAGTTAATGGGTCATTTTTGCTTCTGTACTCTTCAAGATGACTGTAAATACACAAGTTAATGGGTCATTTTTGCTACTGTACTCTTCAAGATGACTGTAAATACACAAGTTAATGGGTCATTTTTGCTACTGTACTCTTCAAGGTGACTGTAAATACACAAGTAAATAGGTCATTTTGCTACTGTGCTCTTCAAGATGACTGTAAATACACAAGTAAATGGGTCATTTTTGCTACTGTACTTTTCAAGGTGACTGTAAATACACAAGTAAATGGGTCATTTTTGCTACTGTACTCTTCAAGGTGACTGTAAATATACAAATAAATGGGTCATTTTGCTACTGTACTCTTCAAGGTGACTGTAAATACACAAGTAAATGGGTCATTTTTGCTACTGTTCTTTTCAAGGTGACTGTAAATACAAAAGTAAATGGGTCATTTTGCTACTGTATTCTTCAAGATGACTGTAAGTGTAAATACATAAGTTAATCAATTATGTTGAATCAACATGATGCTTCTAGGACTTTGTAATTTGACAACACAAATATTGGTTTATTTAGAATGAAACCATGTGATGCAGAAGTTAACTAGCTGTGTCAAGTTGTCAACTATATTCCATTGTTTCCTATCAAGCGTAATGAATCAAACATTTGATTTTCTTTTGAATAGGTATCTTTTGAACTACGTGTATAATTGGATTACAAGACCACAAAGACTAACACTGCTGCATCTATGATTTAAGGCTGCTTGGTGGACTGTTAGTGGTTCAATGGACTATTTTTATAGATTGATAAATAGATGGCAGCATGGGTGATGGTAGCACCAGAATATATGGTAAGACTCATATCAATACCATGATCTATCAAGTATTTTAAAAAATATAACTACATGATCTTGTTAACATCCAAATTGTGATTTAACACTAGAATTGTGATCCTTCCAAATGTAACTGAACTAGCCCGACCCCCCGAAAACTTGAAAATCTTTGAAATGGAAATCAAGCTGTTTGGATAGAAAATTACAAAGAGAATTCAAATATGCCATCAACTAGAAGAAAATGTTGGTCTTTAATGGACCAGATGCAGATCTCCTCAGTAAAAATGATATTTCTTCAAGATTTTAAAGCTATTGAACAAACCCTCTATTAAAGCATACAACAGTGTATATGTGTGAACCATAAAATATCTAATAATGTGGGCCTTCAAAGATTCTACATTTGCACTTGATGCAAGAAAAATATGAAATGGTATTCTCCAGACTGATTGTTACTGGCAGCACCTAAAGGTTCTATCACCATTCATACTTTGGAATCTGATGGTACATCTTCCCACCATTGCACCTGGTATTAAAAATGTTAAAGTGTGCCTGTCATAGTTGTTATTTGAAAAGGACTTTTATCTTGTCTAGTATATAAAGAAAATCTAATTAAATCAAAGAATGATATGGAACAAAAGACCAAACCTTTGTGAATGTTTTATTATAAGATGTAAGTTACTATAGTTATAAGTGAGTTTATTTAGATTCAGATAGTGATCTAGTGGTTTAGAAATTAATGTTTTCACGTTTCATGTGGTCATGTTTTCTAAATGTATTCTAATAGCCTTGAGTCAAATATGGAAGTTATTTCAAATTATCAATACACATAAACATCTTTGATAGGATGTAATTTTGTGTGTCGTTAAAGCATGAAACCAACTGTCATCCCTTTGATAAACAAAAAATCTCATATAATGTTTTATTTTTCATTTTATTGATTAAAAAAATCTTTTTTTCACATCAAAATATGTACTAGTATTTACATGTACATTTATTTACTAGACTAAAAGTAATCACAGGGTACAGAAATGTTATACATACATGCAAAATGTCATTACTTGTACATTTTTTCAATTATCTAATTTTCTTTTTATCATGATATTTCCCAACTGCCTAATTATCTACTATCCAAATGTTAGTAACATATATACTTAAGTTTTTCATACCAAAATATAAAAATACTGATGCCTTATATCACCTTTGGCTGTAAACAATATGAATTGAACATTTTTGGTTCAGACCAAATATATATTTTTTAAGTGATGATTTTGAGATCTGTTTTGTTTGTGCACATTTGACAAATGCTTTAAAAGTATCTGAGCATGCATTAAGCCATTTTGTTGCCAGCAGTTCATGAACAAGATCAAATAAAATAACACACATCAAATGTAGTAAAGAAATATAACTAGATCTAGGACCTAAATGGACCATATATAAGACTTGACTCAATATCTTCTAGTTAACGAGAAAACTGGGAAAGAATAATAAAGAATAATAATAAGAAGAAGAATACTGACAAAAACAATAGACTCCAGATTGACGTCTGGAGTCTAATAAATAAATAAATTTCCAAAACTTGTTTGCTACTGCACTTCAACTGGCTAACTTTTTCCATTCAGTTTTCATCACAAAAGTCTTGTATGTTTTTGATTACTGTTGGTTTATACTGCAGCATCTGTACTGCCTGGTTCAATTTATTGTCAGTTTATTTTTGTAAGCATTGTTTTTCCAGCGTGTCATGTGAAGTCTATTTTTCAGTGTTGTTTTGCAGAGCTGCTTTACCAAGGGTGCCAAGTCAGGTTTGTTTTCAAGTTTTGTTTTGCTGTGCTGCTTTACCAAGGGTGTCAAGTCAGGTTTATTTTCCTTGTCCAAACCTCTCAAGCAGAGGGAGAGCTGCCTCATTTCTGTGCAGGATCTTCAGTAGCTCATCAAGTTCTGCATTGGCTGAAAATAAAAATTAACAACTTATAATAATAAAAAAGCACAGAGGACAACATTTGATGAACACAACATACAATCTAATATACCAAATTCTTTTAATAATATTCTCACTTCTATAAGAGTTAAATACAACAAAATCATATAGTTTATTCATAAGAGATAAATAAGCATAATAATGAGAGTGCATGATGTCAAAAAGATACTGAAAAAGTCAGATCTGCTTCAGACTAAATTAACTAGCTTGGACCCTATTAGAGGCCAACGCTTACGTCACACTGTGATAATAATAGAGGTATATGTATAGCGGTATATACTTACTCATGCAATTGTTGACAAATTTGTTGAGAATGAAGCCCTTGCAGCATACAATTTTCCTGTCTGGACAACCATTCACCCACTCTGCAGCAGTAACCTCTCTTGTGTCTACAACTTGTTTGTAATGGACCTCCCCGCTAAAAATAAATGAAAATTTGTTAATTGATGTTTCTAATTTTGCACTGTATGCAACTGTTAAATAATTAGTGCAAGATGGTGTAAAGGTAATAGTAACTTTATTGCTGATTTTGCATTTCAATTTTTCTGGTGAGTTTGGGAATCAAGCATACTGCTCAATGCAGATTTTAGCATGTAAGTTCTGTGTTCCTGCATATATTGCATCTTAATATCTAGTTCTAGTTCTTCAATGCTGCCATCTATCTGTGGCTACCTATTGCAGTTTTGATACTTTATGTTACTGATACTAATGACAACAATGTTTTAGTTGTTACATATTTAGGTTATGATAACCTTGAAACAAAAACTTAGCAATCACTTACGTTGTGTAAGTTTCATCTCTGGTGCATCGTGACCAACCTCCGAATCCACATTTTCCTGAGCCACGACGTGTTTTAGTAACGGGAACCAATTCTCGAACGGCCCTTGTGTGATATTCTTTGTTATAGACAGGATCTTCCTTACAACACCAATGACTGGAAAGAAGAGATTTAATTTGGTTTATGTTACTTATGTTACTCAATTTTGATTCCATAATCCATATCTCATGTTACGTTATTTGTTGACAATTCTGTATCAATTTTGGAGCAGAAATCTAAACATACAAGACATAATTACAACGCATATCAGAAAGGGAGCTAGCTTTTGACAGTGATTAAGAGGGTCTCATTGATGAACAGAATAACCTTCTGTATGAGTAAGATACCATGAAGGTTAATGTTTTAAAGTATAATAGTAGAAACAGCAACACATGATGTATTAATGACACAGTCACAAAGTTGACACGATGAGTTGCATAAATTATGAATTAAAATTTAACAAACGTATGATTTGAAAAAAATGAAATAAGCATGAATTGAGGGAGTGAAAAATAACACTATGTGTCACAATGACCTTGGAAATAATGAGTGCCGAATACAATTAGATTCTCAGGCTTAATTATAGTCAATTTGAAGTAAGTAAAGAATGATAAAAATGACACCTTTGTTAGAGCTGTCTCACTTCAGATGTAATTTCCTTAATTTGTTTCTGTCAAGGATGAAATGACTAAATCATCATCAAAAGTGACAAATAAAGGGATGTGTTCTAATTCGAAGAACATGTTCAAATGTAGTTTATATTTTCACATCATTACTGGATCAAAAAGAGCAAAATAGGTTTTATGGTGTACAAAAATAAAATGTGTAATATGACATAAAGTAAAGTCAGTAGGTAACTGGAATATTAATTTCACATCATCTTCTGTCAATTGTACCCAAATTAAACAAAAAAACAAAAAAATTGAAAAAATGTTACATTTAAGTACTTACGTATTATCTCCTCTGGTTCCGCCAGCGCGTTTGATCCTCTTTAGGCCAGATTCCACAATAAATTTACTATATGGGCTCAATTTAGTTTTATTTACATAATATTCGATCAATTCGAGATTCTTCTGTGCTTCTTCTGCTGAGATGGCATTTTCCTGAGTTTCAGTTTCTTCAATGTTTTTTGCAAAAGTGACTGCTATAATGCAGGCTAATGCGACTGCAACAGCGATGCTGATATTCTTCATGTTTGTATTTGAGATAGTTCTGTCTGTACCCTGTGAGTTATGTCTTAGTGTTCTCTGATGTGACTCTACTTGAATCAAGCTCTGTATTTATAAACCCCAGCCATAGACTTGACCTGATCAGGTTACTGTCAGGGGGATTCAGAGAAAACAGGGACATTCTGTATATTTACTTCCTATTTTCACATTGTTGCTTCCACTTTAGATTATCAGTTGTAAACAAGGTTGGCTCTCGACCAATAGAATGACAGAATTTGTGTTTATGTTGATAGACTTGGCTTTGTTAAACTTTTAAAGTTTATCACCACATGGACTTTACAACTTTGGTATAACAACAATGTACTTGAATTCTCAGATAAAGTTACATTTCCAGTGAAATGAGGATAAGACAATACAATTGTTTGTCTGCTTAGGGAAGTGCCATTTGAGAGAAAGACTGAGAGAGAGGAAGATATAAAGTTTTTTCTAATATACTATCAATAATAAGAATAAATTTTTCCTTATTTCTAATTGCTGTTTTCTTAATATTTTTTTACCCTACATGTAGTTTACATCATTATAACTGAGTTGATAATAAAGGTCATGGTAATGATAAATGTAAATAATACAATTATAAAATTTAGTGATAAATTGGATTTCATATTACACACATTTCAGGATTCACTGTATTTACAAATTCGATGATACTCTTCTTCAGATATAAACTGTTTCATTGGGTAGGTAGATTTCTAAATCATCCAGTCATTACATTCAACATCATTTGATTAAACATATATATGAACATTTTGGGGGCCATTTTGTATTGATAGATGCCCTCCCCCCTCCCAAATATGGTGCCGGAAATGTTTACCTCCCCAAAATCTGGGGCAACAGAAGAAATACATATACATATATTTTGGGCCTATAGTCACAAGCAAAAATATTGGTTTTTAATTCAATTAATGTCACCCCCACTCTTGATATCCAGGACCATCCCTGGATAAAGGATTAAGTAACCTAAGCTATGTGTTTGAAGCATCAGACTTGAAGATACTGGGATTTGTAAAGAAACCTGTGACCAGTGATGTATTTTATTGCAATGAATTCCCATCAGCTTTTATGGTTCCTTTGGGTAAATTGCTTTGATTCACGAGTGACATAAAACATAAATGGCAATATAGATTTTATTCACACATTTAACACTCACATAAATATTTTCAAAAGACAGGACTCCATTTGCATAAATATTATATATTCTGTTCAAGCCAGGGGTAAAGTTCCAGGTGATAAAACAGAAACGTTCTGACAGATAAAGGGTTTCACTAAATCCTTACCAAATTTTGTTCGTTGGGATAATCATTCCCAAAGATAATAGTTTCTTCTGACATTTCTTTTCTTTGGTCAGTGTAATTAGGGCAATTCACTAGGTACTGGAATATGGTTTCATTTTGATCACCATACAGACATTTAGGTGTCCTGCTTCTTTGTAGTAATTATCACACATTCTGAAGGATAATCACAATGAAGTATCACCATGCTTAAATCAGTTATTTATCATCTCGAAAGATCAACTTTGTATCCTTCCTAAATTCCAATACCTTTCCCATACATTAGGAGTGAAAATTCCCTAACTGCAAGGGAGAAATACGTTTTCGAAATATGCTTCAAGCATCTTGCTTCATCAAACTTCGGACCTACGCTAAAATCTAGTGATTGAGAGCGGGAAAACAATGATGGCTTTAAGGGAGAAATCTGTCACTCATATCCCCAAAGGGGAAACATCTACTTCCTGTTGACTCAAGGGAAAAATCCAATCACCCGGCTGTATCATATAATCTTTTTCATATTTGAAAATATTGAACAATTGAATAATTTCATGACTTCCTGGAATTAATTTGGTAAAGGACCCCTTTAGTAGATTGCTAGATTATGCAAGTCACCTTCATGACAAAATGAGTTCAAAGTATATTCACTTGCAATGGAGTCGCTATAATTCCCATGATGCAATTTGATGTAATTGAAATGTGACTGATCTTAGAAAATAAATGAACTTCCTATGTGTTAAATATAAGATTGAGTTTCGGGTTTTTCTTTACAATTTGAATAAGAATCTACTTTTGTTGAATTTTTGTACAAATTGAAGTCTGCATGCCTGTTTACTTCATCCCTTGTAAATTGCCCTATTTTCATTTAAACTTTGCTCTTTGAAACTTTCGTAAACCATGATATATTATTAAGAGGTTGTTAAATCAGTTCAGACCTCTAATCCCAATAGAGTCAAGTAATATGTTCAAATCACCAATTTGCAAATTGAAGATAATTTGTAGCAAGTAACACCCCATACTAATAAGACGAGAAGGTCTCTCGGAATCTTCCTAAATTTCAGTCATGTAATACTTTTTCTGACTTGAATTTTCTATTTATTCCATATTGCCCCCTCCTCAACTCTTGCAATCTACATACTCTAACAGCATAGATTCAAACATGAGAGTATTCCGCTGTCCCTCCCTTGCCCCTACTACTATATGCTTTATTCCCTAGCCTGTAATAGGTGTATATCTGGAATTTGGAGTTTTTTTGCCCTTTTCTTTTTGTTTGACATTTAGTGATAGCAAAACTCCCCCACAAATTTTAGCGATTTAAAACCTTTGTAGTTGGACAAAATGGTGGCTGACATAGTCCTGATTTTCATCTTCAATTCATCAAGGTATCCAACTACACAAATTGGAATAGTTGCGGCTGTGGGTGAGATTTGCCTTAACAAAGTCAAAAATTAAAATAAGCAAACCGAACCCACATTTATGGAGGTAAACGGGGGGGGGGGGCACACATGTGTTTAGGAAAATCTAACCAGGTACAATTTTTATTGAATTTGGACTACTAAGACAATGTCCTCTTGATACTCTTAATTTGGTGATAAAAGAACATAGAAAAATCTATGCAATTAGTAAGTCTAACTTGGCATCACTTTATCCTAGAGTAGGGAGGTAATTCATTTAGTACATTAACTCCAAAATAAAGATATTACAGCCCCTACAGCTCAAAAGCACTGATAAATTGCTTTTATGAGGAAACTTCATAGCTTCATAGCTTTTTAACTTGTAAATATTCTTACTTAAGTTTCCGTATAAGTCTACACCGGGCAGGTTGACTGATTTTAATAAGTGAAAGTCATTTAAATACAAATCTGTCAACAGGTTTTTGAGTTATTATCCAAAGAGATGTATAGATGTACAGTTGGACAGCTTCTCCATATCGCTACTTGAACTATGTTCGTTGGGATAAAACATATACAGTACATACATTAATACATACAGTACACATGTATATACATTTATCCCATACTTGGACGTGTTACAGGTACATAAAGCTGGTTTGTAAAAACTTATATTTTCATCAGCGGGCAGATATAGCTTTACGTCCCGCTCCGAGCGGGCAGATATAGTATATCTGCCTGCTACGTCATAATCGCCGCTCGCATATTTGTTCATAATTTGTAACGTTCGCGTAATGGCTGTAAACGACAATGGAGAAAACACAGACAATCTGGATCTGTTTGATGGTATAAAAAAGGGAAGGAGCATCCACTTAATCAATCAAAAATCCGAGAAAATAAATGTGGGAATATTTGAGAGAACAGGAAAGTCCGCCCACGGCCAAGAAAACAAAACTGGACGTGAATATTCTAAAATATTTCCACGATTGAACAATGTGAACCAGATGACCAAGATTGGTATGGGATAAACATATTATCCTATAGTCGGTTCAGGATATTGGGATTATCCCTTGGCCAATATAACATATTTTCCCTCGGGACCTGCGGCCCTCGGGCAAATATATTATATTGGCCTCGGGATAATCCCAATATCCTGAACCTCATATAGGATAATCTCTATATATTAATTACATTGTACATATATAGGGCTGATGCAAATGTTCTGATAGAAATGCTTAAGTAAATGTGAACACTTGAAACTTTCACATAATGTATATAATTTATTTGCCTAAACAATAGGTCATTTTCAGAACGATTGATTCACATCAAGTTTTATCATCACACTTTTCCTATCCAATGGTAGAGGCACTTGCTCCAGAATTTAGCTCATATTGACAAAATCTATAGTGTTTGTAACATAAAACTGATTTTTCCTGGAAATATTTGCCTGTCATCTTCAGGGGTGATTGACTCTTCATCACTTAGAACATCTCGACTACTTTTGCCAAAGGGGAGAGTGCCTCGACATACATCCAAAAAATGTGATCTTTGATTTGCGATGAAAAACTTTAGAGGAGCCCTTCAATTAAGAAGACTGGAATATATGAATAAATTACAGAGTGAAGAACAAATAGCAGAGATAGTCAATCAACTGATTTTATTTGTAGAAGAAGCAAAAAGGTAATTTTGCCTGATGTTCTGAACAAAATGCCTCCTTTAAGAATTTGCTCAGTATTTCAAGTTGATGTAAAATCTAACATTTTGCATCAAATGCATTTGTCAGCCCCTTTGAACCAACTGAGACTAAAGAAATGTTCCTCAAATATAAATCTATGATTCTATCGACAGTAAAACCTGTACATGTATATCTGAACACCTCTCTAATTTCAACTCTCAACTCTCAATGTAAAATCACATTTGCTCTATGGCGGCTGTATGTGGCTGTATGTGGCCATCTATGTGACTGTATGTGGCCATAGCTTCATAAAATCTACATCGTACTGCTTATCCCTTCTCTCGATTTTGGGAAGCTATGGGCTACCGTATGGTAGCTGTAGATCAAATGTGACTTTGGCATTTAATAACTAACTTAAGAAAGAATGTCCTGCCATGTTTGTCTATGGCAATATGGGAATATACAAGTGACTTAATAACTTACTTTAGAAAGTATGTCTTGCCATGTTTGTCTATGGCAATGTGGGAATATACGAGTGACTTAATAACTTACTTTAGAAAGTATGTCTTGCCATGTTTGTCGATGGCAAGCTCCCATCCATAAGGAAGTGCCTTTCCTCCACCTTCCCAATTATCAACTGGTGGCAACCATGAACTACTTCGAGTTTGGTGGCTGAAAAACAATTTACAGTATATCAGTGCATATACATTATATGAAAGGTATTTTTCGTCTGGAAAGGGAAAGGTTGTGGGCTCCATTCCAACCGTGGTAGACTGACTTTTTCACATTAGCCCCTTTAGCACAGAATTTCTCTAGATGTGTTCTCATTTACCAAGATACTTTTGATTGTTTAATGATGCCATTTTTCATCTTGATCTAAATTCAATTTTTAGATGTTGAAACCTTAATTCGGAAGTTGAAGATTGGTATTTTTGATTAAAACGTTTCTACTTTGTTCATGTACAAAACTCTATCTAGTTTCTTAAATAGCAAACAGACAAAAAAATCCTACTCAATCCAATCAGCTCGCAATGTGAGTAAAAAATTACTTATATTGTATTATTCACGCTTTTTAAGTATATATATTTCTCCAGGGAGAATAATAGACATCATCTATTTAGTATGCACCGACTTGACAGATATTATTTAATTTGAAAGGTTTCTATGTTTAATTTATGATATTTCATGATGAAAAATTACTGAAACTGTCTCATTTAGATGTTTATAAAGACTTGTTTGTTTAAGAGATTGATGGATACGGACTTGGGTCCAAAATTAACCCTGATAACCTATGACAATCACTCCCTCTTGGCTTGATTAAATCCTTGGATAAGAGTAAAAGCTGTGATAGTCAAGGTCTACAAAGTGAATTAGATCCTAGTTGTCAATCACGATTTTAGAATTAACCCCAAAGGCAGGCAGGGATTTCTGAGAGGGATGATTCAGCAGACAGAGGGACATTTCTGCATAAAATTACTTATTTTCTCAATTTATTTTGAGTTATATACGAAATTTTCCAGCTTAAGTTGAACCCAAAATATTTTCTGCTTAAAAATAACCAAAATTGCTTTAAAAAGGTTAATCAATCCATTTGTATAAACTATGGTCAAATTACTTTTGTAAGTACATTTTATTTTTTTGTTCATTTTTTATAACCTGGCCAAAGAATATGTGAAATGTACAACAGTATTATTTAACTATGGTAACAACTTAATAACAAGTTATCCTCAGAAAGCAACAGTATCAAAAGCTATCAGATATCCTCCATAAAGGCTACTTATATAAGATTTATGTACTCTGGTCCAGATTAATGCTATAAGGTTTTTATAAGGTACTACAATTTCCATCATATTAGCCCAAATCAATATAGAACTTAATTGACCAGCAAGACCCTAGTCCCTTTGATCCTATAAACATTAAATCATTTTGTAAACAAACATCATTTTTGTATTATCTTTATTCAGGTTTCATTTATCCCATTTGTGGGATATGTTACACTTTTATGCCATGCTACTATCAATCAATCCATTCATTCCTATTTCATCTAATTTTTCGCTGGGGTATAGATGCCATGTTTACTTCCCCCAGCTTAACAAAAGGACTGTCCTCAGTTTAACAGAAATATTGCCTCAGCTTAACAGAGATTGTCTAAGCATGAAAAGTAAGTTTGCCTCAACTTAACATATATTGCCTCAACTTTACATCCCAGCTTAACAGAGGGACTGCCTCATCTTTACAGAGATATTGTCTCAGCCTCACCTTAACAGAAGGACTTACTCAGCATATCCTTTAGACTGAGAAATGATTTGTATCAATGTGAAAACACCATTCAATATAATGTTGCACCTTGCACACAGTTCAAAATCTATTGGCGCCAAATCAATAAAATATAGAACTATGTTTCATTTATTTTTATGTCAAAATAGCTCAAATAAACCTTCAGCCAGTTAACAAAATTGTCATATTCAGAATGTTCAGCATCTGCTTGGAGTTGGCACATATCGCTAACATCATGAATAGATTGTAATGATCCGAGAAAAATGACCGACGTAATGCTATTTTTGTTTGGGCAGCAGTCAATATATTGTACATGGATGGTTGGATAAAATTAATGACTTCTCAATCTCATTGGACTCCTAAACTGACGAACAGACAGAAAAAACGTCCCAAAAGATTTCTTGATATTCATGCTTTTTCTTCTAATTTCTCTCAAAAATTTGAATGAAGACTATGATTTTATGTGGTTTTTATATAATTTAGAGTATTATGTTCATGTCAGTAGGTCTCGTTTAGTGATATATCCTCTCATATTACTCAGTTTGGAGTAGAAACTTATGACCATCTATGTTTTTGTAAATAGGGTATATTATGATGAAGTCAATAGAACAATTTAACAATATTATGTGACTGAAATACTAGCTTCATATACGAGTACTTCTACTATACACTTCTACAATTAATCAGAATGCCTCTAGTTTTCTTAGTGGTCTTAAACCTAAGCCCTGAACCCCCCTTACTATTCTCTCTCTCCATATTTTCTCCAGTTTTCGAAAGATCATGTACAAGGTTTTGGGTACATCCTAGAAACAGTCATCTGGCATTCTGAATTATCAGAGTTGCTCTTTATCTAAAGCTTGTCTTTTCCAAGGGACATGGATCCCACAATGGTCATCTGGTGAAATAATTACAGAAACACTATTAACAAGGCATTAACATGTCACCACCTGCCATTTGTCACAAATGTCGTAATTTGTTACAGACATTATGTTACAGACACCAAACCCCAAACACCATCTACAAAAAAGTTGGAGACTATAATAATATGTCATCACTTCTGCTGGTGACATGATAAACAAATTTGTATTTATCCTGCATATCATTTTCAGTAAAATAATCTAAATTATTTTCATATTGCAATATTCAGTCATTAACATACAAAATGTCACTACCTGCCATTAATTACAGATACAGAACACCATCCACACAAAAGTTGGAGACTATAACAATATGTCACCACTACTGCTGGTAAAATAATACTAGTTAACCCATTACTATTTATCCTACATATTATTTTCAGTATAATAATCTAAATTATTTATTATCATTCTGAATCAGAATCTCCATAATTTGTATATGAAAAGAAAATTGATGATGTCAACCTAAAGTCAATGAGCTGATGTCATACTGACATCAAACATGTCTATTGGTTCGAAGATGCTGTCACATTAATCAAACAAATGTCATTTTGATTTCTGAATGGAGATGGAAATTCCCAAGTCATTTAAATGATACTGATTGCAGCTTGCCCGCTTAAAGCCTCTTCTGTTGCTCATATTATGCCTACTTAAAGCCTCTTTTGTTGCTCATATAGTGCCTACTTAAAGCCTCTTCTGTTGCTCATATAATGCCTACTTAAAGCCTCTTCTGTTGATCATATTATGCCTACTTAAAGCCTCTTTTGTTGCTCATATAATGACTACTTAAAGCCTCTTCTGTTGATCATATTATGCCTACTTAAAGCCTCTTTTGTTGCTCATATAATGACTACTTAAAGCCTCTTCTGTTGATCATATTATGCCCAATTAAAGCTTCTTCTGTTGCTCACATTATGCCTACTTAAAGCTTCTTCTGTTGCTCACATTATGCCTACTTAAAGCCTCTTTTGTTGCTCATATAATGACTACTTAAAGCCTCTTCTGTTGATCATATTATGCCCAATTAAAGCTTCTTCTGTTGCTCACATTATGCCTACTTAAAGCTTCTTCTGTTGCTCATATTATGCCTACTTAAAGCCTCTTTTGTTGCTCATATAATGACTACTTAAAGCCTCTTCTGTTGATCATATTATGCCCAATTAAAGCTTCTTCTGTTGCTCACATTATGCCTACTTAAAGCCTCTTCAGCTGCTCATATTATATCTACTTAAAGCCTCTTCTGTTGCTAATATAATACCTACTTAAAGCCTCTTCTGCTGCTCATATAATGCCTACTTAAAGCCTCTTCTGCTGCTCATATTATATCTACTTAAAGCCTCTTCTGTTGCTAATATAATGCCTACTTAAAGCCTCTTCAGCTGCTCATATAATGTCTACTTAAAGCCTCTTATGTTGATCATATAATGCCCAATTAAAGCCTCTTTTGTTGATCATATTATGCCTACTTAAAGCTTCTTCTGTTGCTCATATAATGCCTACTTAAAGCCTCTTCTGTTGCTCATATAATGTTAAGATTTTCACAATAATAATTTTTCAATAAATGTAATTAACACATTTATTATTTGGGAGAATTAGAACATATTTTTGCCATTTTTGAAATTCAAATCTCTTATCACTTCATCAATTTAGAACATTTCACGGATCTCTTGGAAGATACTAAATTCGAGATTGTAAGGAATTTGTTATTAAGTCAATTGTACATGTTGCTTGCAAAAAATGTCACACCTATAAATCTGATTCTGCCTTTAAGAAGTTTCACCCGTTTTACTCATTTAAGTCTGTGGTCCAATTTTCAACTTTCACTTATTGACAATTACGATTCCCCAGCTTTTTTAGCAATTTTTGAGTCATTTCTGAAATTCCCTGAGTTGTTAAGCTCAGAGAAAAAGCTATTACAAAATTCAATGCCTGTATATTGTGGTTTTCTACTTTCATCTATCACTGTTGCAATAGTGAGGTGGCATCATCAATAACTAAGATGGAATAAGGAGATATTAATGACGTATTTCTTTGCAATGATCGTGGATTCTAGCACAACTCAATGTGCTAAGAACATAAGAATTTCCCTAATGAGTGTAACCTACAAATATTTATTCAGTTTTTAAGTCTTAACCTTTTGAATAGTCCCGAAGAAAAAAACAGAAAAATTAACAAAAATTTGTAATGTATTAAAAAAATAAGTCAGTTTGGCTTAGACTTCCTTAGGTAAAAGGTAAAATAGATTTAAAGGCCTATATAGCCTATATCATATTTTCAAATATTACCATGTTAACATTTTGACATCATACTCAATTTCTACCAAATTCTAATCTAACCTACAGTGTCACATCATTAATACATAGTTGCCATAGAAATAAAGGCAAATAATACATCAGTAATATAACAGTCATGTGAAATATGGCTTCATTCTAGCCTCCCAACCAAGACAGTACTCAATTTCTCATATATCATAACATC